TCTGCGGTACCTAGCCGTACACCTACCCCTGGTGTCACCACCGATACAGGTGCCGAAGAGTCTGGGGATGGTGAATCGACAGAGTCTCTTCCCCAGGTTGACTTGTCCAGAGGCGGCGCTGGAGAGGAAAACGAGGACGTCGTGATTGAGCTTCGTGCACGAGGAATGAAGTTGCTGCCATCCGGCTGGGAAAGCCAGGGCGTGGGATACGTCCGTGTCTTGAAAGACCGGACCACTACGCGCGGCCGTGTTCTTCTGCGTGCTGACCCTAGCGGCAAGGTGGTCCTCAATGCTGCCTTGATGAAACAGATCAAGTACATCGTTTCTGGGAACAGCGTGCAATTCCTCGTGCCCCAGGCTGAGGGCGCTCCTGAGCAGTGGGCTGTCCGAGTGAAGAAGGAAGAGGTGCAACGCTTGGGCTCTGCGATCGAGGAGACCAAGTCTTAAGTGGTCGACTCGTGTTTCTTGTTTTGTTTTGCTTTTCCTTTCCTCTATTCTTCCTTTCTTTCCTTTTTTTTTTTTTTTTTTTTTTTTTTGCAAAGTACTCATGAATCGGCGCAGAAGATTGCATGCATTTCCAGCAACTTAACGATGGTTTGTTTTTTTGTTTCTTTTCTTTTCATTTTCGCCCGGGTTTGCAAGAGTTGCCCGGCGATGTATTATGGTTTGGTTTTTTGTACTTTTTTCTTTTTGTTTTAGCATACTGCCCGTTTTTCTTTTTCATTTCTCTTATCTCAAAAGCAATCACTTGAAATGGTTGCATGGATTGCATTGTTGAAAGATGTATTTTTTTTTTTTATAAGTGGTCAACCGACCGATTTCTTTGTGTTGCAGACATTTTGGCTTCTGACATAGCCCACCTCTTCTGTCTTTTGTTTTCGTCTTTTTTTGTTCCCCGAAAGCCTCACATCATCCTTTGCACCTTTGCCTCAGACGTGACTTTAGTCCGAACCTCGGGAACTTGCGAGAGACCATCTCGGGATGCGGTGGAAATACTACATGGCGGGAGAGCGGAACACCATGTTTTCCGAGAGGGTCGATTCAAGTAATTGGATCTGAACCGTCGGAAATTTCGGTTAGCGTCTGCTGGGCCTTCATGGAATTTTTCACTGAGTCCTGGATAGACTTTCGGCATTTTCTTTAGGAGGGTCGACAAGTCCGTCTTATGTGGATGATTATCTCTTACACGTCGGGACAAGCACGTCGGGACAAGCATTGATGTTATCGCGGGGGCTTTTTCTGTCATCGGTCATTATTGTTGAGCCACATCGAAGCCTCGGTTGACCAACTTGCCTGTTTTTGTCTCTTGTACATACCCTGCCTGAGCCCTCATAGAGATTAGTTATGTGACTGGGAGCTTTTCTGCGCAATCAAAATTCTGTCTTTTCTCATATATATGTACCTATACAGACTTGATTTTCTAGAATCAACGTGATTTTCCCTATTTGGATGAGGCCGCTTTGATGAGGGCGCTGTGACGGTCTACAAAGGAGCTTAGTAAAAGACAAGTTTGTTTATGACTCGTAGTCAAAGAATTTTCCCATGGGGAAGAAAGGCTATCTAGGAGGGAGGATCTAGAGCCTCTATATACTTACTACCCGAGGCTTCGCCTCAGGTAGGAATGCCTGCAGAGCATCCAGGAAGATGACGCATCGTTGTGATGGCAACACACAACCCTCAACCAGGCAGGCCTCTACAAGCTGCGCTACTGGAGACAACTACCGCAGCCTCTATTAGGGTTACTGAAGGCCAGAGGATATTCAGCCCGATAGCAGCCTTTCTTGACAAACAGCGGAGCCAGCCAGGCCTTGCTCCCCACTAGCGAGACGCGCTCGACGCGCTCAGCAACGACCTAGCTGATATAGCCCAACGACACTTTAACGCCTATATCAGCGGTATTCTCTTGACCTTGACTACACCCTCTCCTGCCCCTGCTCCCGCCCCTGTCCCTGCCCCTGCCCCTGCCTCTCTCCCCCCTTCGCCTCCCCCATCTCGCCCCCTCCCCCGGTCTCGCTCAGTCGACGTACGCAACAGCTATTCAAACAACCAATGCCAAAGGCCCTGCCACACCTAAGCCCAGTACCAAGCTAAAGACTACAATTCCTGCTCTGAACCAGCAGCCCGACTCCTGCCTCTTTGTACGCCTCCCGCCGAATTACATTGTCAAAAATATAGACGCATACGCTATTTATACTAGCTTCCGCTCCCATCTGGGTACCGATAATAAGGTACTCAAGGGTATCCAGTCTATTAAGACTGGATTTGCCTTATTACTCTCGTCTCCTGAAACTCTTGCAGCTTTAGAAGCACAAAAAGGGAGTATCTCTTCCTTCTTTAATATCTGCTAGATCGAGTGCAGCTCCCGCTGGATTTCTTATCGGGTAACAAATATACTAAGAAAGGTCAGCCAGCTTAATGCAGGTCAATACTCTATGGTCCCTGTCAACCCGAAAATACTATTAGCTGAAATAGCTGAAGCTACTGGTCTCACCCCAGTTAATGTGACTGAAACTGCCCGCCAGTACTTCTGATACAGATACAATCTCTTCAAGCTGGTTTATCAACTTCCCTGAAGAAAGCAAGGCCAAATTACCTATACAACTATCTTTGTTTGGCATGATCACTAACGCCCAACCCTTATCCAGAAAGGTTAAGATATCGTAATGCAACCGCTGCTGGAAGTGACATAACTCTAGATCTTGCGCACGTAACTCTCGTTGCCGTCTCTGCAGCTCTACATAACACACTGAAGAAGGTCATACTAACTACTGCACTGCTGCAGCTCCTTATGTCTGTCCCCCAAAATGCTTATACTGCCATGGCCCTCACCCAGCAGACTATGACCTATGCCTTCTCCGGCCCAACAAGCCAGGTTCTCGTTTTACTAAGGCCCAGCAGACTGAGACCCATAAGATCTGCTCCTTAACCCTCTCTAAGGCACGGATTGAGAGTAAATGCTGCTCCCGGCCTCCTGCAGCCCCTGTAACCCCTGAGGCCTCGCAAGATCAGGATATGACTATCGACAGCTTTTCCACAATTTCTCTATCCCGCCCAGTTACTCCCCTTCAACAAGGACTAGCAGATTCCCTTCCAGTTACAGCTAGAGCAGTACGCTTTGCCACACTACTATTACAAAATCAGTTTGAAATTCTAATGAATGAAAAACTATAAGATTCCAGAATTATCAGACAGATTCTATCTCAATACTCCAGCTGAATATAGGCTGCGACGTTACAGCTCACGAAATTACCTTATCCCAGGCATATTCTAACAATATCGAAATTATCTTGATACAAGAACCTTATGTATATAAGGATCTTACCCGCAAGATCACCAAAAGATATCCTTTATACGAATGTTTTTTCCCAACTGACAGCTGGATAGTAAGCGGCCGACCTAGAGTCCTTACCTATATCCGAAAAGAAAAAGGAATACAGTCCTCTCAGTTCCGCCCTAATATTATCAACCAAGAAGCACTATCAGACTTCATCTTCTCTAAATCTCTGTATACTCAGGACAATCTACCCTGATCTTCAATATCTACAATGCTCCCGCTGCTTCATCCTCGATCAGACCTAGCAGGGCCGTACAGGAACAGATTAAACGCTCGACAGACTTGATCTAGTATTTATCTCCGAGATAGATACCTCTACACATGACAAAGACAATACCCTCGACTTAACCTTTGCATCTAGTACTCTTGCTCTCACTGGAGCAAATACTAGGGTTACAAGTTATTTGGATACTACATCAGATCACCGCCCTCTCACCACTCTACCTTGGGGTCAGCGACACCCCAAGACCCCACAAAGGCTAAAGTTCAGTACTTTAGACCTTTCCCGTTTCTGCAGCCTCCTGGCCTTGAACACAAGCAACCTCTCAATTACTGCAGAAACAGAAAAAGAGCTAGACTGCCTTGCAAGTATAATCACTTCAGCTGTCTACAGTGCGTACGAAGCCTCAGCACTCAGATCCTGACCTCAGGGGAGGCCAACCGTGGTAGAACCTAGAGTGCAAAGAAGCACTCCAGAAATACCGCATGAGATTATATACACAAAAGGATTTCTGACGGGTAGTTCGATACGCCCAACGGCAATTCTGAAAAAATAAAATTAATGCAACTACCACAAGTAAAGAGGTATTTGAGATGTTCAAGTGGCACAAGACAACAGGATCCTACCGGAGCCCACCAATGAAGGACCCCTTGCAACTTGACTGCCCCCCCAGCAGTTAGTACACAAGAAAAACGTGATATCCTAGCCCGAAACCTCCTCCAGAATTCTGCTGAAGCAGGAGATATACCGCTAAACATGCCTGCGATCCCATCTAGATCTCTACTATTTCCGGACATATCATTGGCGCAGGTAGAAAAAGCAGTTCTGCATGCAGGCAATACAACCCCAGGAAGTAATAAACTTTTTACCAGCATACTAAAGGCTGCATGGCTCCTGATCAAGGATAGAGTGTTAGCACTCCACCAAGGATGCCTATTAACTGGCTACTACCCTTACTGTTTCTGTCACGCTGCTATAGCTATCAATTAAAAGCCAAATAAGACAGACTGGGCAAATCCCAGGTCGTGCAGACCAATTGCTCTCCTCTCAGTCCTAGGTAAAGGTCTTAAACGCCTGATAGCACGGAATATGGCATAAATTGCTATTTCTTACAAAGTCCTGACTAGCTAACAGTATAGAGCCTTACCCTTCCGTTCTGCTGTTGATCTTACTACTTGCCTGCTGCATAATGTGGAGCAAGCCCTAAACTAGGGCAAGACAGCTTCCCTTTTAACTTTCGATATCAAAGGCGCATTTGATGAGGTCCATCCCGGCAGACTGGTATACAGATTACGCACGCAAGGCTGGCCTGGTAACCTAGTTCACTGGGTAACCTCCTTTACTACCGGGCGTACAGTTCAAATCCGACTAGACGAAGAACTAGGGCCTAGAATTAAGATATCCTGTAGTTTACTACAAGGCTCGCCGATATCCCCTATCCTGCTTATGCTCTATCTGGCCCCCCTGTTCTGGATGGGCAAACTAAAGGCCAGATTCGGGTACGCGGACGATAGAGCCTTCCTAGCAACATCTCTATCCCTAGAGACAAACACCCAGAACCTATCAGATTCCTTGCAGGAAGCCCAGGACTGGGGTCTAGCACAAGGAATTACCTTTGCACCAGATAAATATGAGTTGTTACACTTTTCGTGATACAGAGCTAATTATGACCCTAACCGCACACCTTCAGTGATAGCGGGGCCTGTTACAATCTCAGAGAATATAATACGTCTGTACTTACGCTGGCTAGGAATCCTCTTCGACAAGAAGCTCAGCTTTAAATATCATGTTAAAGAATTGGCTTCAAAAGCTATAATTGTTGCGAATGCATTACGTTCCCTTGGAAATATAGTGCGCGGAATTAACCCTTACCTTATACAGCAAGCTGTTAAGGCTTGCGTATTCCGTAGGGTCTACTATGGCGTAGAGACCTGGTAGCCAGGCCGCTCACGCCTTGGCCCCCATACGAGGATAATCTCAAACAAGGTCCAGAGCCACCTTGATAAGATAACCCGGATAATACTAGCCGGGGCCAGAGCGATTCTCCCAGTCTACCGTACAACCTCAATCCCTGCACTTTACCGGGAGTCAGGGCTTCTGCTAGCAGAGATTGAGCTAGAGTATATAGCGGCTATCGCTACAGTCTGCTTTCGCCGTTTTGACCCCTACCACCCTCTCCGCAGGAGAGCAGAAAGAGCAATCCAAACAGGCCTTCAGACCAGCCGTTTTGCATACCGCGTGCTAGCCCTTCCTGAATCAGAACAACTGAACCCACTGCAAAATCTCCTCTGGCTCCTACAAGAGGAACGCGAAACAGCTCAACAGCGAATCAGAGTCCCTGCAGGTATATCCAAGAAGCAGGCAGTTGATAGATTTTAAAAGTTTTATGTCTCTTTCCTACAGACTGATATAAAGGCCTTTACAGAAAACTCGAAACTGGAAAACAGGATGGCAGGTAATGGATATGCCCTATATCAATCTGGAAAGCTGTTTCAACAGTCCTCCTTCTCCCTGGGACCGAACAAAGAGGTCTTTGATGCTGAAGCTGAAGCAGCTCTAGCTGGGGTTAAAGCAGCCCTTAAACTAGATACTGCTCGCTTTGTCACTGACTTCTGGGTCTGTCTAGATAACCTGGAGGTAGCTACACGCCTCCTCTCACCCTTCGCGGGCTTATCTCAAGGGATCTTCGAATCCTTCCAAGCCCTAGCCCGGACCTGGCCGGCACGGGAGAGATTCTCATATACCAATGGCGGCTCTGTACGAGTCTGCTGAGTCCCTGATCACACACAAATGCCTGAGAATGAGACAGCTGACCAATCCGCAAAGAAAGGTGCTGCCATGGATCCTCCCCTTTTAAGCAAACACTCGTACGCCTCGCTAAGGCGGCAGGCAAAGGCAGATGTCATAACTGCTCTTCAAAGATACTGGCAGTCCTCGCCCCCTTAATCCTATCATGATCTCTGGATTACCAACTTCCCTAGATGTCCTGCAGAGCTAAAGCTCCCAAGGCCGCTTCTGGCACGGATCCTAGCTGCTCGTACGGGCCATGGAGACTTTGAAGCTTACCACGAACGGTTTAATCATGAAGATGCCTACCTCCTCTGCCGCTGCGGTACAAGAAAGACTACACTACACTTCCTCTTCTGCTGCATTGCAAAGAGGCGCCTTCCCCGACCTCCAGGGTCCCCTTCTGACATAATCCCCTAAAGAGACATAACTTTTGAACCGTGGAAATATCAGAAAAATCTGCATAATCCTCTAGGATCGGTAGTTACCAATACCGATGTCCGGAATAGGAAGGTCTCCTATGTGACTAGCGGTCACATACGGTTGACAGAGTTCATGAAAACAGACATATACCACGTAACTCAGTTATTATGATGTCTTATACCTTGCTTGTCATGACAATGTCCGTTTTATTATAGCTAGAACGTACCCCATGCCGACCCAATACTATATCAATTCCAAGAGTCGACTCTTATGTTGTACCAGGTATTAAGACGATCACTGTCCGTGTGTAATAACGGGAGGCTCGAGCTGCTTCCCCATTCTGCTCATTTACTTTTTTATCCGCTGTGGGATCAGCAGAAGCACATTGGCACCGTCAGCTGTGGTCGCCTTAAAGCTGGACGTAATGCTAACTGTACGCATGTTCATACCATACAAAAGCATATCACGCTGCCGGTAGAGCTGGTATAAGTAACATTCTCATGTCTTCCCAACTTTACCAGGCTTCCGTCAAACTGGTTGTGGACTACGCATCGATAGTCTGGCACGACCCACTACGGGATAGGAACCACCTGCGACACTTAAACATAGTGTAGAGGACCTCATTGATTCGTATTCCATTGGCGTTGAGAACGGTAGCGGCGACGACCTTATGAGGAGAAAGCATACATTCCCCCATATACCAGCGCCTCCAACACCAGCCCCAGTGTACCATCGCTAGCCTCCACACACTCCCACATGCACAAGATCATCCTACCTGAGTCCGAGAGCGCAGAAACAACGTCCGTTCGAATGCACGGTTTGCACTGGCAGAAGCGCCGAAAACCATGAACCCAGAAAGACTAAATTAACTAGAAACCATTGACTCTCGACCACTAGAGCAGCACAACCATAAAATATTCAAGAATAAGCTTTTCATGTCATCTCTCGGTCAATCTGCCCCACTCATACTAATTACCGGTGCAACCGGGTTTATCGGCTCACAAGTCGTCCTCTTATCCTTACAGGCTGGATACCGGGTGCGACTGACCATCCGCAAATCCCAGCAGGAAGCCGATCTAAGGATTCGTTACTCTAAGTTTCACAACCAAATTGAGATTTTCATCGTTCCGGATATTACTCTCAGATATGCATTCAAGCTTGCCCTTAACGGCGTGGATCACATTTTTTACCTGGCCTCCCCAATGCCAGGTCGCGGGTTCGACGTCTAAGCCGACTATGTCGACCCGGCCGTTCAAGGTACAGAATCTATCCTCTTTTCCTCCCTGGAATTCCCTCAAAATAAGAAGGTGATCGTTATGTCCTCGATACTAGGGTTGATCCCCCCTACGGCTGTTCGAGAAAAGGAGGTATTTATGAAAGCTGAGTACATTTCTATCAAGATGCATTCGATGCATTGGCCGAGACTAATGGGATATATAGACAACACGAAGAAGGTCATTCCGGTATACATCCCGATGGAGTCATCAGAAGGCTCTCTCAGGCATGGGTTCAAATATAGCGTCTCGAAGATCTCGGCTCACCAAGCCACGCGGGACTTCCTTGCCAGCCAGAATCCGCACTTCACCATTATCACCTTTCACCCCACTTTTGTCCTCGGCAAGAGCCTCATTCAAACAACAGCCCAGGAGATAGACGGAATGAACGTGTTTTTCTGGAATAGCCTGCATTCTGAGAAGCCGACAATACCGAACGTGTGGGTCGACGTACGGGTTGTGACCGAGGCACACATACGAGCACTCATGGTGCAGATCCCGTCTGGGACAGAACTTATTCTGTCGGCGCTGGCGGCGTCATGGAATGAGATAGCGGAATTAGAGAGGAGGAAGTGCCCTTCTCTTGATTGTAAACTGAAGCGCCCGATAGGGGGTTGCTCCACTACGTGAATCGACCATTGATCCATTGGCCCCACCTGGATCTGTCGGGTCTCAATGATCTCTAGGTTATTATCGAGGGCTACAATGACTCTCCCTAAGCTTTCCTGCTGACCTGAGGTGACTGAGTAGACGACAATGTCGGATATCAAGCGAACGTTCTCGGCCTCTTGGGCTGCAGCTTCTCGATTGGGCCGAATCTCGATCTCAGTGAGGGGACCCAGACACCATGGTGGTACCGAATATCATCCCTTTTTATACTACCTCTAGGTCACAAGGCTCGAAGCAATCGCATGTGGTGATTAATCGACCACGGTGGATCATTTTATTAATCATATCGTAAAGAATGGTACGACAATATCCCGTTTCACTAATCATACTAGCAGTGATTACCCTGTCCCAATATGCCTAGGTCAGGTTTGATCACTAATCTTAATGCAACATGCTTACATCTCTCAACAGTCGCCGCGGCTCAGGGTTCCGTAAAGCGGTCTCTGTATAGATGTAGCTTGGGATTTCAACTTTCTGTCGTACTATCAAGAAAGCGAGCTATCTCTGATTCGTAACGCCCTCCCCCTTCTACTACAAAATGCCCCTCCGCAAACACAGCATGTGTGTGTGTGGGTGTCGGTGTGTGTTACACTGACTCTCCTCTTCAAAGGGATATGCAGGAGCCCACGATCTCGTAGTAGACCAATACTTCCCATACTTCCTGATGACTTCAGAGCCTTGCCGCAGCCTATGATGGCCTGTATGCCTGGTGTTCTGTTTAGCGGCCCCATGGGACGCGACATGGAAACCTCTGTGATGTCTGCTCAAAGTCCAGTATTGCGCTCAGGATGCTACTGTCTTGCATATCATACTGCGTAGCTCCCTTACCCTAAGATCCCTCCTTAGCATACCTGATATATCATTGAATGCAGTCCCAATTTTTCTTTGCAGCGTTTGGCGTAGACCATTCGATCTGCGGCATGCATTGGTCTTATGTCCGCACCCACTGCTATTTCGGATTCTCTTTCATGCTCGGCCGTTCTGTAATCTGGAATGAACCTCGTATTCTTAGCTTGGCAATTAATCTTGCAAGAACAAACCGCGTCTACGGCTTTACCCGCGCCCTCAGACAACCTGGCTGAAGTAAGAATCAAGAAATATTCCCGAAACATGGTCGGCTCAACTCTGACCACTAACAAAATTCATAGGCCTCAAGGATAAAAAGATATTAGACGTGGATTAAGGGGAACCGTCGCTTGTTTGTGCTTGCTCCTCGCCCAATTGCTCCTATCTTAGTTCCTCCTTTTGACCATGGTAGATGCTAGTCCGGTAAGGTAATAAGGTAATCGCGGGACCTACGAGGCTAGTAAACTTTTACTACATTCCAATAGACAGCACGGCCTTGCGTTAACAGCTAAAGCTAGGCGTCATCTCATACTTAATCACCCCAACGCCTCCGTAATGATAGAGGAGGATTCGACGGGCATAAGTAAAAAATCAAGTTATAGAATTAGGGTACATGTTCATATTCGCAATGTCACCTGCGTGTCCCATATACAATACCAGGGAGGTGTGGTACGGGCCTGTAGATTCCTTAGCAATCTTAGTATCGGACATGTTCGGTACTGACTAAATTTGGACCTTACCCAGGGGATACCGCAAAATGAGCTCATCCACCCGCATAACCACTAGTTACCATTCAGGCAACCATTGACCAGGGGCTGACTATTCAAAGAAGAGATGGCAGATGCGCCCTGTCATGCTGAATAGGGCGATTGAGTCTCACCCATTCCTTCTCCTTGGTGGAACCGGCTAGTGGAGGATACATCCCATTGATCTTCCATTGCTGGCGCGGAGCGTCCACGATGAAATATTCCCAATCCAGACCCTTGGTTTTGAATCGTTCAAGGATCAGGTCAATCTGCTTCAAGAAGTCCAACCTGTCGGTTTCAGTCTTGAAGGTGCGAGCGATGTGCACAATACTGAGATTGACAAAGTTTGACCGATACTCTCCACCAACGAGCATGTCATTTGAGCCCATTTCGAAGAATTGAACATTGACATAGAAGGCTGGCAAGCCCTTGCTGGAGTATAGTTGGGTGATCTCTTTCGCCAAACCCACCTTGTCCTGCTTAGATAAGGCACCTTGAGAGTATTTAAAACTCCAGACCGGCATTTTTCTTTTTGAAGGAGAACTAAAGAATCGTGAAGGCCGTGTGTTTGTGCTCTCAGCAATGATTTCGGAATTGTTGGGAATGGATTGGAGAGGAACCATGGATGCCCTTTCGGACCTCTCATTTTAAGGACCTCCCTCAGGCGGTACAAAGTGGCACCACATCTATCTAGATTAGTGATCGCAATCACTAAATTAATGGACTATGTTTTTTATCAATAATCGAGCAGTCGGCGAGAAGAAGTGCTAAGAATACGACATCGACATGATAAGTGGGGCCTTAGCCTACTGCACGTTGAATAAAAAGTTGTGGCCGCGGGTGATGACTAATCCGCTTATATCATCGCCTTGCTTGACCGGACCGATCACGCAACCGTATTGATTTATGACGATCGTGAAGCCTCTCAAATTGCATAAATATCGGCTTCTTTATCGTGTAGTTAGAAAGAATTAAGACCTTCATTCATTTGAATATGATCATATAACTCGGTTGAAAAATCACTTCTTCGGTAGACCCACATATTTCTGTCACAAAAGTCCTTCAGCGTTGTAGCTCCCAACAACAGAAGGCCGTCTTCCCTGCTGACGCACTCCCTGGCGCAAGGAACTGCAACCTGCCCAGCCATTGCTGGGGTGATTAGTGATCACATTAGGAGCTCCTCGGTAATTCTGTCTTTTTTTTTTACTATATCCGTCTACCTTCTGCGGGAATTTAGCATGGTATCGTTATATCCACTAATACCAGGTTTTAGTAGCGTTGTCTGCTCGCTTGGCATGGGGCTGGAAATAATACTGGTCCAATAGGATTAAGTTCACACTGATTATTCTATGTCTCCGAAGCAATAATGTACGGAACAATGTTGATCTTAACTATGTTCTTGAGACTAATAGCGGACAGGCTATTAACCTGAGGCGGGTACTTCCTTCGAAATTGATCACATCTGCAGTACCAGGCTGATGGCATAGTAAATCGCTATCAGCTCGGCTGCGTCGACGGACCAGTACTCAGTTGATCTAATACAGATCTGTCGGGATCGTATAATATTCTGATTTTGGTCCAGGGCTACTGTTGCCGCGCTCAGGCTGTCCTGTTGACCCGATGCGTCCGCGTAGAATGTAATGCCAGGAGCTCCTTGTCTGATTGCGGAGTCTTCCCGTGCTTTCTCGCGGTCTGGCTCAATGTCAATCTCCATGAAGGCTGGTCTTTGCCATGGTGGTTGAGACCTTGGATCGATGATCTCCAGGGCTTGTAGTCAGTCAAGATCCATTGTCTTGAGGGTTTCTGCTAGCGGGAACTGGTGACCGGATCCTCTCAACGCATTTATCACAGGGCCGGGACCTAGCGCACTGCCAACGTTTAATGCTAAGAACAGAAGTGGATAGTCAAGAGCTTGGCCACTCATTTTGGGCTTCCTCGCCCTACATGCTGTACAGGCGTTTGACCGCTTCGCTCGTAGGGGACAGGCTGCCACATCTTGGAGGGATGAAATGGAGCAAGATCCCGTAACAGCCCATGACCAGACTGTGACGTCATGCTGTGAAGTGTTATCGAGGCTCCTTAACGTGAAAGGGGGTCCAAGTGTCGGATCGAGTGGCCCTGACGACTTGTTGTTCCCTTTGAGAAGCCGGATACCTCCAGTGTCCCGATCTCTGTATGGCGGCTGATAAGTATCAGGATCGCGGTGCGATCAAGATGAGAAAGATGCTTGAGTTCCTAAAGATGCAGCGAAGCTGCGAGAGAGCTCTCTACCGTGTGGATCAGATGGCACACTAAATTACATTAGGAAGGAGAAGCGGTCCAACAATAAGAATTACAAAATGCCACCAAAATGGTTACGCCTCCTTGAATGAAATGTGCTGAAAGGGGCCGCCTGGGGTACGCGGGGCTGAGGCAGCTTTGACAAGGCAACAAAATAGATCATCTTGCTCTGACCAGCAGCAACAGAAGGAGAACAAATAGGAAACCCTTTAAATAAGATCCTTAACAGATATAGACGTTTTATTGTCATTGATGCAGGCTCCCAGATAAGCAAAATTTTCGAGGTCGATATTCGACTTTTCCACAGAAGACGGTTAGCATCCGCACACTCTACGTCTTTTCGGGTCTTCACTGACAGTTTCCACTAGATCTTGACTTCGGTGAAGTGAAGAAAAGCAACTTCCAGTTTTTCAGTGCAGCGTCACGGTGTTCTAATGTGGACGGTGCGCAGTCGTCACTGCCGACAGTGTTGCGGAATATGTCAATGTTTGTGAATTTCACCAAAGTCACCAGATCCCATGTTTCACTTCCATGAACGGCTGAAGTGGGAAAACCTTGATATACAATTTCAAAGTCACCAGCCTTGGTCGCAAGTCTGCTGACTTCTTTAATGAATCTCTCAAACCAGGCTTCTCGGCCACTGCAAGGTGGGTGTGAATTTCCTGAATATTGCGCTTGCTCGTGCCATTGAAAAAAACAAAGCATAAAGACAGGGTGGTCTTCAGGGAAGTCGTTTGGTATATTATTGACAAGGTTTCTGACTTTTACCATTTTGGTCTTATAGATGAAAGATCAAGGATATTGTAAAAAATGTTCCATTAGATGAAGTTTTGTACTTAGATACCTCCGGTGGGATTTCAAGTTCACCTAATTGATTACAAATCAAGTCAGTTAACTAATTAGATGGTAACGATCATTTCCAGGAGGATTCAGATGGAATATCTAAGTCCACCAAAAGACCCTTTTGAGCCGAGATGTGCCGATTCATCACCTCTGGGGCATATTAACTAATCCAAGTAACATAGATATTAATGAGTGTGGGCCAGATGCATCCATGAAATGCGCATTTCTTGTTTCCAATATATGCCGGCAGTTCCTGCCATAGATGTACAGAGTGTGGGAGTTGTTGATCTCGGTCTCCGGCGGCAAATCTGAAGTCCCTGGCAGCGCTTAGTCATTTGGCGTTCAGGGTCTGGATCTTCGGGAATTAATTTTTGGTAGTTAACTAAGTTAACTCTTTGTTAGTTAGTTAACTAGTTAGTTATGTTTAATAATCATATTTTCTGATTAGTTAACTATGTGGCATGCCGGCACGTCCGAAAGGCTACTAAGTAGACGTCATTAATTATCTCTTGGGTATAAAGCGACAACGAAATCCAGGTAGTATTTTTTTAATTGCAAATTACCAATCTATCATCTTCAGTTCATTTTGTCCAGAATGTCTTCGTTGATTGTCGGTACCCTCCTGTCAGCGGCTCTACCCCAAATGATGTAACCAGTGAAGAACGATCAAGCGCCATCGATTTTGTCAACCGTCACAACTTTGTTTTTGAGGAATTCGACCATGCTAAAATGATTGATACTTTCCTCCCAAATGCTGTTGTTTACCATAGCCATGGTACCATCAGTGACCACAAGCAGAGGAAGGAATTTTTCGAGAAAATTTACGGATTTTTTATTCCGGGGATCTCCCGCAGTGCCACAAACCACATCGTTGATCATGATGAAGATGGAGGTGTGATTGTGCGGTATCAGGAAACCCTTATCCGATATGGTTGGCCGGGTGACGACACGGCTGCGTTTACTCAAGAGGATGTGGTCAGAGAGAATGGACTGCCGGCCATATGGTGGATTGGGACCAACATTGATCGGCTTCGAATGACATCCAACGGTTGGAAGATTTTTGAGCGGTATCTTGGAACACCTTTCAGAAATGGCGCTCTCGACCTCGATCGAGCGCCTGAGAAAGTGTCAACTGTGTGACCGCTCTTCACATAGGAGACCTTCCTATTCTGGATATCAATATTGGTAACTACCAATCCTTGAGGGTTATGTAGATTTTTCTAATATTTCCATAGCTTAAAAATTATGTCTTGTTTAGTTGCTTTATCAGGTTGGATTACTTATCATTTCTATGTATTTAACCGACCGTGTGTAGCTAGATTCTGAAAGAATCAGACCTTCATTCATTGATATTCCTTGTGGTTGAGATCAAGTAATTACGCCTAGACTGACGCTCTATAAAGAGCTAGTATGCTATTACTCTTTGAAGCATCAAGTATGGACAGCAAGGACAGGACCTTTGTATATGGCACGATCATTTTGCTCTCAACGCAATTGATAAGAAAACGGGTCACGCCCGCAGCGACAGGCTGGTTTCGTAGTATGAGATCAATCAAACATCATAAATCCATTAAAAAGTGTGAGGCGCGACTCAAAGCTTTGAATTCGTTACCTAAAGAAAACGATAGGACTCCGGCGGCTTACGAATTGCTTCATTCCTGCAACAACTACGCGGACCAAGGGGATCTCGATTACTAGTTCTCGACGGCCATGGGAGACATCTTACGCCTCAATTCGACAAGGTATGCAAGGACAATAATATCAAATGTATTTGCATGCCTCCGCATTCATCTCACCTCTTACAACCACTAGATGTTGGTTGTTTTGGTCCTTTAAGCGCGCGTACGGAGGCCTAGTTAAAGCAAAGATGCGCTTAGGATTCAACCATATCGACAAGCTTGACTTTATAAAGGCCTATCCCACTGCGCCCAAGCAAGTATTCACGATATAGAATATTTAAAGCAGCTTCAAAGCAGCGGGGATACTTCCTTTTAATCTTAAGAAGCTTCTTAAGGGGTTAAATATTCAAATATCGACTCCGAACCCCCTAGCCCCGGGGCCTCAACGAGCTCCTCCGCGCCTGCCACGCCTTATACAGTCCGTCAACTATATAAAAAAGCTTCGTCAGTCAATAATCTGCTTGCTAGAGGCTGTCAAACCTTATTTAGTCCTTCCAAGTGAGCGCTAGATGAGCCTATAAAGGGCTGCGAAATGGCTTTATAATATGCAGCAGTGACCCTTAAGGAATTGAATAATCTCCCGCAGGTACTCAGGTTCAGCAGCAGAAAAAGAGACAATCTAAGTGACAAGTACTTCCTTGCAATGGCCTCCAAGTTCAAGAAGCAAGGGACTTAATTACGTTGAGAAATGAGCAATTAAGTTTGGACGAAGGGGGCCCTAGTAGTTCTGCTCCGCTCGCTTCTGAAGCCCGAAAACGTGCACCACCGAGGTGTAGTGGGTGTGGTATACAAGGCCATATTAGAACCTAGAGTCCTAATCGTCGTCGAACTTAGTTTAATTAATAATATTAAGAATTGCGTTGTTGAGAATAGCTTCAATATCGACTAGTACCTATGGATTGGATCTGGATAGAATGTAAGTGGTTATTCCCCGTGTTTATATCTGATTACCAAAGACAGCAAGCACTGACTGGCTCGGGATATGGATAGTTTGTGAGTGATACTTCCTCTATTTCTAGATGACCACTAGAAGGCGGGACTAATTAAGTGCTTTCGCTCTAGTAATACAAACCGAAACCACAAAAGCCAGAATACGGCATGTCTCTTCAATAACATGGGTTGTCATTCATATCACAGCTGCTATGGGACCTCTGCTAGTATTTCTACTCGAGTGCTGCTTTCTGTTCCAGCTTACGGGTATACCCGTTACATCGACAGTCGCTTTCTTTGCCTTGGTATAGGTTTTCCCCTATTAGATTACGTTTCCCTGTACTGTCATGCGAATGCAAAGGCTCATCATTCAATTGCTTATCTGTCGTAGAGAATAGTTGCTCATCCAATGTTTTCTCTGCTAGTTTTGCTTGTTTCCAGCATTGTTCCAATATATTTATGGGCTTGGATCAGCTGCTTCGGGAATGGCGCAGTGTCTCAGTCAAGTTGCACAATATGAGGAGGGGAAAAAGAGACTGTCATAAAGAGTAGTCCGCATGAACTCATCTCTAGTCATACAACCTGTAAGGGACATAATCTCGGGGAGAACCCCTCCTGCTAGTGACAGGAATAATAGCGGAATGCTTAGTACCAGAATAATGACCACCAGGAAAGCCAAGATTGGTAGAAAGAACACCACCAATGGGGCCTACCATCACATTCCCAACTCCCTTGCCAATGCAGAAGAGGCTAAAGATCATAGGCATTATAGTTAGGTCATCACTAACAGCCGTACTCATGCACGCCCACATGACCACGTACCCAGCCATAGACCAGCACGAATATTATCAAGGGTCCCAGGGAGTGGCCCAGCCCCCATAAGGTAAGCGTCGCGGTTGCGATCGACAGGGTCGAGAGGAGAACGAGAATGTCAAGATAAAGTCACTTATTAGATAAATAGCCAAAGGTGAACTGGCCCACGACTTATGATACACTCATAATAGCCAAGAGCATTACACCCTAGGTATGGCTCAATCCAATTAATGCTGCGTAAGATACAGATATATCAACGAGAAGAAGCAACCAAGACCTTAGACAACATTCAAGGCCAAGTAGATCCAAAAGAGGGGGTGCTTTAGAAAGCTAGAGTCTACTCGAATGCCGAATAGACACTTTCCGGTCTCCGTTGCCGATGAAAAGGCCGTGGTGGTTGTCAAGGACCCCGATGCTGAGTCTGAAAACAATACTCAACGTTCATAGTAAGCTTCCTCTATCTTCCCTCATGGAGGCCAGTAACTCGTTCGAACCCCCTTGCTTGTATTGAACGTCTCTTCTAACTTGCACCCATCTAGTACCAACGATGATATCTGGTAGTAGCTGCTATTCATTCATTTGCCCCTTTTGTCCCATGTGCTCTTTCATCTGGAATTACACCCCCCATTTTTCGGTGTCTCCTTCCTTTTGAATCTTGGCCCTGCGAAGCAGTGTTTGGTCAAACTCAAGTACTTTGCCTCCTGTCGCTGTGTGTTTTTTTCTGCATCCATTCTTTCTTTAATTTACCAGATGCAAGGCACTCTCCAGACTGCTGTGAATTAATGCATATTCCTCACATTCTATACATATTCTATGAGCACACACCCGTAGTAATGTACAAGCAGGTTTGCTTCGGAGGCATCTATGACGGAAGTTGGTGATCAAGACTAGTCCTATTGATTGATCAACGGGAAGAACCTAATGGTCGGCATCTGCTTTCCTCCAAGGCAAACACCAAAGAAGTAAAGATGCTGAAGTGATGAAGACTCATGAATAGTCCTAGGGGATCGTGGCCCAGAAGTTCGAAACGGAATGTTGTAAATGATAACCTGCTCTTGCATGTAATGGCCCGTGTCGTTGTTTCTATGTAAATATTCAAAGTTTTAAACGAAACAACGCTAGGCTATGAAAGAACGTGTAAGCTCGATTATTGAGGACTGTATCTTTTAAAAAGCATCAAATTGACGTCTGATCTCGAAAAGTAGACTGACAAGTCATACTTTCAAGTTTATCAACATAGTAGCCTATCTCTGTTAATATCCGCTCCAGTTACTTGTTAAGAATGAGGGAAAGGCGTGCAGCTTACTAGCAGCTCCCCATCTTGTCCCAATATACCGTAAAAGATCTTTCAAAGAGTGTATTGATGGCTCCGGATCAGCACCCCCGGACAACCTTACGTCTCGAAGATAGACAACCGCGGCTTTATAGATGCAGTGCATAATGAAAACAGGCATTTTTGCCACTTCCGCTTTTGTGGGTATGTCTTTTGCTCCGTGACTGATCTCAAGAACCAAAGATTCTAAGATATTGATGGATGTGCGGGCGCAATACTCATTGGCTGGGATGGTAACGTGGGAAGTAAATTCAAGGACTTCTAGCATTGCGCTATCCCTTCGGATAAGCGCTCGTGGTTTAAAAGTGGATCGGATAGGCCCGCAGGCGTCGATGGCTTACCTTCGGTATATAGCCAGGGAGCTGGACGATAGAGGATCCAAGGTAGGGCTTTCTCTCTGGAATGTTGCCAACAGCGAGGTCAAAGTCTTGATGATGTGCAATGCGTCTAAGCGTGCCTCTACGCTTTTGGGTGGTGGAAGCGAGATGAGCTCATGATACTCGTGGATATGGGCAAGCACGTGCTCCAAGAGTCCGGATGAATGGAATAACTTCGTGAATGGATCGCTCTGCATTGTTTCATCAACATCCTATGGATTTCTCAGGGTCAGGAGATCTCAATTCTAAAACGCGATCATTGGCTTTCATATCACTCACATGATTGTTGATCGCTGCATCTACACGTCGTCCGCGGAGAGCGCTAGGTTCATTGTCGCTCTCCAGAGAGGTATATCTACCAAAGAATACGAATGGGCATCACATTTCCCAGACGGAATCCAAGGGACTCAAGGGGATAGTAGTGTTACCTATCTGTGATAATAATGCCCCGCCAGGTCCGTCGCGCCTCCTCTGCTTCTTGTGGATCCAGAAACACTTTATGCAGGTCCTCAGACGAGGCGGCACTGGCCCCGAGAGCGATCGCCGCCCGGACGTTAGCTCCTGCCGAGATATAGGCAGCCGGGTAGATTGCATGTCCGATTTCGAAAACAGTCAAAAGAAGTCGGGCCTGCAGCAGGTCCAAAGAGTTCGTGCCCATGGCCTCAAGTGTGGCGATGAAGCCCTTCACAAGAATATATAGGGATCGCGTTTCAGCCGACACTGCCCCATCTATAGGCATCGTACACACGAGGAACATACAGAGGGTCAACACGCTAAACTCCGACGGGGCAGGTTGAGTCCGGAATTTCCAGAGCCGAGAGTAGAATGCGGTTTCGGCCACGACTGGCAGCCAGGCGTGCACGGTTCGGAAGTATACGGCGACGGCCTCTTGTAGTTGGGGGCCGTCGCCCACAATCGACGAGACTTGCTCTTCCAGGGTATAGCGAATATTCAGCGGCGTCAGGTCACTCAAGTCGGGAACAGATATGGGACGAGGTGATTCAGCGTCGATCACTGGATATGAACAAGACTTGCTCAATCTAGACCCAATCAGTTAGCATGTTAGGTCCGGTCACCATGTCAAGAAGGGCATACCGTTTGCAAAGAGAGCACACGGGGAAGAGTTTGTCGCATTTCCGTTTCTGCTTCCTGCAGCGGATACAGGCTTGAGACATGGTGAACTGACAATCTCCGAGAAGAGACAAGACGAGACCAAATGAGACAAAATGAGGTGGGATACGATGTAGAGAGTAGAAGGAATGCGGGTGCGGGTGCGGATGCGGAGGCTTGACCCTGTCAGGACTAGCGCAGATCGATATTATTAGCTGCCTAATGCGGTTTAGCCTCCGCCTCTGCGTCCGCACCAGATCTATACGGAGTGCACTATAAACTCGATGTTTTTATCTCTGTCGGTCTACAACTGAGCTTTTCAACAGAACTCCAAATTGTCATTTGCATTATACCATGAGCATCATCCGCAATGTCGCTATCGCAGGGGTATGTCTCTATCTGCCTTCCACGGCAATTACGCTTACTGATATTCTCCAGGCCTCAGGCGATCTCGGCGCCCCCATACTCCGAGCCCTCATTGACAGTAACCTCTTCAGTATTACCGTTCTCACGCGCCACGAGTCCTCTGCAAAGTTTTCAGACTCTGTTCACGTTCTCCGCGTTGACTACACCTCCGTCACCGACCTGACCGCAGCACTAACCGATCAGGACGCCGTCGTCTCCGTTCTGACCAGCAACGCCATGGAAGCCCAGCTACCTCTCATCGAGGCATCCATAAACACCGGTGTGAAACGGTTCATCCCATCCGAGTTCTGCGCAGATTGCGGGAATCCCAACGCGGCCACCTTGCTCGTCTACCAGTCCAAGAACGCAGTGCACGAGCTCCTCCAGCGCCGTGCTCGCGAGAACCCACAATTCACCTATACTTCGATCCGCATTGGGCCGTTCCTCGACTGGTCCCTTGCCTTTGGTTTCTTTCTTAACTTGAAGCCGGAGCCGGGGTCGGAGGCCATCACCACGCCCCTCTACGACGGCGGAGATCGTCCATTTAGCACGTCGACCTTGACCACGATCGGTCAGGCGGTGGTAGGTGTCCTTCAACGGCCCGAGGAGACAAAGAATCGAGTCGTCTTCGCTCATGATCTCGTCACCACTCAGCGGAAGATCCTGGCTATGGCGCGCGAGATCGCGCCGGATCGAACCTGGAATCCGGTGGACGTGAGTACCGAGGACATGGAGGCCGCTGCGCGGGATAACTATGCCAAAGGGAACTTTGACTTGCAGGCGTCGATGGGGTTCTTTTGCCGCTCGGTGTTTGCAGAAGGATATGGAGGAGAGTTTAAGCATGTGGATAATCAGTTGCTTGGGATTCCGGAGAAGTCGGACAAATATCTGGAGGAGAAGATTCGAACTGTGTTGGCGAATAGCTCCTGAGGGAAATGTGTTTTATTTGTTGGACAATGTGGCAATGTCAGCCAGTTTAACTCCCGGTCTTAGTGATTCAATCCATTTGTGTCTTTTTCGCTTCCTGGCTCTATATGTCTGGATGGGAAGGGGCCAATATTTCACGGAGATGTTACTTAAAAGGTCGACATATACGTGAATAGATAGATGCCTTTCTCTTTTCAATGAGAGTATATTATTCAGTTACGGACAGACTATATAAACTGCACATACATTTAGCGAACAGGTAAAAAGATCATGAATCAAATCGAATACTTCGTACATCTAACCAAAAGAAAAAAGACTCCCCTTTCCATCCAACCCAGGCGCCTCATACACATAGACCATTTACACGGCCTCATTCTCTAGCTTCTTCGTTGTTCCCTTGGAATCCTCATCGTCAGATCTTTGATGCTTCGCCTTCGCAAGTATGCTCTTCCACTCCAACCCAGCCGTCCCGAGCATAGTCAAACACGACATGACCAGCCCAACCACAAACACTTACCTCAGCGCCTCATAATAAACCACAAGAGCCGTACCCCGTAGTCCCTCCGGCAACAAACCAAGCAAAGACGTAGCGCCGCCCGACGTGACAAATTTCGGATCAAAACCCGGCATACCCGAAAGGCGACTAACCGGCTGATTATCCAGCACGTTCTCCCCAACAGAGATGAATATAGTCGCTCCGAGAAGCTGCCCAAAGAACATCAGCGACGAGCCGATCGGGACATCTGCGGCTGGAAGAACAGTCTGTGCAGCAAGATTGGGAGCCTGAAAGGAGAGACCCATCCCGAATCCGTAGAGGATCTGATATCCGATCCATTTGCCCTCGCTGGTGTCGACCTGGAGAGTTGTGAGGAGGCCGGCCCCGATGGTCATTATCCAGGATCCGCCAATAGCGAAGGGCGTGTAGTATCCGGCTTTTTGAGTGGCGAGGCCCCCGACAATTGATGCGAGGACCACGGCTAGCATCAGTGGGAGGAGGCGGATGCTAGACTCCACGGCAGAGACAGCGGTGATGGATTGAAACTAGATCGGGAGGAAGTACGCTGTGAAAGGATCAGTTGGATGTAGGACTATAGGCGAACGCTGACTTACTATAGATGTATGACGACGCTCCGACGCATATCGTGATCCAACAGCCAGCGGCAATACTGCGCTGTTTGAAGATCCGCGGGGGAATTGTTGCTGTCTTGGGAAGCAGGAATTGAACGGCTACAAAGCCTATAGCCAGGACCCCCATTAGAGTCAATAAGGCAATGATACGGCCGTTGCTCCACTAAATGCTGATTAGTAGTTGCTTAAGCTAAATAAGGAGCATTTGGGTATCTCACAGCACAGGCTTGGCCACCCCACTGACGTGCCAACAGAAGACACACCATACAGGATATTAGGATCACAGTACCAACAGCGTCCAGTTGTGAAACCTTATCCTTCCAGACCAGCTTGGTCGTATCTCGATCAGGCACCTTCAGACAGAAGATGATGATAGCCACTGCCACGCCACCGAACGGCAAGTTGATATAAAAGCACCATCTCCAGGTTACATTTGAGGTAAATGCACCGCCAATCAGCGGTCCTACTATGGAAGCAATGCCAAAAATAGATCCGAATAGACCTTGGATCTGAGCACGCTTCTCTAAAGGAACAGCATAGACAATACACATGATCTGGAGACAACATTAGCTTTCTAAATGGGCTAACTTAGGAAATTATAATTAATTTACAGATCCAGAAAAGATACCGGCCGCACCAACTCCGGCGATTGCTCTTCCAGCAATAAAAGCTGCCGAGCTAGGCGCTGCTCCGCAGACTGCAGATCCAACCTCAAAGCGTAGAACGCACGCGACCAGGACGCACTTTATAGGGTAAAATTCATATATATTTCCAAGCAACAGCTGAAACGAACATGATGCCAATGTATATGCGCTTCCATACCAGCCGACATCCGACAGGGAATTGAATTCATCGGTGATTTGAGGGATGGTCTGCGGCAGCTGAGTTAACGTCTGGGTTTTCAGAGATTTCGAAGCTGATGATGAGAATATACCGTTGAGATGCTTGTTCTGTCCAAAGCTACTAAAAAGATGCTCATCAAAACAGTGATTATTAGAAGGAGGTCTTCACTGTGGATTGCTCCTGATGGGCACTCTTGGGTTGGTTGACATTGTGAGAAGCCATGTTGGTCGGGTTGATTGAAGCAACTTGCGCTCTAATATTTAGACCGGTATAATTCTTGGAGGCTGCTGTCTATTAAATACTAGGAATGGTGCGCATTTTTCAACTGCCCGCAAAGAAGACGATGGCGATATAGACCCGTCGACCAATCACGGGAGCGGTTCGGGAGTTAGAAAAACCCGAGCTTCTAAAAAGGCCGATAGTTTCCTGCTTCTCCATATCCATACCCATACCAATTCCATCAAATTCCCCGAACTCCGAGTCAAGGACTGTCATTGACTCCGTTATTCCAACCATGTCAACGGGGTTGCCTACGCCAGAGCAAAGTGATATGGCCACTCCTTCCCGGTTGAAGTCCCCCCGACCTCTCGCCTGCGTACCCTGCCAGCAGCGAAAGGTGAGATGTGACCGCAGATCGCCTTGCACAAATTGCATCAAGCACAAGGCGCAATGTATGCTAGCCACACAGAACCGTCGGCGAAAATGCTTTCCGGAGAGAGCCCTTTTGGATCGCCTCCGGAAGTATGAGTCTTTGCTCCGCCAGAATAATGTCAGATTCGACCCGCTTCATCGAGACCGCGTCGGCTCTGAAAGCAGTAATGATTCGGATCATGAGCAACATGACGCCAGTGACACACATTTGTCACATCCTGTGAATTCTTCAGGACCTAAGAAGTCTTACGAAGCGAAGTACGTTGTTTGTTGATCTTTTGGCCTCTTGTTCTCCAGGTGGGCTAACTATGTCAGAAACATGTGGCTCGCCATGAATTCAGGGGTTAGATAGCCTTGTCTAAGTTATACTAAAATCATCTGCTGACATTTTAAACAAGCTCCGAGACACCAACAACGAGATTACAGTCAGAAAGGCGTGGGACCAAGGGTCTCACGATGACGATCACCTTCTATTTTGCCGAATGACGGCTGTTGATATATCTACTCTTCACCCAGATCCCATTCATATCTTCCGGCTATGGCAGATCTATCTCGTAATGTCGATCCTCTGCTCAAGGTCACTCATACTCCAAGTCTCCAGGGGCGGATTATCGAGGCCGCCGGTAACCTTGCAAGCATCAACCCGGTCCTCGAGGCGCTTATTTTCGGCATATATTGCATGGCCATATTAAGCCTATCTGTAGATGACTGTCAGAACATGTTTGGTTCTTCAAAAGAAGACCTTTTGGCCAAGCCCCAATTTAGTTGTCAGCAGGCTCTATCGAACTGCGAGTTCCTCAGGTCAAGTGATCGCGACGCTTTAACAGCGTTCTACCTATATCTGGTGCGTCACGTCACAAATACTCTGACAGGCACTAACCCTTGTCCAGGTCTCATCATTCTCTGATAGAAATCCTCGGTCCCTCTCTTCTATGCTTACCATTGCGATCCGCATAGCTCAACGCACGGGGATACACAACGAAGCGACTCTAGCCAGATACTCTGTGATCGAGGCTGAAATGCGCCGGCGGCTTTGGTGGTCGCTCGTGCTCTTTGACTCTCGCATTAGCGAGATAACGGAGTACAGTATCACCGTGCTAGCTCCTACCTGGGACTGCAAGATTCCCCTCAATGTCAGCTATTCGGACCTCCAAACAGAGATGAAAGAGCCTCCGGTAGCCCGGGAACAAGCCAGCGAGGCTATCTATGCCGTTACACGCAGTGAACTTGGAGAATTCATCCATCACGCACCATTCCATCTCGATTTCACTAACCCGGCCTTGAAGCCCATTGCCAAGGATCTGCCAGATGGAGGCGATATCGGCGCTCTGGAGAAGATAATCGAGAAGAAATATCTCGAAACCTGTGATCCCCAGAATCCACTCCACTTCATGACTATCTGGATGACGCGAGCACAGCTCGCCAGATACCACCTTGTCGAACATTACTCGAAATATTCTAATTCGTCTTCGCATTCGAAGGAGTCGCAGCGCGATGCTGCTATGTCCCATGCGTTGGGCATGCTTGAATGCGACACTAAGATCATGACATCCCCTCTGACCAAACAATTTCATTGGTTTCTTCATTCCAACTTCCCGTTCTTCGCATACATCTACATCCTTCAGCGCCTGAAAGAGCGCCCTATCAACACGCAAGCTGAACAGGCCTGGGAAGTAATGAGTGACAATTACGAAGCTCGATTCGGTTCCCTGAATGTAGTCGATAATCCTCTCTTCCGAACTTTTATCCAAGTTGTGCTACCGGCCTGGGACTCCTTCGAGGTTGCTTTCAAACGGCATGGAGAATCATTGTCTCCGCCAAGAATTGTGTCAGATATCAGACAAAAGTTGACGGAAATACCACGAGACACAGAGACCCCGGGTACGGATTATAACACTATGACTGGACTGAAGGACCGTTTCACAGCCCATGAGCTCTAATGAGCACAGTTTATTATATGCCATGGATAACCAGGACAGTTAGGGACCAATGGGGTTATTTTCAGATATGTCGGCACAAGTTTCGCTGATGGATAACATGGACCTGTTCAGTTGGGCTTCACCAGCGTGGGCGCTGGGCCAGCATACTGGCTGGATATTCTACATCTATAGATGTAACGACCCACATTAAGCGACTGATTTGATCCTGGTACAGTTACATATATCCAACTTTACGAATTGATGGCAGCGATTTCCATCGAAATAATCAAAATTATTTGCGAGAATGACTGATTCTAGGTGAATATAATTTGTATGAAATTTCCATGGGAAGATCCTCGACAATATTATGCTCATGAAGTGGTAGCCATACTTGCCAGACACTTCTCACTATGGACCTCAACCACCCACAAAGTCTCTTCTTCATCATATGCCCAAACCATTATTAATATACCATTTCGACAGAAGATAATGGTAAGCGAGAGAAAACTAGCCAGTGTTATGTTCTTTACTAAACCAATAAGATTAAATAGGTCTGTAAAGCGTCAAAGACTGACTTCACTGTGTACCGCATTATTTTGTCACTTCTTTTTTTCTCATTTCTTACATGAATAGACTCTACAAAGTTTACCCACCTCCACCATTGAATAAACTATGCCGTGATGAAACATATATTCAATATAGTTCATGCATGAAATCTTCCTATCGAAATCTGGAGCAATAACGTCCAACTCTAAACTTAAACCGCACGACTAGTACGACTCACTGTGTCAGGGATTGGAGAGCCCTAAAAAGAAGAAATTTCCAAGCAATATCACATCCAGCGTAACTTTAGTTTGACAAAACCGAGAAGACCCGAGCTGGGGCCTGCTCTGACAGTGACTGTTGCATCTTCCCCCCCCCCCATTGTCATAATTTTTTGACACGGACCTTTCGTGGTTCTGTGGCGGTCAGCAACCATGGGAGCTACGGATATCATATTCGGAAAGATGGAGCGAGATGCGCCATCTCCTCATGAAACAGATCGGCGGCAGGCCTGGAGATGCGCTCGTGCCGTGGTCGGGAATATACTACCTCCTATATAATTAAACTGCAAGGAGACGCTCGGGATATTCCGTCGGATGCGAAGCTGAGTACCTTCCGGTTTCTTTCTTAAGGACGTGGAAAGTTAAGTCCGATGTTGAACTTGTTAGTAAAGGGATTATCAGGAAACGAGTGTTTCAGGAGCTCAGATCATTGTAGCTCGAGGTCCATCGGGTGTTTCTCTGACTCGTACGCATAATTGGGCTGGGAGCTTGATGAAGCTTCACAAACCGTAACTGGGGACTCCTTTTGCGAGTGCTGTTCCAGGGGGTTGTTTGGATGAAGGGAATCAGAGTTTAGTCGCATGTGAATTTTTGTCCTGCCTTATTGGGGATTTGGGGTAAGGCGACGGTTGTCGATCACCCCAAAAAGGGGATCATAAGTGAGGAACCGACACCCTGGGTAACCCGAGATGGGCTGTTGAGATAGGGCGTAGTCGGAATAGAAGCTAGATCTGACTCGGAATTTGTCGCAGGAAACATCTTAGCGTAGCGCTCACCTCGTCGTCTAGACTTACGGTTTGTGAGGAGAGATTAGTTACCGTATGCTCGCGCGACAGCCCGACTACCTAGGTACCGACTTAGCAGGTAATTCCCGTAGGTAAGTTGTTCCCTTCCCATCTTCTCCGCACATGATGTCCAAGCTGCAACGCAGTCAACATGAAACGCCGATTTGTCAAATTGTAGTCGATCGCCTATTTTTGTCATAGGGAAAGCTGTCTGGCTCTGCAGTCGGCTCCAGACTGGTCGGCAAACAACAACTGAGCCCTGGACGAATCGGGTAGCGACCGGCAGTGCTTGGCAAGTGATCGGCACAGGCCAGATGGATCCCCGATGAGTCTAGTCGCAAAACCCCCTGCTGGCTTCCTTTCCCTGCGCTTTAGATTGCAGTAGAAGGCGCCACTAGAATCCAAGCGTAGCCATACGGAGTATTTGTGCAGCAAGGAACAACGGCAGGAGATCGTTCCCCAAGGACCTCCGCCGAATTCAACCGAACACTCGGGTAGAGGTAGCTGATTCGGGTTACTCTAGGCGCAGAGGCGGCTGGGGACCTGCAGTACGCGGGATCTTATTGGGACTGGCCATTTGCCATGTGAATGGACTTACAGGAGGATGATGTTGCGGAGAAAATGTCGATGATATCACCACGAAAACAAAGAAGCCGATCGGCACCGAACATAGTACATCCTGATCTTCGCGGGACTGAGATTCAGGTGTAGCTTGTATGACTATTTCATTGTCTTCCCATGGAAAGGGCGTCAATGAATCTGCCGACTATCGACGGCGATCAAACCGGTCCCGCCCAGCGTGCAGACTAGAGGACGTCAAACTCAAAAGGCACCCAGGGACGGCAGGATAACACGCCCAAGATCCTCTGGAAGCATGACTATTTGTTAAAAGGCATTTTTAGCGTCCTGTAGCCTCTCTGCAGGCGTCAAGTGGGAGAGCGACGACCGGGACGACGTACTTGGATTCCAAATAAAGTCCGGGTGGGTAGGTTCCTGCATCTCCGATTTGTGATGGTGGACTCGGTACGTCTGGGTCTCCACCTTTCAAAGGGAGAATTGAGCATAGCAATGGCAAACGGGGTGGCGATCAAGGGGGATGACAAGACGCCATTGAGAGACGGGTGAAGGACCAAGACTTTGGTTTAAGTGATTGTCAGAAGTCAGAATTGTGGGAAAATGGTCGAACTTCGCGCGGGGTTGGATTAACCCCTTTAAATCGAGCGTACACTGAGTAGTGCGCACAATGGATGAAATATTGCAATATGAATACTACAGTAGAATATGAAACTATGAAGGCGTCGACAACTGAAGGGCCAAAGGGGGAATCGGGGCCGTCTCACGTGGGGGTGTCTGCAAGCACGTGGTTCGCAGGATTAGAGAGTTATTCTTAGGAGAACCCAGGATGGGCTATTAATATTTAATATACGGAGGAGCCTGGAGCATCCTGTTCGAGGAGAGACAGGAGAGACAGGAGAGCTACTGTCATACGGTTCCCTCCCGGATCTGGTCAATAATGCCCATATTATTCTTCTCGGGGGAGGAAATTAATTCATCTGGTGAAATGGTTACTATAAAAAATCATAATGTCATAATAATCATAAAAAATAAATGAAGGGCTCCCCCCTGAGATGGCGCCTGAGGCCACAAGCCAATCACCGGGGAGCCTGAGGCTGCCGACGACGTCTTCCAGTCTCCAAAGGCTCCATCCAATAATGGACCTCAGCCCACCCAACCTTCCAGGAACCGCTTCGCTCTACGATCGATGGAACCACGGTTCTGTACCTGTCGATGATTACTGTTATGGTCCGGGCTAATGTGACACTACCGGGTTGCTATGACTTTGACACGAAATCTTAACCTGATCCGCCCGGCCGTCTCAGGATCCTGGATGGAGCCCCCTTGACTTCCTCGACCGCATGGTCAAAGCCAAATGGATACTTGCCTTTTGGACAGTGTTGTGCGCCCTCAACCTTCCTGCTCCACCCCTACGAATGAGATTGCTTTCTCGACGCTCGACCTGTGTACGCACTCCTCGCGGATCTCTTCTCTCTTTGTGTCCCCGTCGCACTTTGCCCTGGGAGCTGGCCAATGCGCTGCGCGAACCCTGCCTGCTCGGGGAGCAATTTCAGTTTCTCTGCTTCCCCTTGATCTAATTCTGGCCCCGCTCGCATTATTCCATTTTTCATAGCCCAGTTGGTTTGATGTAATTATCACTAATAGTGCCTGATGGATCTTTAGGCTCGCACGGGCGGATCCTTAGACCCCGATCAGTCCCTCGACAACCTGTCTGAACACATCGTTAAAAGGAGCTCGGGTGCCCAATTCCAATCCGTGCGAGCTCGATTGTTTTTCTTTCCCGAATTTTTGCAGACGCCAACTTCCTCCAACCCATCCTTCCTCTGCCTTCACCTCTCGAGACGTCAATTCGAAAACGTCACCCTCCCCGTCTCGCCGACGTCCCTTCACCGCAAATTAGGGGAGGCCGAGAATTCCGACAGTCGACCGCCAATTGATCCTGTAACATACGGGGTTTACACTGTGGGGAGGCAAGACTCATTTTCGGGGTTCAGGGTGCAAGAGCTTTCTGAAACCACGGAACCGTCCGAGGGCTATCTAGCTATACCGAAAGTATCTTTAATTATAAGGTTTGCTATTTGACGTGAAATAGCCGGACCCTGGCGGCATTTAGAGCAGAGGACCCGGAAGAAAAGAAAGATAACCCGCCAATCGTCGCAACAATCGAGGCATCCGGATTCTTGCCAATTCCAATGATGCCTGCACAAAATATCAACATGCCTTTGAGAACGTCGAGTGCGCATGGTGCGGAAGGTGGAATGCACTTCGCAAATGCCAGTCAGGAGGATTTGCGGCGTGAAAAAGCATCGAAGGCTCAAAAGATTCTGGGGACGGCCGACCGTTCCTTCCACCAAGATCACCAGAAATGGGAAGAGAAGAAGAAAGGGCACCGACCTAGCTTCATGAAGTCTTCGGAAGCCAAATCGAAAAAAAGTGGCAGCTTTGTTCCTTTCCCAGCATCGGTCTCCGAAAACACACTCCCACCTTCGCACCTTCGGGTGCGAGCATCGTCTCCCCTGTTGGGCCAAGAGTACCGCTCGCAAGATGAGCCACCACCATCGCTGCCCAAGCCGTCAAAGAAAATCCATCACTCCGGCTCTGCATCTGCCTTGTATTCTTATTTCACCTCTCGAGATTCCTCCGCCGACCAAAACACGGATGGTGGAAATTCCATGAAGGAGTTCAGTTTTCCCGGAACTGGGAACTCGGACTCGCAGCATAATAACGGTAACGGCGCAGGGCTCAAGCAGCCGGCAGGGTTCATGAAAGAATCGAAACGGAAAATGCGCCCGCCTAGAATCGATCTTTCGCTCCTGTTCCCTAAGCCGCGGGCCACTGCTGCACCTCTTCTTTCACCCCAGCGCATGGTCAATTCCCCTTCTGCCATCTCAATGGCCTCGGAATACTCGGCCCCCAACCCAAAGAAGCCAGATAACCATGCGTTCGGCAAGAAACTCACAAAGACACCGCCTCCTTCGAGGCGTTCGGGTCGGAGACCCAGTGGCCTTGAATCGATCAGCGATGCCGGCGAATCTACGACTTCGCATGAGACTCCCACATCTAACTGGACGGATCCCTCGCTCGAACGAGCCGTGGGCACCAGTGAAATAGATTTGGCATTGGAGAAATACAGTGGCTTTCAACAACCTTCGCGACCTGCTCCATGGACCAGATCGGACCGAACACGCTCGCGAAATTTGAGTCGAGATCAGCTGCATAGTAACGATGCGCAACCCTCTAGCGGCTCCTTGCGAAAGGTTTCATCCAACGCATCTACGGGGGGATGGAGTAAAGAGACGTATCTCTCGCCGAAAACCTGTGCCCACCCTAGACCCAGCCGCGTCACTCGACCGAACGACATGTCGGAGAAATTTCCCATCCCAGAGAACAAGCCGATGTCAAAGAAAAGCAGCAAAAACACTTTGAAGAACTCCGACCTCAACAACCTCAGCATTCTATGTCTTTCGTCGTCGGAAGATGAGGATGAGGATGAGGAGGAACTGGCCGGAATTCAATTGACTGGGCAGAAGGGCGCGCGAGATAGCGTGACCACGTACGGCGACTCCGACGCCGAAATCTGTACCGCATCTGCTGCGCACACCACAAAAGGCACCTTAAGGCGAGTTGAAGGGACGATCCCGACCAGCAGTCGTGGGTCGCGCTCTCTTCAGCGCCAGTCCTCCGTCCGTCGCAATCCGTCCATGTCCTCGGCCGGGCGGTCATCCGTTGAGACCCGCAAGAGTCAATCTCGTCGATCCAGCGGGATTCCCACCATCTCCGAGCCCGAATTCTTCCACAGCGATCCGATTTTCAGCCAGAAGCGAAACACCAGTCTTTCTCGCAAAGAACTTGATCGACGAAGCCGGATCATGACCGTGACCAGACAGGAGGAAACCCTCCTGGAAGCAATGAGACAACGCCAGGGGAAGATTACACCCAGTCTGTTTCAGGAGGCTCGATTCAATGGGCAGGAACCCGATCGAAACTCTATGCTGTCGGTTGCCCCTTCGCGGGATTCATTTTACGGATCTGGCATGTCCTTCTTACGACTGAGCCCCAGCTTCCCGCCTAATCAGGCGCGACCCGACCAAGCTGCCAGCAATTTTGACAAAGATAGCAATGGCGCGCCTTCTGATGCCGACCAAAAGACCATCTACTCGGGCGTTTCTCCTCGAGCGAGCTTGGTGTATTCGGAGAGTCTACCGTCCCCCGCCACGAGTGCCGCTTCTCCCATGACGCCGACTCTCCCTATCCATCGATTTTCTCCGCTTCCATCGCAAAAACCACCTCCACGCGGTCCCCCTCCCCCCGTTCCCCAGAGCCAAAGGCGACACTCGCGGCGACGCACCGATAGCAGCGAGGCAATTGTCTTGGACGAGCCGAATAACTCCAAGGAGAAAACCGAATACCCTCTCTGGGCCGTGGGATGGAATAACGAAGGTGCCAGCCTGACGGCCGTGCATTAAATGACGAAACACCAAGCAAGGCACGCAGGGTCACCTGCTCAAGCATCATCCTCTACACTCATTCTACCAACCATCTGGTCATGGATACCCACTCATCTTTCTCTCCCTCTTTCTTTTTCTTTTGGAGTCATTCCTCCCAGCGCGCTTATCATGTAGTCGATGTGATTGCATACGTTCTTTTTACCATCTGTATAGACTATACTCCACCAGGCTTCCCAGCCGCATTTCCTATATTGTTTTTTATCTTGGGTCATAGCGACTTGTATATAGACAACAGACAAGCGAGAATATTAGAATCATCTGGATTTCTGTATTATGTGATATGAATCTTTTCACCTCGACGCTACTATCAGGGCAGTCCATCGTGAAATGACGCTGCCTGGGTCATGCACGACCAAGGAGATCCTGGTCGGTGCTACTGCCCATCAACACCTTACATGAGCCACCTGTAGGATCTCCCAGCTGCGCCCCGTTGGACTACCGTGGCTTGCCAAGCTGCAGACGAGGAAGCATTGCTGGCCCAAGGGATAGCGAATGGGACGCACTGGGAGCTGACGTCAGGTTGCTTCTGGCAGGGGATGAGATGACAGATTATGGAAGAAGATGAAGCTGAGAGAATGAATGGCTGGGCGGCCAGACTCTCTCCGGCGTGATCCACACCGCCCCTCGCCAGCCAAACAAGCGCCGGCGTCAATTTCCCCGGACGGGCCTCGTCGAGTTCCCCTAGTCAAAAAGCAAGCCTTTTTGCCACTCGCTCCTCCTCACGCCTCACCGGCTCACGAGTTTCCTCCCCCCTGGCTCCTATTATTCAACGCTATCTTCGCGATATCTTTACCTCCTATTCTTATCCTTCCCACGTTCACCTTGAGCAGACCTGCTTTTGCTTTGCATCTGCTGGCGAAGTGACAACAGCGTCTGGCTCCCATCTACCTAGTGCGAGGAGTTTCCCCTCCTCACGATCAGCACGCGCACAAATCGAATGCAACATCCTCGGCACACTAAAACGAATTCCCTGTCACTTTACGACCGAGCGCGCCCATCCGGGGATTTTTCTTATATAAACCGGCTGCCCTGATCACCCGGGCACGTTCTCTCGTTAGGCGGCATCGACCACGCAACGTCACCATCAACAATGGGGGGAACCGCAAAACAACCTGCTTCAGGACCGGGGGCAATGTTGAGGCAATCATCGTGGATTTTGGTAGGGTTCTTCTGCGATCCGACCCGATTGCTCCAGTCGAGTTCTCCTTTCGCTAACTCTCGGTCGGTCAATTTAGTTGACGGCGCAGTACACGGCATTTGTGTTGGTAAGGAAGATCAAGCTTTCTTGTCCTCGCGGTTGACGATCGCTAACCTCTGATGCCTATTCAGCTCCTTCATTATTCTAGGGTGATGCCTCCGACCAACGGGAAGCGATACATCGCGTCTACGGCCGTATTCTTTAATGAAGTCATCAAACTCGCGATCTCCTTGACCATTGCACTCTACGACGTGTCAAAATCGGCGCCTCCAACCGTCCCCGCTACATCTCTTCTCTCTTCTCTCACGGCTGCCGTGTTCTCCGGGGACAGCTGGAAGCTCGCGATCCCGGCCGGCTTGTACACCCTCTCCAATTCGTTGCAATACGTCGCTCTCTCCAATCTGCAAGCTGCGACTTTCCAAGTAACATACCAGCTGAAGCTCGTCGTGACAGCTGTCTGTGGGCTTGTTTTGTTTAAGAAGACTGTTCCTCTTCGCAAATGGGGCCTGCTGCTGCTCCTACTCGTGGGTATCGGGCTCGTCCAGATGCCCGACGGAACCTCCGAACAGGCTGCCTTGGAAGATAAGACAACGCACCCTGCCTTCCCGCGGTCCTTGGAAGAATGGAAAGCCGTAAAGCTCGACCGCCCGAATTTGCACAAGCGCTCTGCGACCTACGAAGGCATCGAAGAGGATATTTTGACTGCGTTCCCGCGCATGAATGGAACGATTGGTCTTCTCGCGGCCGTCGGTGCATGCATTGCTTCCGGCCTTGCCAGCATCTATTTCGAGAAGGTGCTCAAAGACAGTGCCAAGACAACGTCGGTCTGGGTTCGTAATGTACAGCTGGCCGTCTATTCTGTCTTCCCCGCGCTTTTCCTCGGCGTGATCTTTTTGGATGGTGAGAAAATTGCGGCCAATGGGTTCTTCGAGGGATATAACTGGGCAGTGTGGTCCACCATCCTCGTTCAGGCCGTCGGAGGCATCACGTCATCGTTCTACCTTGGATCTTCTTATAGAGATACTAAGAATGTGGCTACGGCCACGAGCATTGCCCTAAGCACGTTGGGCAGCATTTGGCTATTTGAGTTTGAGCCTACCGGTAACGTATGTTGCATCACTCTCCTATTATCTCCTGTCCTGTTGGATGGCACAAGGTCTGACATTCCTTTCTAGTTTCTTCTCGGAACCTTTGCAGTCCTCGTGGCCACTTATCTTTGCGAGGACTCCAGCTTGGGACTCGGCCAGGCCACACGCCAAAGTTCTCGCCCCCCGCCCATTCGCATCGACAGGTACGAAAAGGATTCAAGAAGTGACGAGGTCTCGCCGGTGTCATCACCTCCCAACGAGATCTCCATCAAACTCCCGGGAACTCCCTTCCTGTCGGACGCAGGCTTGTCAACATCTCGACCTACGTCCCCAGGACATCCCAGACTCAACTCCGCCCGTACTGCGAGCGGTGGATATTTCGATAAACATTGACGAGATCTGTGAATACGACGATTCTGATACGACTTCACACTTACCGCGTGCACCCGATGCGGTGTGCTGTACCATGGCCCTTGGGAAGTACATATGGATAGAAGCGAAACCATTTCTTTTATTTCACTCGATATGCAGCGATTTTGTACTTATATCAGGTTTTTTTTACATTGCATTTTTACCGACAGCATTTTCCTTTCAACGCAACTAAAGCATTTTTCAGTCTCCATACCTACCCTCATGAGCAATCGTTCTGTAAATCGTACGCGGACGTCTACTAATTCATGTTTGTATACGCTTGACTTCCCTCCCAAGATCCAAGTCCCCCTCGTCTCCTTGATGAGGCCATAGCATCCACGTGCTTTTGACAGGTGACCTACCCGCGCCCAAGCTCCTCTTCTTGACAAAGCACTCCCCCCATTTCATTCTCATCAATCACCTTCTAGCTCAGTACCTTATCAACACTTTCTCAGCAATGCGACAGAAGGGCCATCAAAAGTTCCCTCCTCATCGCACCCAACCATCCACAAGACAAGGATTCGCTGCCCCCTCTCCATTCTCCCGATTGAACGCCGGCATGATCATCGATCAGAGGCTGATTGACGGAGCCCAAAGATCACCGCAAGCAAGTCCAGCATATGGAACTGACTACGTATCCGAACAAAGACCTAATGATGAATTCCAATATGATGCATTTGGTAAGCACAGTTTGAGGCAAATGCGTGTTGCTTCGACGTCTTGTCTAACTTCAATTGGATTAGACCTAGAGCTTCTTGCCCAATCTGACGAGTGCGTGAAGAGTCGACAAGATGAAGTATATAATGCAGGATCTGGACCTTCTCCTGAGCTGGGATCCAGAGATAGCTCACATCAGATCTCGCGGTTCTTTTCCGGTAAGTTTCAGGCCAGTTGCAATAAGACATTCGCACCACTGTACACCAAGACATGGTAGTTATCAAAAGCTAACTAGCCAGCAACAGGCTCCCAAGTCTCACTCCGCCACAGCTTGGGTTCCGGATCTTCGACTATTGATAACCGATCACCCCCTAGCCCGTTCACCAGCTTCCAAAATGTGAGGGCAACGTCATTAAACAATGAAGCCAGAGCCGACATTCAAGAACATGATATCGAATCTCAGCAAGCTGGGGAACAGCAGTCCAGAAGCACTTATGATACTACAATGCACTCCCCAAATCAGGTGACCTCATTTCATAACATCCCCATGTCAATCAGAGGAATCGTCCTGGTATCTGCTCGTGAGTTGCCGGATAATTATCGATCGATATTTCACTTCCCGGTTTTCAATGCCGTCCAGTCAAAGTCCTTCTATTCGGTCTACAAAACCGACGATAACATAGTCCTTGCGGCACCGACGGGAAGCGGCAAGACTGTGATTATGGAGCTGGCAATCTGCCGTTTGCTTGCTAATCTGAAAGATGAACGTTTCAAAGTCGTCTATCAAGCACCCACCAAGTCCTTATGCTCCGAAAGGTTTCGTGATTGGAACAGGAAGTTCCAAACCTTAGGACTTCAATGTGCTGAGTTGACCGGCGATACAGATCACACTCAGATGAGAAGTGTTCAAAATAGCCAGATAATCATCACCACGCCGGAAAAATGGGACAGTATGACACGGAAATGGAAAGATCACACTCGTCTGATGCAGCTAGTCAAGCTATTTCTTATCGATGAGGTTCATATTCTGAAAGAGGCTCGTGGAGCCACGTTAGAGGCTGTTGTATCTCGAATGAAAGCCATTGGGTCCAATGTCCGCTTTGTTGCTCTGAGTGCTACCATTCCAAACTCCGAGGATGTCGCGACGTGGTTAGGCAAAGATGCAATAAATCAGCATGTGCCAGCGCATCGCGAGCACTTTGGTGAGGAGTTTCGTCCGGTCAAACTCCAGAAATTTGTCTATGGATATCAATCGCATGGCAATAACTTTGCATTTGACAAAACGTGCAGTTCAAAACTTCCCAATATTATCGCTACACATTCATGCAGGAAACCCATCATGGTATTTTGCTGCACCAGGAATTCAACTGTAGCCACTGCAAAAGAGCTTGTCCGGCTGTGGTCTACGTCTAATCCGCCCGCGAGGCTTTGGAAAGGCCCCAATAAGCGCATGGATGCTCATAATGTTGACTTGAAAGGCACACTTGTTGCTGGGGTCGCCTTCCATCATGCTGGACTTGATCCTGCGGACCGACATACAGTTGAGACTGGCTTCCTGGAGGGGCAGATTAACATAATTTGCTGCACCTCGACACTTGCAGTGGGTGTGAACCTTCCATGTCATTTGGTAATAATCAAAAACACCGTGGGATGGCAAGACGGTGGCTGTCGGGAATACTCTGACCTTGAAATCATGCAAATGCTTGGCCGTGCTGGTCGGCCTCAATTTGACGACAGCTCCACAGCCGTAATTCTAACCAGAAAAGAGCGCGTGAATTATTATGAGAGACTCTGTTCGGGGTCTGAGAGCCTTGAGAGCTGTTTGCACTTGAATTTGATTGACCATTTGAACGCTGAAATCGGGTTAGGCAATATCACCGATATCGAATCCGCTATTAAATGGCTTGCTGGTACATTCCTGTTCGTGAGGCTGAGAAGGAATCCAACGCATTATCACCTTAAGGAAGGTGCCAATAGAGACGATGAAGATGAGATGCTTCGACAAATTTGCGAGAAAGACATCAGTCTTCTAAGGGAGTGTGGTTTGATCGCCCCGGAGCAGCTGCGATCTACACAATACGGAGATGCAATGGCCCGCTATTATGTTCGTTTCGAAACGATGAAGACGTTTCTATCCTTGAAGCCGCGGGCTGCCATCTCACAAATCGTAAGCTAACACCGGTTGGCGTCCCTTGGCGTGGGCTAATAGAATACAGTTTTCTGTGGTTGTCCAGGCAGAAGAGTTTCGTGAAGTTCGTCTGAAATCGGGAGAAAAGTCGCTGTATAAAGAGCTCAACCGCGCGAATGGTATTCGCTTTCCAGTCAAAGTGGATATAGCTCTCCCAGCCCATAAAGTCTCGCTCCTCATTCAATCCGAGTTGGGTGCCGTGGACATCCCGGACGGTGAGCAATTTCAAAAGCACAAATTTACCTTCCAACAGGACAAGAGTTTCGTTTTCACACATGTCAATCGACTCATTCGTTGTATCATCGACTGCCAAATCGCTCTTGCAGACTCGGTGGCTGTTCGCCATGCTTTAGACCTTGCAAGGAGTTTTGGGGCCAAGGTATGGGATTATTCGGCGCTCCAAATGAAACAGATCGACCAGATTGGTATCGTGGCTGTTAGAAAATTAGCAGCCGCCGGGATCACCAGCCTTGAAGCATTAGAGCTCACAGAAGCCCATCGGATTGATATGATCTTGAGCAAGAACCCACCATTCGGAATGAAAGTGCTTAGTCGTGTGGCCGACTTCCCTAAGCTTCGGGTATCTGTTAAGAAGACAGGCAGAGTAAATAGATCAGCGCATCAGTCAAGGTTTCATTAACATTTCTATAGGATGTCAAGCCAGGAAGTCCGATCAGGATTCGATTCACGGCTGACATAGCCTTTATGAATGTAAAATGTCCGACTTATTTTCAGAGACATCCAATCTATGTCTGCTTCCTAGCAGAAACATCTGGTGGCCATCTGATTGACTTCAGGCGGATCAGGTCCGAGTCTCTCCTCGTCTTTTCAACTAAATATTAACTGAATTAGTGCAAGTAAATTACAAAGCAATCACGAAATCAAGCTCAGTGCAGAGATCAAGGATCGAGACCAGTCGATTAAATGCCACGTCATGTGTGATAATATCGGTGCGTACTATAGCCTCAACCTGGACCCTGTACTGATTCCCTGAAGTTGGAACTTTGAGGTCTGCAGAGATACCGACAGATCTTCCACCAGCTGTGTTCCCGAATCTTTCGACTGTAGAGAAATCAGCCACGGGCCAAAATGACACGAATACATCACGTCTACATAGCAATGAATCCCAAGTCAAATTGAGCACAGCCCTAATGACAGATGCTTTTGACAGTGATGACCAGTTGTTTAACGACTTTCTCAAAGCAGGTACGCTTACAATTCGTTCCAAACCAACCGAAGTACAGACTCTAAATCGATATATAAATTGATTAGCAGATTGCATTGGACCCAGTAAAGACACCACATTGGGCCATAAGGAACAGGCATCTGTCCAAGGCGCACCCACTGACAATCCCCTGTCCTTCAACGAATCCAACGAGCCAGTCCGTCTAGAGAATGGAAAATGGGCATGCAACCATAAATGTAGAGACAAAACTGCGTGAGGGAGGCACTCCACTGCAAAATGAGGAAACGAACTGACCAATCCCAGATGCAAGCACTTCTGCTGCCGAGATGGACTGGACAAGCCCCCCAAAGCAAGCAAGAGACAACCCTGCACTGGGAACCAGAAGCAAGATAAGCTCAATCAGCTTACTATCTCGGCCAGTGTCACGAAGAGACCAGTCCAAAATGAACCACCGAAGGCCACCAAAAAGCAGTATCTGTCTCCTTCTATCTTGCAGCCGAGCTCTGCCAGCACTTCTTTGCACCCTAGCCATTCCCCGGGAAATCCTCGCGTCATCGATTTGAACTCTTCAAGTGACTACGGCGATGACAGCTTTGACGACCTGCCTTCGCCATCCACTCTGCTTTTCGGGAAGTCAACGAAAGCGGCATTGCACGGAAATGACAAGCCCATCGACGTACCCAACACGGAGGAGTTGTTTAAAGGAGATGACTGGCTCTTCACTGACGAGCCGCTCCACCTAACCCAGACCGCAGCTGATGACTATTTTCCGCATCCCAACGAGGGCGTAGGCCAAGGGTTAAAGGGTGGCAATATACCCTCTCGGACCAAAGGAGTGTCTGCGAATGATTCCAACGAGTCACCAATCAGCTTGAGCATCGAAAAATCTTCTGAGGATAATACTTCCATAAGCCTTGACTGCTCAAGGGGTATGGGAATAGCAACGAAAAGAAAACTGTCCCAGATAGAACCAAACCAGATATGCAAACAGAGAAAGACAAAGCAAGAACTGACAGAGACATTCAACTCTCCAGACCATGAATTTGCTGCCTTGTCACGAGTGGGCACTCAGGGTCAACCCCCTGCAGCACCAGGTGCATCTACAATGCCGACCGACTGGGAAGATATTGACCCTGCGTTGCTGGATGAGTTTAAAGACATTATCAACTTCTTCTGAAGATCACATTATCTCAAATTGAATGGAAAGGAATGATTTGATTGCATGTACTCATGGAAAGAAACAGAAAATTGATGAGCCTCTTTGTTATGATTACACAGAACAGAACAGAACAGAACAGAAATGAAGCCTATGCCCACTACAAGCTGCAGAACGAAAGCCGGAGAGAATAGGGGCGAGATACCCCGGGATTCCCCGCGGCCAGGCGCGCACTGCCCGCCATGTTTTCCTTCGCTAGTCCTCCTCAGCTGCACACCACTAGACACCATGGTCCTGGTCCATGAAGCCCCCTTCTGTACTGCCAATCGAGCGTAGCACAAGCTAGGCTGAGAATCTGTAGGCATCGCTAGGCTCCATGACTCTACAATCTGTAATCCGTAAGGAAGCAGCCGTAGTGAATCCCCCAGAGGAGAGAGCTCGCTTGTCAAGTCCCGTTGATAGAAACGATAGCTGTAAGGTGATCTGAACTTCCCATTAATTTCCTTCTTTCTTCTGAACGCCTCTCTACTTCTCCCCTTCTCTGACGTTCACCTTCTCTCATCTCCATTCCTTCGTTCCCGTTCCCATCGTCCTTCGTTTCGCTCTACCCGCTCCATTTCCCAAACATTCGTTTCATAGTCCGACTGCAAAGATTGTCAAGCACGCCAGTTCACATACGAGTCTGTGTTTTCTTTTCCATCTCTCAAGACATCCCTCGGGGGGGTTGATTGTGGTGTCTGGGTTATCCTGATCCAGTTGCTGTGGTCGACCACCGTGACGGATCTCTTCTGGTCTTCTTTACTTCTCTTTCAACCACTTTCTTTTCTCCTTTCGTTTGCTATCTCGTTGACTATTGAATCTGTCTATCTCAAGTAAGTTTTCTGAATCAGGATTCCTCATGTACATTGAACGAGAACCTACATGCATTTTCACCCCTGTAAAGTGATGTTGTTGTCTCTGGTCCATCTCGATGTAGGCCGACGGTCGCAGGGCTTCTTCACGCGTCGTCTCCACGCATGACCACCACGACTGATCCCAATCACGTCATGAAGAAACTAACGCGTGTTTTTCATCAGGTTGATCATTTGTGAATTTTCACAATGGGTCGACTTAATTACTCTGCGGTATGATCGAGCTTTCCGGGATCTCGTGAAGTCGACTCACCCACGCTAATCACATCATCATCGATTATAGAGAAGAATCTCCGGGGTCAGGGCAGCGCAGGTCATCTCCAAGGACCTTGTAAGTACTCCCAAGCGTTGCTTTTTCATCAACCAGCCAAAAGAGGTCAGGAAAGGTTTGACTGACTGACTGTCTGTCTGTAGAAAAAACGAATCCCCCCAGCATTGAACTCCAAGGCCGCAGGCCGAGATCCAACCCTAGAGTTCGAGGTCTCTAACAAGAACCTTTCCGATGAGGGATTCGCACAGTTCATCGATGACCTGATTGAGTGTATCAAGTACCGCGATGACGATCACCTGGCAGGTCTAGCCCGGGTCGTCGAGCTCCATGTCTCGGGCAACGAACTCACTGCACAGTCACTCGTGAAGCTCGGCGAAGTGGTGGCTCTCTCGAAGGGAGATCTGCAAGAACTCGATATCTCGAACAATAACATCGAGGTGAAGACCCCCGAGCAGAAGCAGATCTGGTCCGATTTTCTCTCCTCCTTCAAGGACTGTTACATGCTCAAGAAGTTCGATCTGGGAGGTAATCCGCTGGGCAAGGCGGGGATAGAAATCCTCGCCCGCGTCTATGTCAAGAGTGAACTGGATTTCCTCGAGGATGACGCCGAGGAAATGCTTGGGAATACGGCGGACGAGATCGAGGTTCTTGCGAAGAACATGACCGCACTCAAGCTCAAATCGGACAAGGAGAACGAGTCGCCCAAGTCCTTTGGCCAGAAGAAGTCGCCGAATAAGGGCAAGAGTGCCAAACAGAGTGGTAAGTCCCGTCGCAAAGATGTGGCCCGCCATCCTGCTAATACTCAACCCGTCAAAGGTGCCTCTAGCAGCGGTGCGCTGCCCATGCCCACCGAGAAAATCCAAGCTAAGCTCAAGCACTTCGCATGCACCAGAGGCCTTCGGTCCATTCCGTACCTGATCGTCTCCGACATCCCCATGACCTCGGGCAGTGCCGTCCACCTCACCAGCATGCTCGAAATGCAGCGCACCCCGGAGCAGCTTCTCGAATTCCTCCCCAAGGGCAAGACGCTGACGCTCCCCGAAGAGGCGCAGGTGTGCAAAGGCATCATCTGGCAGCCTTGCTACTACCTTGCCGACTACGCATGCAATCTCCTCAGCATTTCCGAGCGTATCCACGATCTGAAGGACATATCGGACCCAGAGGAAGCCGATGACGAGGCCGACGAAGACTGCGACGATGCCCTGGGCCAAAGCAATTCCGATCACCCCGCGGCCCGGAAGATGGGCACGCTCGAGATGCGCAAGATGCGGAACAAGAAGTATGTTGAGTTCATGCGTCTCAACAAGAAACTTCGTATGGATGCCCTGAAAAACGAAGGCGTGAGAAGCTTCGAGCTCTGGGTCACCGCGTTGCGGATGATGCTCGTGTCACGGGCCCTGTTGCTGGAAGATAAGGATCGCGCGTCCGACAATCCGGCCGAGTATGAAGAAGGTGAATCGCACGCCGAGCCTGAAGAGCCCGAAGAGCCTGAAGAGCCCGAAGAGCCCGAAGAGCCTGAAGAGCCTGAAGAGCCCGAAGAGTCAGCCCCAGCATGTGCGCCAGCCCCAGCCCCAGTCCCAGCGCCCAAGCTCATCAAGACAGTCGTCCGCGACCCATCCGAGGATGCACGCATCGACCAGCTGCGCAACCTTCCCCATCCGCCGCGCCCCCTGCCCATGTCCATCGCTCGCGGCCCTTTCTATCCCGGCACCGACGAGTTCTTCGCCAACTTCCCTGCACTGTGCTCCGTTCCAACCATCCACATTCAGGACGTCACCGAGGACGAAAACGACAGCGAGGTCGGTATCGAGGCGGAGAGCCCATCGACTAAAGACGCCCTTTCATCCGCAGCCGGCCCAGCGCAACGCTCTGGAAAAGCACACGCCCGCGTTTTCATTGTTCGCGAGCCGGAGAAGTCTGGCTGGCGGTACGGTCTGCCTCTGAAGTTGTGGCGTCGGATCATCGCAGATGCAGTCGGAGCGAACCAAGTGTTGAACGGCGAGCAGCAGGAACGGGTCTTGCGCTATGCATCTAACTGGGAGGCCCTGAGGTACGAGATGACCATCACCGGCGCGGAAGATCACCAGCAGATCTGGAAGTTCCTGGAAACCGTCCACTGCTTCACTTACAGTCGTCTGTAGGCGGCCGAACAGGACCAGGCACAGCGGCCATCGAGACACGTTCGCGGTTTATGATTTATGAATTTGAATGACCCTCTCAACTGTTATGGAGAGATAATGATCATGGGAAAATTGAAAATCAAAAAAAGAAGCAAAAGTCACGATGTTTTATGAGAAGGGAATAGCGGTTAATGAAAGGGGAGATATGGCGTGGACAACGACTTGGGTAAAAACCTGTGAATTGCCATAATGTAGCGGGCTCGAGTCAAGATCTAGACAGAGCCAGATCTGCCCAGATAGTTGAATGAAGCCAATCTTTCGTCTCCTATACTCATACAAACTCGTACAACAGACAGCGTTGCTGTGGAGAGAGCCAAGCCGACGGATGCCTGCAGACACCTTAGGGAGCGGCCTGATCACGTGGCCTGATCGTCCCTCACTGGAATATCATTTCCTCGACTCATTACTTACCGTATACTTCCTCTTGTTGGCTTATCTACATTCTACACAGCGTCTATTTATTCCTCCTAGACTTCCATACCACGCCATCTAGACCATACACAAATAGACCCCGAGTCTACTCCAACCGCCCATCATGCTACGCACCAGAAGGACCAACACCGCGCCCTTAGAAGACACATCCACGGCGCCATCGACCTTCAACGACGGCCTTCCCCTCCCAAAGCTCATCGCCTTCGATCTCGACTACACGCTCTGGCCCTTCTGGGTCGACACGCACGTCAGCGCACCAGTCAAGCCCCGCGACAACAACTCCCGCTGCACAGACCGGTACGTCCATCCGTCCATCCCATCCCCCCCCCCTCTGCCCCCCGAAACTAACATCCCACGAAAAACACCAGCTGGAACGAATCCTTCGCCTTCTACCCCGCCGTCTCCTCAATCGTCCACGCCTGCAAAACGCACTCGATTCCCCTCGCGCTGGCCTCGCGCACCCACACCCCCGACCTAGCGCGCGACATGCTCAAAGCCCTCCACATAATCCCCACCTTTAGCGACAACCCAGCGGCGTCAAAAAACAAGACGATCCGCGCGCTCGACTACTTCGACTACATCCAGATCTTCCCAGCGAACAAGACGCAGCATTTCTCGCGGATCCAGCAGGCCAGCGGGGTGCGGTACGAGGAGATGTTGTTTTTCGACGACGAGGCGCGGAACCGCAATGTGGAGACGGAGTTGGGGGTGACGTTTTGTTTGGTTAGGGATGGGATGACGAGGGAGGAGGTTGATCGGGGGGTGTGGGCGTGGCGGAAGAGGAATGGGGTGAAGAAGGAGAGGAGGGAGGAGGGGGATGAGGGGGAGAATTAGTTGATTGATTGAGAGGGATTGGGATGTGATGTTTTTGTTTCTGTTGGGGAGGTTCTGGAGGTATGATTCTGTACCTGGATATTAGCGCATGGTTGGGTTGGCTGGATGACTTCTTTTGCTTAGACTTTGATACACGATGAAAGAGATACCCGGATGGAAGGACAGGATGGAATGATAGACATGAAGACATTGCCAAAATACTATTGTCTATTGTAATGTTAGAAAACACATGAGACTAACATAAATCCATCACCCACACTAAGCTTAACCTTCAAGAATCAAGACCGATCCAACTCCGCACTCCGCCATGCCGGCTGGCCCAAGCTCCTCTTCCTCCTTCAACCTTTCCGCAACCTAAACTTTCCCCCGAATCTACCACCACCAACAAAAACACCACCATCGACAAATCCTCTATCACCAATCAACCTCCTCCAAAAAAGCCCCTCCCAGAGGCATAGAAGGAAAAAGAGAGAATGGACCCCCCACGCAAACCGCCAACAACAACGCACCTAAAACCCCCTCCACACCACACTCCCCGACAAACCTCAACATCCCCAACCCCAAGCGCATCAGCACCCGCACCACCACGCGCCCCCGTAACCGCCCACTCAAGCGCCACAATTTCCGAATCCTCCATCTTCCAAGGCACACACCCGATCTCGATCGGCGCGGGGACGGTCATCCACCCACGAACCCGAATCTACTCGTTCCACGGGCCCGTCATAATCGAAGAAACGTGCATTATTGGCGAGAAGAGCGTTTTGGGGACGCCGCCCAACATATCCCCAGATTCGGCCGGGACGGGAGGCCTAGGGACAGGGATGGGGGCTAGTGAAAGCAGCAGCAGCGCTATACCGATCACGATCTCAGCAAACGTGACTCTCGGTCCGGGGGTGACGGTTCACGCGGGTACTCGGTTACAAACAGGGGTGTTAGTCGAAGCATTGGCGACGATCAATCGCCGAGTAACAATCGGAGCGCATTCAAAAGTCTGCGCAGGATGCTCGGTCTCCGAGAACACGACGCTGAAGGAATGGATGGTTGTTTGGGGGTCAGCGGGGACGGGGCAGCGACGGAGAGTGCGGGCTCAGGGGAAGATGAGCTCGGCGACAGCGGCGGCGCAGGGAGGACAGGCTCTTGAGGCCGGGGTGATTGAGGAGGCGAGGTTGATGGTGTTGAATAAGGAGAGAGAGGCGTTGGCGAGGTTGATTGGGGCGTCGGCGAGTTCGGGGAGACGGAGGTGATTGAATGATCAGCATGGAGGGAGGGATATTCTGGTTTGAATCTTTACAGACAAAAGGTTCAGGAGGGATTGATGGATGTTTGGCATTTTGCATTATACTTTGCGCTCGATACCCAGTGATAGATAAGACATGATACTACTATTTAGAGACAGTAGATGGTTGGAATGACCAATGGTAAAATTGACTATGGTTATCTCCAGATAACTACGCCTAAGCCATGACAAAGATAACATTAAAAGACAGAACAGTATAATTGATTTGATCAGAAACAAAAGAGATGTATGTAAAGAGATTTTTCCCCCGAAGAATGGTGTCTTCTCTGTGAAGATCAGATTGTTCATGAATAAAACAAAAACGCTTCAAGCAGTCAAGCACAAATAATAGAACATAAGTAAACAAATACACGATATTTAGTTAGATCAGGATCCTCCTCTAGGATGTCCACCACCTCTCATCCTCTTTCCACCATTTGCTCCTCCGTCATTTCCACCCTCGCCGCCATCCTCGCGAGCTCGCTTATTCCCTTGAGGCACGAATTGGCGGGCGTTGGCACTCAAATGGGCTCCTCGTCCAGCACCAGGACTAGCCTGTCCCTGTCCCTGGGGAACATTGGTCTGCACGTTTTGATTTCCGCCTCGGCCAAATCCACCTCGTCCACCCCGTCCACGGCCGATACCCGTACCACGCTGGGATTGACCATGCTGTTGTTGCTGTTGCTGACCCTGGGGCCCGAATGGGTTTTGCTGATGACCACCACGAGCACCTCCTCGGCCACCTCGCGCAACTGGAAGAGCACTCTGAAGGCTTCGCAGGACCGCGCCTGACCCAGCAGGAGGTTTGCTAGGCAGCGATGAAGGTTGCTGCTGTTGCTGTTGCTGCTGTCCATTTGCCACTGGGGGCGCTGCAGCCGAGGAGTTGTCGGTTTCATCGACCTGTCCCTCTTCTTGCTCCTGCTCTCCATCTGCCTGGGCCTCAGGCTCGGGCTGGGTAGTCTGGGGAGCAGCGGCTGCTGGAGCCGGCTCAGGTTGGACTGCCGGTACCGGTGCCGGTATCGAGGGAGCTTGTGGCTGGGTCTGTGGCTGGGTTTGCTGAGGAATTTGAGCCGCGGGTGTGGGCTGTGGAGGAGGTGCCGCTGCAGGTGTAGGTTGTGCCGTTGCCGGTCCTGGGGTTGGGGGCTGTGTGGCTGGTTGCGAAGGCGGCTGGGCTGGTGAAGCAGCCGGTTGGGGTTTGGGAGGAGCCGCAGGCGGGGCCTTGGTTGTCTTGGCTACTTCCCATACCTCAACGACAGGCTTTTGTGGGGTGTCAGTAGCAGCCTTCTGGACAACTTCAATCTTGGCCAAAGCAGTCCTGCACCGAGTATCAAGCATGCTGATCTTGACCAACGTTTTCTTGTCGGACAACTCGACTGCGGACTTGATCTTCTCCTCCACGCCGTCCTCGTACGCTTTCTTAAGAGCTTCCCTTTCTTCGTTGAATTTCTGCTCCAAGGCGGACAAGGACTCCTGGTTGGCTTCTTGCGCTTCCTGGTTGTGCTTCTCCTGTTCTTTGGAAAGCATGGCTCGGATGTTGCTTCGGACGATAGTCTGGATGGTCTTGTTTGAAGCAACCAGGGCTCTTGCCTGAGCATCAGTAAGCTCAGGGAGTTCTCCGTCAGATTTCGCGGGGGTGGCAGGAGCCTGCTGAGACTGCGGACCGGGCGTGTTGGGTTCTTGAGGGGCGGAGGGTTGCGCCGTTGGTAGAGTGGACCTGAGGTTCTCAAGTTCCTGCCGGTGGGCAGCTCTAACTTCAGCCATCTTGCTGTTGAAGGTTTCCTTGAGCTTGTCAGCCCGTTCTTTGATCTTCGCATCGCGCTCTGCATCCTTGGCGGCGATGACGGCTTCCTTTTCAGCAAGCGCAGCTTCCAAGCGCTGTATCTTCTCCTCCAAGGCCTTAACCTTCTCGTCGTCAGCGGGCACTGCCACCTGGGTGGTCGCCACGGGGAACTGAGATGCCGGGGTAGAGTCGACGCCGGCGGCAGGGGCAGTGGAGGGCTCCTCTACGACAGGCGCAGGAGAGGCCGGCTTCTCAGCCAGCTTAGTCTTGAGCGTGGCCAGCTCCTCCTTGGTAGTCTTCAGCTCTTCCTGCAGCACCTCCTTCTCCTGGAGGGCAGCGTTCAACTCCGCTTGCTTCGCATTGATACGCCCGCTGAGCTCCTTGGAGCGAGCTTTGAACTGTTCGGTAAGCTTCGCGCGCAAGTCGTGGACCCTTTCATCCCCATGGGCTTTCAGCTTCTCCGCGAATCCGTCAACCTCGGTCTGGAGGGCATCGCGAGCGGCCGTGGCTTCATCCCTGGCCTTCTCCAGTGACGTGAGCTGCTCTTTCAGGCCTTCCATTTCAGCAGGATCAACCCGGTCATACTTTTGCAGGATGTTCTGGGTGCGCTGTTGCCAATGGTCCCTGTCTGCTTGCAAGAGCTTCATTTCTCCGTCCTTCGTTTCGACCACATTCTCCAGTTCGCTGATCTTCGTTTGCAATGGCTCCATCTGCTTCTCAAGGCTCTCCACGCGTGCTGACTTCTCGGCGAGAGCAGCCTCGGTTTGCTTGACTTGGCTTCGAAGCGTAACGCTGCTCTCTCGGAAAAGGTTAAGTTCATTGAGAGTTTCCATCAGCTTGTTGTGGCTCAATGCACTGTGCTCGCTGTCGGCAGCGGCGCGACGCTGCTGTTCAAGCTTGAGTCGGGCCTCGTCGAGCTGAGATTGGGTGTATTCGAATTGCTGGCGAAGACGTTTGCTCTCTTGCGTAGACAGGTGATATTGAACGTCGACGATTTCCTTCTCTTGTCGCAAGTATTTGATGACCTCTTGGAGGTTCTCCAAATCCGGTGCCGCTGTCTCTCCTTGTTCAGCCTCGGGGATACTGGCACGGTCTCGCTTCAAGGCCGTGATTTGGTTTGTGATATTCTCCAGTTGAGTATGGAGCAGGTTGTTCTGGTGAAGAACCTCCTCACGACGCTTGTGCAGCTCCGACAGCTCGCCCTCGTACTTCTCCTTCAGTTCATTCCAGCTCTCTTCCTTCTGTGTAAGATCCTTCTGATAAGTGTCGGCCTTCGTCCGCATCTCAACAAGTTCGAGTTTCAGCTGGTTGGCCTCGGAGCGAACCAGTTGCAGGTTCTTCGCTGCGTCAGCATGCTTGACCAATTCAGTTTCGTAGTTCTGCTGGGCCTGCTGAGCGATTTCTGCCTGGGCCTTCAGGTCATCTTGGTGGAACCGAGAGGAAGTAACCTGGCGTTCATTCTCATCCTTCAGTCGGGTGATTTCAGTTTCGAGGGCAGTCTTCTGTTCCTCCAGACGGCGCGATACCTCTCCTTGCTCATCGCGGATCTTCGACAGCTCCGTGTTTGTAGTCGAGAGCTCGGAAGAGATCTCCTCAATCCGCTTCTCAAGGTCTTGGATCTTCTTGTCCTTCTCCTCGATAAGACGATCGGTCTCCTCGCGATATTGCTCGTTGGTATCGGTAACAGACTGCAGGCGTTCCTCGGTCGCTTGACTGATGGCCTTGTAGTCTTCCACTTGCTCCTTGGCATGCTCGAGCTCGCCCTTAGCCAGGTCCAAGTCACGCTTCAACTCGGCAACTTGGAGGCCTAACTCCTGTTCACGAGTCAAGTCGCTGGTCTGCCCATCCTCGTCGGCGGTTTCAGGATGTTCAGCAACGGGTGCAGGAGCGCTAGGTTTGGACTGAACAACTTGGATGCGTTCTTCAGCACTCCGAAGCTCCACGGTAAGCTCATCCACCCTAGATTGCAGGTGGTCTCTGGTTGTTTTCGTGGCAACGAGCTCCTCCCTAACAGAGCCCAGGCTGGTAACCAGGTCGTCGATTCGCTTCTGGCTTTGCTCATGTTCATATTCTCTCCGCAGGGCAGCTTTCCTTGACTCTTCGACCTCGTCGTTGAGCTTGCGTTTTGTCGACTGCAATTCAGTTTCGAGAGATTCAACATTGTGTTCCAAGCGGCGAGTTCGTTCGGATTCGTTGTGTTCGCGCTCGTTCAGAAGGGTCTGCAGGTTTGCGTTGAGCGAATCCAGGCGGCCTCGCTCATTCCGTAGCGTCTCGGTGTCCTCGATAAGTCTCTTTTCGATGTTTTTCCAGAGACTCTTCTCGGCCTTCAGGTTCGCATTCTCCCGCTGCAGGCTCTCGACAAGACCCTTAGTCTCAACCAGATCCTCTGCAGCTTGTTGGGTTCTCAGATCCTGCCTGTTTGCGTTCTCCAAAAGCGCAGCATAACGTTTCTGGAGTTCGGAGTTGTCGTTCTTGAGCATAGTAAAGTTGCTCTGGAGCAGTTCTGCGCGCTGAGTGGCGGCGCCAAGCTGACTGCTCGAGCGACTGATCTCACTCATCAACTCACTGTTCTTACGGGAAAGATCATGTACTTGCTGCTTCAGGGCAGAATGGTCGGTGGCAGACTCCTCGCGGAAGCTGTCGAAGTGTGCTTGCACCTTACGCAGCAGGTCGGCGTAGTCGGTAGGATCCTTGGCTTGCTCTTCAGTCGGTGGAGCAGCGCCGAGAGGTAGTGACTGTGAGAAAGCAGAAGATTCACCAATGGTTTGACGTCGGCGGGTGAGCATGCTTCGGAAAGTATCACGTTCCTTCACGTAACTCTTCGTCTGCGCGACAAGGTTGGCAATCTCGTCGCGATACGTCTGCACACGAATTCTGAGTTCCTTCAGTTCTTCCTGCTCTTGTTGGCGAACAGCGTCCTTCTCGCGCGCCTCAACGCCCTCCATCTTGTCACCCAGCTCCCTGAGCATGCGTCGAAGGGTGACGTTCTGCTCCTGCAGTTCATGAAGGTCCTTGAAAGCCATCAGGTTGTGACTGATGAAGCGTCCTGTTGGAGTAAGCTCCGCAGCAGAGTCATCAACCTCCTTCTGAGCAATCTTCTCGAGCTCTTCCCTGTCGTAGCTACCTTCACCCTCCTTCATAATTGCCACCTCTAGCACCAGAACCTTGATCTGAGCACTCAGGTCCCGAAGCTGCTGGCGCAGAATATCGCCTTCGCGGGACAATCCTTCCACTTGGCCTTGCCACTTTCTTGCCTCCTTCGTGGCATCGTCTCTCTCCTTTCCAGACGATTCCAAGATATTCGACATCTCAACAACTGCATCCTGCAGCCTCGTGTTCTCGGCTCGCAGCTCATCGATTTCAGGCTTGCATGCTTCGAGATCCTGCATCATTTCATCGACGGTGGTTCGGAGTTCTTGGCCTGTCTTCTGTTCCGCAGCAAGGAGCGTTCTCATCTTATCGTATTCCGTGTACATCTGCGTGAGCGTAAGACTACCCTTGCCGCGGGAGGTCCTCGGCGAGAAAGCGCCGATCGGGGTAGAAGCACGCATAGGAGTGCTAGGTCCTCCATTCAGCCCCGGGCTCATGGGGACCCGACTACCGGCGCCCTCCGATTCAAGTTGACTAACAGAAAGCTCGAGCTCGGCGACACGGCGTTCAGCGGCTTCCTTATCACCGTGTTCCGTCTCAGCCTCCACGCGCAGTCGTGAGATCTCCTCTGCGGCATCATCCCGTGCCTTCTCCAGAGCAAGTTGACACTCCTGCACACGTTGCTTGGCAGTTTCGGCGGCATTGCCTTGTAGCTCAGCCAGCCGGTTGGCACTGTCGAGTTCGATTCTGAACGATTCAGCTGCCTGAATAGCGTTCTCCTTGAGTTGATGAATAGTAGACAGAGATTCTTCGTAGCGTTGTTCGACATCGTCAAGACGGCTCTTGAGGGTGTTCTCAGTGCGTCTCAAAGAGTCAATCGTAGAGATAGCTTCCTCGTTTTCGCGCTGAAGCTCCGAGATCCGCGCACTCTTTTCCTTGCGGAACTTGAGATACTCGGCAGATTTAGTCTTCAGTTCCGTCTCGAACCACTCGTTGTTCTTCTTCGTGAGGTCCAAATCTTGCTCCAGGCTTTGTTCGCGGAATCGGGCACTAGCGGAGGCGGAGTTGGCGGCTTGCAGGTTCTGCTCAGCAGTGGACAGCTCACGTCGCAGCTCAATAGCTTTCTTGTGCTGCGCCGAAAGGTCCTCGGCCAGCTTGTCGTACGCGGCGGACTTGGATTCCAGGAGCGAGAGAGTATCCCGGTTCGAAGCTTCGAGAGAAGAAATACGCGACTTGAGGGAGGTAACTTCGGATTCATTGGACGTAGATGACGATTTCAGGGCGGCGATTTCGGATTCCAGGTTGGAACAGGTATTTTCTGGTGGATGTGAGTAGACGCGCTAGGATGAAAGCAAACGATACTTACCAGCCTCGTGTAATTTCTTTCTCGTCTCCTCCACTTCGGTGTGGCCCTTTTCAACAGAGTTCTTCAGAACTTTGATCTTTGAATCGCTGCTGCGGACGGCACCTTCGAGCTCCACCTCCAAACGAAGCTTATCCGACTTGAGCTCGTCATGATCGCGAGCCTTCTTCGTGATAGCTTCCAAGAGCTGGTTCACCAGTTCGACCGTAGGAGCTTGGGTAAGGGTAGTTAGCGCAGACTCCGCAATGGAGTAATGCGACGCGAGGTAAGGCAATTCGGTCGTAACGGCAGCCATGTTGACTGTACACCGGCTACAGCAAGAAGCTGCCTTGCCTCACTGTTCTTGGACAACTGCACTCGACGTTCGATGTGACAGATCTAGGTCATGGCGGGGTTGAAAGAAACAATTTCGAAAAACAGGCGACACAAAGGGGGGGGTGGTAACAAAGCCCCCGTTGATTGATGGTCGAGACAAGCGTTCAAGGGTGGAAGAGACCCGGGAATGGATGATGCTGCTTTGCTGCTCCCGACGCGGTTTAGTAGCGGGCGGCTCCGGACACGTGATGACCCGGTGGCAGCCTCAGGATGGCAACTTCCAGCTCACTTCTCGGGAGTTTGACCTTCCAACACTCAAAGGCAATAAAGAACGGCCTGGTCTCTTTCAGGCCCTCCTTCTCCTCTGCTGGCGATCAGCACCTTCTGGCATATTCCATCCTTCAACCTATACAGAACACTCGAAATCTCACCCCCGATCTACCTAGATTCGAGCCTCTAGCTAGGGCCTGGTGTGAGAGAGAGCCGAGCCTCAGCATATCTCACCTACACTGAGCAACCTCTTTCGCATCTTCCACGTCCTTCCTCTCCCCAAATCGCAGCCTCGCCTCCGCGTGTGAGGCAACCAGTACTGCAAACATGTCGCACCTTCAAAACCAGCTCAAGAACTTCAGCGCCGGCGTTGTCGACTATGCAAAGAGCATGCCGCAACAGAGACGATTCGTCCACAACAACCAACCCTCGGCCAGCAGTTCACAAGTGCCCTCGTCAGCCTCCACACCCACCCCCGGCGGCGGCGATCCCCGACGAAAGCGACACGATGCGGACATCGTATACTCGCAGCCGGCCAACACCGGCACGGGCAAGGATATCATGACGCAGGTGATTTTCGCGATCGAGCACATGAAAAACAAGGGCGTGCCGCTCAAGTTCGCCGACATCGTCTCGTACCTGTCGCTGCAACACCGCGCCCATGATCAGGGCTACGTGCAGGCTCTACGCAGCATCCTGCAGAGGCACGAGAAGGTGCAATTCGACCCGAGCGGCGCGAACGGGGAAGGCACGTTCGCGTTCCGACCGCCGCACAACATTCGCTCGGCGGAGCAGTTGCTGCAGAAACTGCAGGCTCAGACGACCGGGGCGGGGATGAGTGTTCGGGAACTGCGCGAGGGGTGGCCCGCCGTGGAGGACACGATCAATAAGCTGGAGAAGGAAGGGAAGCTGCTGGTGACGCGGAACAAGAAGGACGACCATGCCAAGATGGTCTGGGCCAATGATCCGTCGCTGATCCAGCATTTCGACGACGAGTTCAAGTTGATCTGGGAGAAGATTCGGATTCCCGATCAGCAGACCGTTAAGGAGGAGTTAGAGAAGGCCGGGATCACTCCCACCAACAAAAATAAGGTCGTCAAGGCGCGGCCAAATTTTGAAAACAAGAAGGTTAAGAAGCCGCGCCGCAGTGGTAAGACAACTAACACTCATATGATGGGCATTTTGAGGGATTATTCCCATCTCAAGCGATGATTCTATTTCTGGCAGAGCCAAAATATATTCGACATTATCATCTAGCTCTTTTATTTCCGATTTTGTATACTCTGCCCGTCCTACCATATTGCATGCAATGGCGTTCACGAGGGAGACCTATACACCGGGGTTAATGCTCTGGCAGATCGACTTTTATCACTAGACTTTTGCGATCATGCTGTCTTGTTCATGGCTTTTATTGTCGCATCATGTACCATATACTGAAAAATAGATACCCAATACAATTTAATTATGCTTTCGTGTAAACTCCGTTTCTATGTCTATTTTAAATTTTTTGAAGCCAACCGTAAGGCTCAAAACCATGGGGCTCTAGTCCTATCCGGTCTCGTCGGCGCATAAGATAATCACAAAAAGAAAGCGCGCCATAACATAGGAACATCAGGGATTGAGAAAAGAGGTCCAGGTGTCAAGATAAGGAAATAGTCAGAAAACAAAACAGGAAAGTAGAGGTGAATCAAGCATCTATCAAAAGAAAAATATGAAATGTCCAAAATCCATGAGAAGCTCAATACAACCAGAAGAAAATATATATGTACCATGTGCAAAGGTTTAGCAAAAACAGAGAGAAACAGTCATAAGAAGACATCACTCAATGTTTCCCATTCGTCACCCCCTCCGTCTTCTCAACATACTCAACCAGATCCTCGATCGTGCATACCTTGATGCCCCATTTTTTACCGAACTTCAAGCACCTATCGCGTCTCATCATGCCATTGTTTCCACCGATCTCAGGGACACCCTCAACCAGGTCACCGTCCTCCACCAACTCAGCGATGACACCAGCCGGGGATTTCCCCGCTAAACGACAGAACTCGACCGCGGCCTCGGTGTGTCCTCTGCGTTCGCGCACCCCACCGGCCTTAGCCTGCAGGGGGATGATGTGGCCGGGTCTTCGGAAATCGTCGATACGAGCAGACGGTGAGGCAAGGGCTCTGCATGCGAGCGCGCGGTCCTGGGCGGAGATACCGGTTGTGACGGAGGGGTCGCTCGAGTCGATGGAGATCGTGTAGGCAGTGCCCTTGGGGTCGGCGTTTTCGAGCACCATTTGCGGCAAGGCCAGTCGACTGGCGATTTCAGGGGTGATGGGTGCGCAGATCAAACCACTACATGACAATTCCACGAATTAGCGACTATGTCCGGAAATGGATTGTGCGCGATTGCGCCAGAACGTGCCACGACGCGGGGCTATTCCAACCTTGTATAGCGGACCAGAAACGCCATCTGGGCATCTGTGATCGACTCGGCGGCGATGATGAGATCGCCTTCATTTTCACGGTCTTGCGAGTCGAGAACGATTATGAACTCTCCATTCTCTAGGGACAGTTAGTCACCTTAGTTCACCCTCTAAACTGCGATGATGACTCTATAGCCTGAAACAAGACCAGTGAAGGTGCAAGTACTCACTGAAAGCGCCAATTGTATCCTCAATGGAATCAAATTGGTGGACGAGCTCAGTCGGGGAAGGCATGTTGGATCGATAAACTGCGATAAAAATAGCCCCTCACCAGGCGCGGGGCACTCTGCACAAAAGACTTCAGTCTTTCTGTTATGTTCTTGACTTAACGAGAAGTTCACAATAAATGAGAACTTTCTCCAATCGCAATTCTAAGACCGCAACTTGAAAAAAACCTGTTTGTCGTGACAGAGAGAATGAGTCAAAAAGTAGAGACAGCGCGGGGAGACCGGAGGTGGCGAAAGACGCTGGGGAAACAAATGCGCACGCAATATCACCGGTTGTCTGGAGTCGCTAGGAACTTTCCGACTGGACCCGATCTCTTGAAGTTTTATGATAGAACAATAATCAAGGGTATCACTGGAAGTAACGGGGATTTGGACAGAAGGGAAAGGAAAGGAAAGGACAAAGGCCTGGATCACTAATGGTTTGTCAGAAGCCAGTCATGACAGACCGCGGCTCTCACGGGCCGAATCGGGTGCCGAAACATGTCCGAGTTCACTCGGACAGTTCTTACGGAGTACATCTGTCTGTAGGATTTAGCACCTGGCCGGTATGGACAGTTTTGACTTCTTCTATTTTATAGTCATGTATAAATTAGGGAGGTATGGGTAAATGCAGACTAACAGGGATCTTATGGTCCTCCGTGCACCCGCCGTCTAGATAACCAACCATCAAGGCAACGGAAGAAGCATGGCAAAAACAGAGATAAATATGAATGAATATGAAGACGACGCCGCTATAACAGGTCATATACACAAATGAGCCAGAATGCCACCGCTTATCCTATTTTATATAAAGAAAAATCCCAAAACCATCGACCCAAGTGGACTACCGAGAGCAAATACAACAATGAAGAACCCTTAATTGAACGAAACAAAAAAGACGGGGAATGGGAAATGAAATCAGTATCACATTCCCATGCCACCCGTTCGCCGTACTTCATCGGCCTGCTGTTCTAGTGCGCGGCGCATCATAAGGGAGTATTCTTCCTCTCGACGTCGATGCTCGCGCCTATTCTTGCGCATCTCGTCGCGTTTCGCATCGTCCATTTCTCCCTCTATACCCAAGTCTTCGTCGTCTTCCTCATCTTCAGTATGGGAAACGTCAGAGAACTTGACCCGGCCGATGCGCTCCCCTGTCCAAATGAGAAGCTCATCCCCTGTTAGGTTTCCTCCGGTGGGGAGTATCTTGCGAGCCACTTCCCCATCGCTGCGTGAGCGAGAGTTGCCCCACAGGCCGCCGGTCTCACTGTCATCATGCTCATCCATGATAGAATCAGGCCCCTGTTCAGCGGAGGTAGCCGTGTGAAACCGTCGTGTGGGCTTCCCACGCGGCTTATACGTGTTGATGTTAAAACGACGAATCTCGGACCGTCCGTCCCGCTCGGTCCATTTGACATTGCCGTCTCCATCAGAATAGACAATCCGTGTGCCATGAGATTCAACTGACAGCACCTTCGAGCTGGCCGCACTCTGTCGATTCTGGTGCACCAGGGCCAAGTTAGATGACCAGCCTGACTGGTCATTGCCCACATTCCGGGCTGACGGGGTCAAATTGTATAGTTCAAGGGAACCGCGACCTTTATACTCACCGCAGGCTACCACCTGATGGGAGCTTGGCCACGACGGTTCGGAGACAACGGGAAATCGCGGTGCAGGAACCGCAGCCAGCCCGCACAACCGACCGCCAGAGTGAATGGTGCTCTGCAGTCGAGGGAAGAAACGCCGGTCATATTGGAGGATGCTCGGGAAACGACCTGCAAGGAATATAGAATTCAGATGGGGAGCTGGAGGATGTAAAAGTGAAAGAGGGCCTGGCTGGAATAGTGGCGCGTAATTGTCGACGGGCTCCGACGGATCGGGGCTTCGCATGCGACGAGGGGGTTGGCCGTTAGGCCGGAGCTGGAGCAGCGGCGAGTTTGGAGGCGCGAAGAGCTGGGATTTGGGAACCAGAGACGGCGTTGACTTTTCACACCGTGAATGGATGGCCTCTTCTTCCTCGATTGCCGACATTCTGCCATCATATATATGCATACTCAACGTTGTCGCCAAGGTCAACGGCACCGAATAATCCGTCTCCTGGGACAAAGCAAACACGGACCAAGGATACCGCTGCTGCGAGACAACCCGAAGGGTCTCTAAATCCACTTCATTGAGAATGTTCCCAACTGCCAGGTACGCTCTGCGCCGCATAGAATCCACGCTCACACACTCGCCCAGATTGATAAACTCCAGCGCCAGCTTTGCCGCGGGATTCTGTTTCTTCCGGGAAACATCGGCCATGAGGATGCCCGGCTCGCTGACACCCAGAATATTGCCTTTGGTACTCTGCGAGCCGATGGCATGCGAATGGTTGAGATCCCAAATGCAGACACTACCATCATCCAGCGGCGCGATCACCTTATTTTGCCTCGCGGAGCTCCAATCCCGAAGTAACCCCATCCCTTTCGCCTCCCGGTGATCTTTCCGCTTGCCTCCAGCTTCCCGCGTGTACGGATGCTGAATCCAGTTGAACGACAGCGGCCCATTCCGGGCAATATACTCGGAGTACCAGTCGACATCCTCTCCCTCGTAGGACGGGTCCCATCCGGCCGCCGCTCTCGATCGTTCGGCGAATGACGGGGTCTGCGGTGCGTGGCCATCTTCGAAGCGAGTCGCATGCGGCTGGATAAGTGACCGCAGGGACGTCTGTCCGAGCACGCTGAGCGACGCGGTAGGATTAGTGGCCAGGCTTTCCGAGGGCCGGTGAGCGGGACGAGAGGCATCGACGGCCGCCCATGACTTCTCGTAGCAGTGAAGCCTCCACAGGGTATTATCACGAGCGACGTTGAACAGCCGCTTCGAGACGGACTGAAGTTGAACCTGCTCCTGCGGGGTGAGAACTACAACCGCCCGTTAGTTATAAGTTAAAGTAGTTCTCCGTGGTTTCATCTTGGGGGGAAACGCCGACAATGCGGGGTAAACATTGGACCAATTTCTCGGGGTAATTACAGTCAATTATTTTGGCGAGAATCTCGACCGGTAACTTCTCCATGGGCAAAACCGTTGCAAAAACACCATTGGGAGAGGACCGGGGGCAGGAGAAGGGTCAGACGAGGTTCTTCTTTCGCCCGTGCAAAAATGTTCTTAAATCCATTTTTCTTTCCTCCCCGCGATCTGCGAAGTCTAGACTTACGTCACGTGTCGGCGTGTGGAGGAAGATCGTGCATTGCGGGTGACTTTGGTCTTGTCGTCCGTCTTCCTTCGACCCTTCGCTCGGGGGTCTTTGCGGTCTGTGTTGTCCCTTGTCCCGTGGTGTCAGGTCAGGTCAGAGAGCCTTGCGGTGGCCATTGTCCTTGCGTCTGGTGGGTAAGTTTGGGTCCAAGCGAAACGCCGTCAGCGTTCTCGGCACGTTGCGAACACCATCATGGACAGCAAACAATTGAGCGGTCCTATGATACGGTCATATCGGCGTCCACTATAGCCTTAAGCTAGCTGATAAGCATCAGATTGACGAGATTATGCCTAATTAGGGTTCCTAATTTTTGCCAGTTTGCCTAGTGCCTACCCAATCCATCATTATTCGCATTAATCATACAAAGACATTAAAAGATAAAGGAAGAGAAAATAGAAAAAGAGAAATGAAAAAGATTCCAAAATCAAATCCGCAACTCGGCAAAATCATGGCTCGTAGTCGTCAGGCCTGAAAACGGCATCTTTGCACAGGATGGCCGCCTTTTTGAAAAACCGTCGCCATTCGAGGGGATCGCCTTTCACCTTCATGAACTCGATTTCGAAGAGACCCTCAGAAACGCATTCGATGATCACCTTGCCTTGTAGGGTGCACATTCGCCCGTCTCGAGTCACAATGCGTATCATTGCGGAGGTGTCCCCGGCCGAGACTGCGGGGACGGAGGGAACGGGTACGCCCAAACGGTGCAGCGCCTCGCAGATCAGAGGGACCAGCAATTTAAGTTCCCACGTTGAGAAGAACCGGGTCATCGGGCGGGACGGGACGATATCGCGGAATCGCTGTGCCTTTTGGGTGCGGCTTAATGGCACGGAGGGATGCGGCGAGAACTGGGACATGGACGGTTCGTCCTCCAAGGTATCGCCAATCAGGGTATCATCGGCAGAGAAAGGCTTCCCCATCGGTTGTGTCGATGAAAACGTATCTCCCAAGTGAGGAGTATCCCAGTCAACCAGCATGCCTCCCCTCGGCATCTCAGGCTGCGTGGAGGAGATTCTGTGATCTCCATCCAAATCATCGCCCATGTCCATTCTGTCGGGACCAAAACTACCGCCATTCGATCGCAAGGCAAGAGGATCCTGGGAGAAATCGATATGAAGCGATTCAAACATCGTCGTAGCCAGATTAATCGGGTCTCGCAGCCTTCCATCCGGGGCGAGGAACTTGTTTTGTCGTGTGTACCAAGGATGTCGGCGTACATCCTCCAACGAAAACCGATTCCCGGGGTCAGTGTTCAGCATTCCTCGGAGCAGCGATAGAGTGGCCACTGGTAATTGCTGCCATAATTCATCGCTCGTGCGTGCATTCGTTGTAACGTATAAATGAAACTCGTAGCTATTCTCTGTGGGACTATCCCATGGCGTGTTTCCGGCCAGAAGAACGAAGAGAACGATTCCACACGACCAAATATCCACCAGATCCGGCTGGTAGCCCGAGCCCTTGATCTGGCCTTTGCTGCTGCAAGAGATCACCTCGGGAGCGATGTACGGAGGGCTACCACAAAACGTGGTAGACAGTTTGGTCACCCCCTTGTACTCGAACAAGGTGGCGAGGCCAAAGTCCGCAATCTTCAAGTTCCCATCGGCCGTCAGGAGCATATTTTCCGGTTTAATGTCCCGATGTCCCACGCCCTTCGAATGCATATAGCCCACGGCACTGACAAGTTGTGAGAAATAGACATGGGCAATGTCTTCTCCCACGCCCTCGTCGGCCTCGATTTTGTCAAAAAGATCGCCACCCTCGGCCAGCTCCATCGCGATCCATCGCCAGATTTCGTCCTCCCCCGTCTGGAAAAACGAGATTATATTGTAATGGTCGCCGATGTGCTTGTGTACCGTCGCTTCCATCTGCAATTGCCGGGGGCTAATCTTCCCATGTCGGGCGGCGTACTCTTTGTGGATGAATTTGACGGCAAAGACAGGATTATCCGTATGCGAGGGGCATGCTTTTTTGATACTACACGGGACCACAGACGAGTTAGGGATATTGAGATCACGTTGTAGCAAGGGTAGGTGTTCAGAAACCGACTTACCACGCGTAGGCACCCTGCCCAATCGTCTTGGAGACAATTCGAAAGGGCAGGTCATTTGGTAGCGGGGCAAGTTGAGAATGGTGCATCGTGAAAGGAGAACCCACGAGGCAGTCAATGCGAGAAATTTGCCGGATCTGAGATCAGATCTGAAGGTCAATCAGAGAAACAGGAGCTTTTGATCCATCATCTCGTGGTGTTCAAAGGCAGAAAGCAAGGGTTGCTGACTGGGAGGAAGCCGGGGAAACGCGCTGCGCCGGCACGCGAGAGCCACTTTATCCTCTCTGGGTAATCTGTTGATCGCCGACCGGGCGCAACTTCAACGCCAGGACAGAGCATGTTTCTTCTTTTTTGGGGCTGTTATTACAACAGTGGCAAGTGAATATGCGCAGAGGAATAGAGAACCTAGAGGAAATCAAAATAAAGTAGAGATTGGTTTCCTATTATTCGGAACCTGCAATAGGCCATCATGGCTGCTTCATGTCGGTCATAACAATCTAGACCCGCAGCAGTCGCCCTCTGCCAATGAGATATTCTCCGTCAGCACTGGCACTGAGAATGAAGAACACCCACTATTCTTAGCCTCAGCGTTCGATGTTCAGACCGTGCTCCTTCCATCGTGGAAATCTGGTGGACAGATCACCTGCCGGGGACGAAGACAAAGAGGAAGGATAATTTTAAACACAGCCAACTCGAAGAATAGAACACATTGAACTTAACCAAAGAACAAGTACCCTGAAAAGAACACCGACCCCATCGGATGAACGAGTCAGATGTGAGATCAGGCGGGGGTCCATTAAGCCAGCGTTGCCCGGGGCGCGTTTTCCCTCTTCAGTGGAGTAAACAAAAGAAAAAAAAAGAGAGATGGCCTTCCTCTCCTCTCCTGTCCTGTTTGCATCCCAAAACATTCATCTTCGGCGTTTCCCTCTCTCCCTTCCTCTTGAATCTTAAACACTTCGCCCTCTTCCTCCCATCCCACCTCATTGCTTGTTCCATCCTTACCGATTCCGATCCTCTGGGTTTCTCAGTGGGTCGATCCGTCCATTCCAGCCAACAGTTAGTTAAGCTGCATTCGGTTCCGTCATTCCAGACAGCAACCCTCCCTTGCTACTCCGTACTTTGATCGGAATTCCAACCTTCCCGGTCCTCCCTCGTTCTCTATTTCATTTAGTCCGAGACGATATTCACTCGCCGACTCGCTCTCTCGCCCTCCCTTTGCTCTCGATCAATCAGAATGGACTACACGATGGAAGACACCCAGAACTCCGCCCCCGATGCGCTTGAGGCGTCCAAGTTGAACTCAGCAGGCCAGCGCAACGACAGCCAAAGCGTCACCAAACGGTTCGTGCCTACTTCACCCCCATTGTCCAGCTATCCATCCTCCAGTGAACTAACCTCAATCTCCTTGGTGTTCAACAGCCTCCAAGCAGAGCTCATGCAGCTAATGCTCTCGCCATCGCCGGGTATCTCCGCCTTCCCAGACGCAGATGGCAACCTTCTCTCATGGACGGCGACAATCACCGGACCGGCCGACACGCCCTACGACGGCCTGAAACTCAAGCTATCGTTCGCTTTCCCAAGCAACTATCCCTATGCGCCGCCGACCGTGCTCTTCAAGACGCCCATCTACCACCCCAACTTCGACTTCTCGGGCCGCATCTGCCTGGACATCCTAAAGGATAAGTGGAGTGCTGTTTACAACGTGCAGAGTGTGCTGCTCAGTCTGCAGAGCTTGCTCGGGGAGCCGAACAAGTAAGACACCCCAAAACTCTCAACCCCTTCTATCGTCTAGGTATATCGGTATACTAACCACTCGAATAGCGCGAGTCCCTTGAACGCCCAAGCCGCGGAACTATGGGACACCGACCAGGAAGAATTCAAGCGTCACGTCCTCGCCCGACACCGCGACATCGAAGATATTGAGTAAATGTCCATCCACGTGTTTTTTTTTGTTTTCAGGGCGTTAGGAAGCATTCCAAGTGGAACAGAATTCACTTGGCTGCATTGCATTGCATAGTCGGGGTCTGTCTGGTCCGGGCTGGATATCCATCCATACCATGCCATCCATCCATTCCATCCTGTCTCGGGAGAAGCGATATGTACGGCCCGATGCATTAGTGGTTGGGTGGGGGGATTATATAGGATTTTTGGAGTTTTTTGTGTATTGGGGCTTGTTCTGCATTTTCTTGCTCTTTCTCGTTCTCAATCTTTCTCTCACCGGGGATCACGCCATCGACAGTACAGGAAACCAACGTGTGTCCCTGGGTAGAATTCAATACCCGTCTTTCTTTCCTGCATTCTTTCTTTCCTTACGTCCTTTTCTTTAAAAGCCCTCCCGATTTCTCGTGTTGGTAACCACCAGTCATAACTAAACACCTACCTAGTTCTGGTTCCTCGTATTGCTATATCACCAAACCTTAATTCTAGATATAGGGTCTAAACTGACAGGGGGGTGGATATATAAAGAACAAAGAGTGTAGGATCTGCACACCCGCTCGTGACTCACACCTCACCCACATCTTCCCAGTCAATAGAATGGAACCGGAGACAAGACAGACAGATCGAAGCCTTATAAATGTAAAAGCTGAGATATATTCCATATACAACATGAATACATATATACATATATGCATATGCGATAATTACTATTCATTTTTCCGTTTTCGATGGTGTTTTCCTTTCGCGGTTGCTTTATGCTTTTCGCTTTTCAACGAGCAAAATCACATCGAATCAAACCAAACCAAATCAAAAACAAATCATTCACCCCCCACCCCCCTTTTCAGGTACGGAGGTAGATTATTTACGTGTTCGGCGTCGTGAAAGCCGCTTCGTTCGTGATCAGGAGACCAGCGATCGTAGCGCTGGTAAAGGTACTGATCGCGCCCGTGACCATGGCGCTGAAGGCGACGCGAGAGACGTCTCCGGATCGGCTGGGCGCGAGCTGGGCTAGCACGCCGATCTGGTTACCGAGGGAGCCGATGTTGGCGAATCCGCAGAGTGCGTAGGTGGCGATCAGTCTGGATCGCGGAGAGAGGTCCTGGTATTCGGCTTCGTTTTGAAGGGCGTTGTAGGCAATGAACTCGTTCTGGGGAGGGGTTAGCGGGGACTGGTCATTTCTGTCTTTGGATGGTGCTGAGGTCTTACCATGACGAGTTTCATGCCGAGGAGCTTGCCGACCTTCAGGAGATCTCCGTCGCGGGAGACGCCGAGCAGGAAGGCGATCGGGTAACAGATGTATCCGAGGATAAGTTCGAGGGTCAAGTCGGGGTCGTTAATGTTCAGGTACCGACCCCACCAGGTCAGGAGGCCGTTGATCAGGCCGACGAAGGAGATGATACACAGCAGGACAGATGCGATCATGGTGGCGATCTTGAGGCCGAGCCAGGCTCCGTTGGAGAAGGCGTGAAGCGCGTTGGCGGCCTTGTGATCCTCGTCTTCCGGGACGACCACGCGGCCCGCCGTGAGGGTCTCTTCCTCCTCGGGCCACCGCAGCTTGGAGACAGCGAGCGAAGCAGGGATACTCATGACACAGGACGAAACCAGCGCCTGGGAGTTGACACCCATGCTAATGTAGGACACCAACACCGATCCTGCAATGGTGGCGTATCCAGAGCACATGACCTGGTGGATTTCGGCCATGGTCAAATACGGAATGAACGGTTTAATCAGCATGGCGGATTCTCCTTGTCCGATGAAGGGGGACGCAGCGGCGACGACGGCCTCGGCACCCGACACCCGCATGCACCAGAAGAAGAAGACGGCAAACTTGCCGACGGCCCACTGGAGCAGGCCGATGTAGTAAAGAAGCTGGACGAGCGAGACGAAGAATATGATGGCCGGGACAACGCTCACCAGGAACCAAGTATGACTCTTCGCGAATCCATCCTCGACCAAAAAGTCAACACCCTGTCCTGCAAACTCCAAGAGCTCACGAGCCAGCGTGGAGATGAAGTTGAAAATGTCATATCCGGCCTGGGTCCGCAGCACGAAGAGTGCGATGATGAACTGCACCAACATGCCCATGATGACGGTGTGCCAGACGATCTTCTTGCGGTTCCTCGAGGTCGCCCAGAGCACGAACAGGAACACCACGAGACCGAAGAGACTGACGGCCCGGTTTTCTCTGCTGTTGTCCGCGGTCTCCTCCGAAGCAAACGCGCCGATGATAATGACCGAAATAGTCAGGAGAGCACCACCGGGGAGGCGAAGCTTTTCCGGAATGAGGTCGACGAATCGCGACGCGGTTTGATTCCATACCCAGTACACTGGCCTCGTGACGATCGAAATGGGCACATAGAGGAAGATGAGGCGCAGAGTGATGGCAAGCCACAACAAGAAGGGGATCACCCAATTCTTGTCATGCCGATGGAGGATGAGACCTGCAATCCACCATCTAGAGATTCGAAAAAAGATGAGCCTATCACGGAACCCAAGATAAACCAAACCCCACGGGCAAATGAGCGGCTTACCCGGTGAACAAGAGAAAGATGACAGCATAGACCACATGCTTGATATACTTGGAGTACCGACGGTAGAAAGCCCGTTTCGGGTAGCTTTCACCCGCTTCCTCGTCCTTGTCACTCTTCTTCTGTCCCGTGCTATCTAGCGAGCTGGATTCCGGGATTACTCTCTTCTCAGTCTGCACGCCCTTCGTGTAGATGATATCATCCTCCGCCGCATCGTTAGAGCCGGTATGCCGTTCGGTTGCGGCGGGCGTCGTTTCTATGCTTGTGACCTGCTGGTCAGGCGTGTCGAGAGTTTTTTGGTCCGCCATGGCTTCAAAGGACCTGATCCCAATGGATCCCTTCTTCAGCAGTTCGATACCCCCTGTGATATGATATAAAAGGTTAAATGGATGGAGAATATATTTATCGAAAGAGAAAAACGGGTGAAGCAAGAGCTCCAGTCAAAGCCAGCCGGGTGTGAAAAAATTCGACGAACACGGTCAATGGCAATTGACGACAGGAAGGCGCAGCTTTAAGGTTGAACAAGACAGGAAGGAGGTGAGATAGAGAGATAAGTAGTAGTCAGACGGAAGATGCATGGAAGGAGGAAGGAAGAAGAAAAAATAAAATAAGATAACTGCCTAGGCCATAGCCCTGACCACCTGAGATAAGGTCATGATGGACAAAATTCCACCGGCAGCGATTGAGGACCCGAACTTATCAGTTGACAAGTGTGCGGGGATCCCAGTTGGTGCTTTTCGCCCGTTCCCAATCTAGTGGCCACTCCGGCGGTCGGTTTCTTTTTTATGTTTTCTTTTATTGCTACGTCCGTGTCCACGTTGACGCTGATTTGGGTTTCTTCCGTCTATAGGACACTGTCCAGCTTGTTTCCCCGTGTCTTCGAGACCTTCGTGAGCCGTCCTGGTTGTGTGGTGCAGACGGTCCAGAAATTCTAGTGGCTGGGATCTGTATGCACTCCGCAAGGCAGGAGGCGAAAAAGAAAAAAAAAAAAATTTATTATAAGAAAAAGAAAAAGGTGGGCCCCGAAGGCAAACTCTGCCTTCCCCATCGGAGGATAGCGATAAGACTGTTGCAGCGCTAAGTCGCCCGGCGCTCACTCGGATTGGCAGCCGATCAACGACGACCCGACGAGGGCTTCTGGTGCGGCTGGTCTCCGCACAAGGAACTCGGTCGTGTGCCGTCCAATGCCTTTCTCTCGCGATTCATTTGTTAAAGAAACCGGCGGGAGGTTACATCGGAATAACCGGCCTGGTTGGGAGCAATTGAACTCAGATCCGGTCTTCCTGGTGCGCTGCCAACCTCCTGGGGAAGGCGAATCCTTATCGGAGATGGATCGTGTCTGCTCTGCTGCCATGTGCTGCTGCTGAGCCTGGGATACTGATAGAAGAGTAGTCTAATTCTGCTAGTCTCGCTGGTATCTGGCAATCTGCCCACCCTTATCCACTCTGCTAACACAACGGCGTCCGAGGTTTCTTCGAAGCAGAGCCCACCCCGACGAAACACCCACCCGGAGGCGAGTGTTGGAACACCGCACAAGAAGAAAAAAAATATGATAAAATCCGGAAGAATAGCTCGGAAAAACTAAGAAAAGACAAAAGCCCCCGGCCAGCCAACGCCGACCGCCAAGAGTTGACGTCCTCGAGTGGGAAAATAGTGCCGACCCTAGCCGGACCATGGTGGTAGGATCGTACTAGTGGTGTGCCCTACAAGAGTACGCCTAGTCGTCTACAACCAGTGGCCATGCTCCATTCAACCGCCAAGCCGTAAGCAGGACACCTCGAATAATGCCAGGATCGAAGGGCTGCTTCATGATAAACAGTCGCTGTGACTGGCTGTGTGCCACGGAGAACTCCGATCCTGATACCCCCTGGCAGGACGTTCTTCCCCGGACATGTCCTGGGGCCTATCGTCCAGACAGTGCGGCCAAGATATCTAGCTCAAGCCACATCGGGCGTGGGTTGCATGATGCTACGTGATAAGCCTCTGTTCTCTTTCACTTTCAGATGGAGGAATGGATTATCCTCGGATATTTGGCTCGAGAGGGGGGGGGGGGGGGGGGCGGTTTTCTGCTAGCGAGGACGTGGTTGGCTTGGTATTCATTTAATAAACAGTAGGAAATGGAATGCTATCAACCCTCCCGACTTCTTGTCGCGGAACTCCGGAGGTCCACAAAGTATTAATTCGAAAAGGCTTCGCGATAGACGTTTTGCTTGCATCTCTCGGCCAACGAGGGAGTACACCGAATGAGGTGGTCGCTAAGTCAACGGGGTGTCCTGCCTAGTCCGGGGTAGGTATCTAAATGAGGACAAAATATATATCAGCGGAGTCTCGGTAGTGGTAGGCTCTTAGCTCCAGGCGAGTCCACTCCGGTGTTGTGGTGTGAAGGATTGTTTGTAATACCTAATGGAAGGGGCCAAGCAACAGCTCCCATCACCCATGTGATGCACCTGCCAATCCGGGGTGCTCTAATTAGTACCTTCCGAACCCGTTCACTTCCAGAAGGGATAAGGTTAAGATTGCGCCGGATGGGGCCATCGCCCATCAGAGGTTCCCCCCCCCCCCCCCCTGCCGTTCCCTGCCGCTCAGGGCGGGGTCAAGCTCTAGCCCATGCTTTCCCCCCGATCTTCTCTCCTAACCTTGCCTACTACTAGCTCGGTTTAATCGCTTGAACGGGTTACACCCTTAATATGGTCAAGATGGAATCCGCCGACGTCGAATGGGAACTTGAAGAGGGGATCCCCCAGGTCAACGACCCCTTCATCCAGCAATACCTCAAGGGTCGGACCTCTCTTATCGAGGAGGAGCAGAAGCAGCGTCATGGTGGGATCCTCCCCCCGGCTCGGATTTGCGCATCGAATTGAGATCAAGCACGACATCGCGTCCTCTCCCTGAACTAACTCCTTCGGTCCAGACTTTACCCTTCGAAAGTCCTTATCGCCCATAGCGAAGACAGCATGCAAGATCCTGTCCAAGATCCGCGACCGGGAGTTGATGCCCACAGGGCCCGCACCGTCGGACCCTCATACTAGCCATGCGTCGTCGGAAGAAACTCTACATCCCGGCGGTAGGTTGCACAACGCTAGGGATCGGATGGAGACTACCGAGCTCTGGAAGATCCTGCAGAGACTGCCCAAGGGCTCCTTTCTACATGCGCATTTAAATCTCATGTTTGATGCCGACTTTCTCGTCGATCAGGCTCTCGCGACGGAGGGCATCCACATAGTTGCGCCCGAAGCGCTCTCAACCCAATCACGCCGCGACGAAATCCCCTTCACTGTCCGTTATATCTCCAGCCCAGCGGGCGGATTGGATACTGGAACATCCTTATGGACTTCTTCTGGGAATTCTCGTTTCCTGGCGCCCGTCGGCCTACAATTGGCGGCCTCTTCGTTCCCCGACGGTGAAGAAGGGTTCCGTGACTGGTTGAAGAGTCGCTGCGTGCCGCTACGCGAGCCCTCCGTTTACACACATGATAATTCTGGACCTGCTGCGGTTTGGGATGCCTATCGCCGCTCGACGTCCGTTATTTCCTCTCTCCTCGGCTACGAGCCTATTTTGCGCGCGGGCCTACGCCGCCTGTTCGCCAAATTGGCCGCCGACGGGGTTAGGTATGCGGAACTACGGACTGAGTTTTTCCATCCCTTTTACAGGATAGGGTGTGCCGAGCCCGAAGAGGGGTTTACCGACTGGTGTAGAGTGTTTCAGGAAGAGCTTATGAGGTTCAAAAGTACGGGAGAAGGGCAATCATTCCATGGTGCTCGCGTGATTTGGACAGCTACGGGCGTCTCATCCAACAAAGACTTGGCAGAGAGCATGATGAACTGTATCATAGCCAAGCAAGATTTCCCGGACGTGATCTGCGGGTTTGACTTGGCAGCACAAGAAGGCCCCAAAGGACAGCTTGTGGATTTCGTCCCACTGATGTTTTGGTTCCGAAAGTTGTGTCTTGAGGAAGGAGTAGACATACCCTTCTTTTTCCACGCATCAGAATGCGATACACACGGGGAGAATCCCAGCCACAACCTTTTTGACGCCATCCTGCTGGGAGGTCGGAGAATAGGGGACGGGGTATCACTCTATGAACATCCTATGCTCATCGAGTTGATCAAGGAGAAGAAGATGTTGGTTGAGCGCTGTCCTATCTTCAACGGACGTCATCGACTGGCAGATCCGATCGGATCCAATTCTCTTCCCTTTCTTTTGTCCCGTGGAGTTCCCGTCTCGCTGGGCAGCGACCTCCAGGCCGCCCTCGGACACGGCTGGAATGGATTGACACCGGAGATTTGGCGGGCGCTCCAGGGCCCTGAACGTCTGGGGATTACAGACATTGCCATCTTGATCGAGAATTCCATCCGATGGAGCAGCTATGAAGATCAGCCGACAGCAGGATGGCTGACGGGAATTCGCGAGGGGGTTCTGGGCGAAGGGATAAAAGCATCCCGGTTGCAGGAGTGGTATGCGGACTTTGAGAAGTTCTGCGAGTGGGTGGCGCTCGAGTATGCAGAAGTTGATATTGATGATTGAATACTGAGTACTGAGTACTGACGATGGACAATTTTTACAAGCATAACACTAATAATGAGTCGAGGATATATAATTCAGAATGTAATAGAGCAGAATTCGGAAGTTCTTGTACCTATTCACCATTGGAGGGGTACCTCCGAAGGACCTTGCATACCTATGCTAATTTGGATCGAGTGAGGACAAATGTCAAACTCCCCGGCGCATGAGCATGCCCTGTTGTGACTATTTTTTGAGTTCGCTTTAACCCTTGTGAAGTACAAAGATTGACCTTCCTTGCCTGCCAGTAATTGGTTCGAACGACTTCTGAACGCAGCGCAAAACTGCCCTGCACTGCACAGCAAAGCCTCTAATCCAATCATTTGCCGCTAAGCGTCGATTGAAGTTCTCGACGAGCTCCCACAATAAATAATACCTCCCGCTTCATTGAACGCATCCAAGTAAATGTGACGGTAAGTTTCTCATCCAACCTGCCATGGACGACGTCCTGCCTCCACGAGAGTACCCTCCGGTCCAGCCGAGTGAATATCCTCAAATTCCAACTCGAACGCCACTAGCTACTTTTGAGAAAGTGCATGCTTCCTGCGTGAGTGGTGATATCCTAAAATTTCGAGAGATTCTGGACTCGCAAAGTTCGTCAGAGGAGGACTTTGATATCTGCGACTTCCATGCGATAATGATCGAAGTCATCAAGCTAGGTGATTCGCAGTTCATCAATGAGCTCCTTGATCGCGGCTTGCCCATGGATCCACTCTATGCATCGGCAGCCATGCAAGTCAATGGGACGGATGCTCTGGCGGTTTTCCTTCAAAACAGATGGAATATCAATCAGCCCATGAGCGAGCTGAAACCGCCCGTACTCGGGTAAGACCAGGCTCATCCCAACAATCTAAATCCATGTCATCAGTAGATAGATATCGTTATAACATTCTCTTTAGCTATGTTATTGCCGATGAGGAAATGACAGCTTGGCTCCTTGACCATGGAGCTGATCCCAATCGACAATGTGTTATTGATCTCACCCCACTTTCCCTTGCTGTCGAGAGCGCCCCGATATCAATCATCCAGCTCATGCTCAGTCGTGGCGGCGATGCTCGAAAAAGGCAACTCCTCCACCACGCAATGGAACGGCATGGGCATTCATATAACACTATTGCGGTCTTGAAACTCCTCATCAAAAACGGGGCAGATATCAATTCAACTATGTACGAGGACCATTATCCTTCTCGGGCGCTATTCCCCTTCATGGCTCTTGGAACGGCACTGCACAAAGCCGCTGAACTCGGCAAGGTGGATGTAGTTCACTATTTGGTCAGCGAGGGAGCCAACTTGAGTATTAAAGATGCACATGGTCGCACAGCCTTGGAGTATGTGCAGACGTTAAATCAGTGGGAGGTCGTTCAGGCGTTCGAGAAAGGAAATTAGCTTGTCTTTCGCGATGAAGGGGAGTTTGCTCCGTATAGAAAGTAGAAATACGCACAGCAACAGCACCTGCGCAGAGTGACACTAAACCCCAAACGGCGCGCTAAGCTGTTTTGCCATAAATAGAGTGCCTTTCACAATGCAGTGCACAATTACTCATCCACATACATAGTGCCCCTTGAGTCAGGTCGTCCCATGATGTTGAGTCTGGAATCTGAGCATCACAAGGACCAGCAGAGACGGGAGAATCTGCTTGATCAACAGGTCGTCTGTCTCTGGTATGTCACCTCCTGAACGCAGCGAGGCACAGCACGTCATGCGCTCTTACTAAGCGACGGTGGACGAAGGTATCACGAGACCGCCAAGTCCCGGTTATTCACCGGAACAAAGCAGCATTCAGCATTCCTGCGTGGAAAGCACGGCTTGGAGGAAGCTGCCCTTATTGATGAGTCCTCGAGCTGACTCGATCATTTATATTCCATATCAAATGGACGGGGCGATGTCTGCGGCGATCCAGACGATCAATCTGCGCTGACCCCATACGTGTTTAACCATCGCCCAACCGTGGTTGGCGTTGCCGACCTAGAACGTGTGGACTAGGAACATCTCTCGGGTGGGGTGGCCATCATAGACCGAGGAGTAAGTTGGGAACACCTCTGCTGTTGCTGCACTGGAGAATTTCCAGCAAGCGATAGCCTGGACGTAAGTGTGAGTTGGCATGGTGTGATTTGGGTTCCCCCAGTCTCCGCCTGACTATTTGCGGTTGATCCTCGCTATCTACGGAGTAGTTACCTTACGGTCTGCTAGTCCTAACTACTAGTAGTCTACCAACTTAGCGCTTCGATTCCCGAACGTCATCCTACCCGTTATCCGGCACATCAACCATCCCTCCGCGCCCTGGGGGACAACCATCGCTCTGAATCCAGGGCCTGCATTACAGCACATCCCTATCTCAGCAAGTCGTTTTCCTTATTATGATCTCTCCCCGATGACGCTTGCAATTTTCAAATGAGCCCCGGTCGGCTCTTCATGCCCAAACATGGCTTACTTCCTACCCTCATTCTTCCAGAAGCGGTTGCTCCGATATGCCTTGTCTCGTCTGGAGTTCGTCGACACCGAAGCCCTAGATCTCGACAGCCTCGGCATTCGCTGGGGCCAACGGAGCACCGTCGAGTTACGGGATATAGGCTTGAGGCTTGAGGTGCGTAAGAAAGTGACAATCTCCCCTCGGGGTGGGCTCGCAGCTGGCTGCCCTGGTGGTTGAACTTGGCTAACATTCTCGTCTTCTCTCGCTCGTCACAGAAATTAGCCTCATTCCTCCATCTGCCTCCCTCCAGTGAACTCCTTAGCGCCCGCGTTCGGTACCTTCAAATCACAGTCCCTGCCGATTTCTACAGCAGTGGGATCATCTGCCAAGCAAGCGGGATCGACGTGCATCTTAGACTCCCGTCGGAAGAGACCTGTCACGGCGAGTCGACGGAGCAGGGAAAGTCGCCTTCAGCGGGCGATCATGACCTCTCGCTTGACCCGATTCTTCCAAACCCGACCGATCTTGCACAGTCATTCCTCGAAGCCGAGCCGAAAGAAGAGAAAGAGGAACTACAAGCTGCCATCTCATCTCGATCTCAAGTACTACAGCATCCGTCGTCCTCCTTTAGCAGCGACGATGAAGACGAGCTTGGTCTGGGTAGTGAGGGTGTCTCACTCCCTAGTTTTGTTGCGGGTTTCATAAAGGGCGTTGTCGAGCGCCTCCAGGTTCAGATTGATGATATCTCGGTGCGAGTAGAGCTGGAAACGAAGCAGGAGGGTCCTCTGAAGAGACAACCAGAGGAAAAGCCAGACTCAATAACCGGGCTCTTGAGCATTCGTCAAATCAAGGTGAATGCGGTGTCCGCGTCCTCTGGCTCCGATGAAGCTCTGTCTTGTACGGGGAAACGATTGGTCTCCCTCTCTGACCTTAACCTCGCTTTAATCTCTGAACCCATAGTTTTCTCGAATTATGCTCGCTTTACCGAACCTCCTATGTCACCGTCTACCCCCGTACAGCCAAAATCAAGCTGGTCGCCTAGTCGAGCCCCTTCGCCGTCTCCTGCGGTGCCGTCCTCTTCAAATTCCACCCTTGACCTCTCGCGATCGACCATCCTTGACCAATCACCGCAAGAGTTTGCAATTTCTCGAATGGAAGACCGTGGTGATGCTCCTGAATTGGAAGGTTCCGTTTACACGTACGATGGCCGATTTTCAGATGCCGATACGGAGGAAAATCGAAGTTATGGCTACCTCGAAGATTCCCAAAATCTATCCGACGATGATAAACTTCTCGACAATCCCGCCTACCTGGACTCTGTTATCAACTCTCAGTTCCAGGATGATGATCTCGAGGGCTCGGGTAATTTGCACCTGCCCCCCAACATTAGCCATGATTCCAGTCGCGGAGAAACACCTCGTCGCCAGAGTCCGGACCTGAGCCCTACTGGGTCTGCGTCCCAACATAGCTCAGGCAGAAAAGCGCTGGTTCCCTTCGGGCAGCAACCGGAACACCATGGTGGTGTATCCCTAAGCGGCAGTGATCATTATCAGTTAGAAGGCCTGGGCGCCCAGAAAGCGCTACCCGAAGTCGCCTTTGAGGACGCGCCGTCAAATTACCATGAGGAAGCGCCTCGCTTCTCTGGCCCTCCTTCAGAAGCAGATAGTACGGATTCGGCTTCCGGCTCTTTTCACGATGCCGATCTTTCAGAGTCGAAACTGTTCTCGAACGAAGAGGCCCAAAGTATGTATATGAGCGCTATCAGCCAAGGTTCGACCACAAGAAGTTTCATGCCCAATATTCCGGGGGCTTGGGATTCTCCCGAATCAACAACACAACACCCATTCCACACTTCCGGGGATCATGGGCAAACGGGCTACGATAACGATGACCAGGATGACGCGGCGGCGGCGACCCCCAAGCTTACTGCTCACGTCTTACCATCATTACCACAAGAGCACTCACTTGACGAGAACTCAAGGGCGCCTTCTGAGACGGCAGAACAAGATTCCATGAGATCTTCTCAAGGACTGAATAAGCCTGCAGAGATGGCAAAGAAATTCTTTAGCGTTGACAAGATACTGATATGGATTCCCTCAACTACCGAGGACGACGAATTGTCAGATCTGGACAGGACAGGTGACAATTTGAAGCAATCGACTGCTCGCGTGCGAGGTCATGGAACCGAGGATGATCTTCTCGCCTCCAGGGCTCATACTTCATTACGGTCCCGTGGCGACTCTATCGGTTCGTCCTTTCACTCCGAAATTGCCGAGTCAAGGTACCCACAACGAGCAGAGAGAGATGAACGAGAGTTCGGGTCTAGCGGTGAACGGGACGAAATAGCAGTTGAGATATTCTCGGCAGAGCTACAGTTCGATATCGCCATCGGATGGCTGGTCGTGAAATTTGGTCAAAGGGTCCTCCACGCATTCGGCCAGGATGACAGCGCAGCTCCTGCAAAGAAGCAGACAAAGGATGAGGCGCAGGGCGTGCAGGGCCGACAAGCTCTCCGACTTGCGCTGCAGAAGCTATCCATTAAATTCGTCGGACACGTACCAGGACACGCATACCCTTGTGAAGAGTCCCAATTGCATTCTCCCACATTCTTCAGTCTTCTCCGTGAAGATATTGTGCTTCAAACCACTGCTTCTGGGCTGAAAGCGCATTACTCCACGGAAAAAGACAAAGCAAAATTGCGCTTAGATGTCACCAAATTCACACTCGGATTTGCATCTGAGGATCTGCTTTCGTTCAGTGAAGATCTGAAAATGCGCGAATCCACACGCGATGTCTTTTCACCCACGCATGGCGACCTAAGCATTTCTTTGAGCAAGTCTTCTGATTCGGCGCATGTCAATATCACAACCCTCCCCCTCCTACTCAATGTCAATGTTCAACGCTTGGAAGAGGTTGTAGACTGGTTCGGTGGGCTGAGCACTATTCTGGATCTTGGAAGCTCAATCTCATCGATGTCAGCTACAAAGGTCTCGAAAAAGCCCACGCCAAAACGAGCTCGCGGTGTGCGATTTGAAGCCTCATCTCCCCCGCTCCCGGAGGTGTCTCCGAATGACTCGGTGCCGTGGAAGGTTAATGCTCGCGTGGGTGGAGTCGCCGTTGATGTCGCCGGAGAAACACATTACCTGAAGCTAAGATCTACGGCTGTGAAACTCATTAGTAGATCCGAGGGTATTGCCGTGCAAATCGACAAAGCCAAGTTAAGTGGACCGCTGCAACTTGAAGACACGAAGGATGCGCCTGCTAAAGTCAACCTGAATAACATTCGGGTCGAGTACCTATATGCGCCCAAGGAGACAGACCTAGATCGTCTTCTTTCATTGATCACGCCTTCCAAAGACAAATACGACGAAGATGACGACATTATGCTAGACACTCTCTTCCGGCAGCGGAGACAAGGTTCCGTACTCCGCACCACAGTTGGCGGCATAAAGGCAGTGATAACGCGCACGAATGACCTGGAAGCCTTCGTTCAACTTGGAGAGGAGCTAGGTAGACTATCTACTGTCGCCAAGTACCTTCCCGAAGATGACCGACCTGGACTATTGACCCTCACGTTGATTCGAGACCTTGAGGTTCAAGTACATGTGGGAGGCAAAGTTGGGGAAATGACCGCGCGCTTGGAAAACGCCGAAGCCGCCTATATCAGCATCCCTTCGCTTATAGCTGCCAAGGTTGGATCAATGACAGTTTTCAGAAATGGCGACGAGGAGCTGCTAGGAGAAGGCTTACCTCCAAATATGGGTCAAAGCTCAGTATCTCAGACCGAGCACCCGGTATTGATGGCGCGATTCATTGCCGATGAGATGGAGCCTACGTTCAAAGTCAAACTCCATAATATACGTGTGGAATACACGCTATCGTCGATCGTCGCATTCCTCGGGCTCAGCGAAGAAATGACCACAGGCGATGTTGCTGCCAACATGGCGAACTCGCTGGCCAATCTCGCAGAGTTGCAGTCTCCCCATCGCTATGATAAACAAAAAGTGAATGAGGAGACCCCTAAAACCCCCTCAAAGCCCACCAAGCTGGCGGTCGGTTTACGGGACTGTGTTGTCGGTCTAAATCCCCGGGGCACTGCCGCCAAAGGTCTGGTGGTACTCACGAACGCTAATTTCTCCGGCACTATTCATGATGATACCGCCTCGGAAGCCACATTAGATCTTCGCAAAGCGTCGATTATGATCATAGACGACAGGAAGAATGTCGGGCTTGCTGATACGCATAGCCGGAGGGGCTCTGGTCTGCAGAGTGATCAAGTTCAAACCCTCATCGATCTAGGGTACGTGTCTGTATGCTCTATATCCTCCGCGACGGCTACTCTGAAAATCGTGCGACTCAGCGACGACGGCACCAAGTCGCTTGACGTGGAGCTCAGGGACGACCTGCTCATTCTGGAAACCTGCGCGGACTCAACGCAAACACTCATCAGCATCGTCAATGGTTTACAGCCTCCAACCCCCCCTAGCGTAGCTGTTAAATACCGGACCGAGGTCCTTCCGATCCAGGACATGCTAGCATCGTTCTCTGGAGATGCGTTTACGATGGACCCGATTCTAGAAGCCGAAGAGACTTCAGAATCAGATGATCGTCCTCATTCGACTGAACAAAGTCACAGTGGAGCAGACCCTATCGAGGATGAGCTTGAGTACGTGAGCGACTTTTATCCCGTGAAACCAGCTCCGGAGCCTGGCTCTTCGCACGAGGGCATGGGATCGTCGAATGAATTACTCGACAGTTTCCACTCGCAGTACTACGTATCCTCGAGTGTCTCGGACCTTGAATTCCGGGAGGACCACTTTGCCCAGCAGTCTGCGGTCGGAGGCACGGCCCACAGATGGGACTCAGCTGAAAATACGTACGGGCTATCGGACGACAATAAACTCCAGAGAAGCCCTCTGAGAATCAGGGTCCGTGACGCCCACGTGATATGGAATCTTTTCGATGGCTATGACTGGCAGCGAACGAGGGATACCATCTCGAAGGCTGTGAAGGACGTGGAGAAGAAGGCAACAGAACGGCGGGCCCGGACCGGGTCTCGTGCATCCCCTGGTTTTGAAGAGGAAGAAGAGTCTGTCATTGGTGACTGCTTGTTCAACTCTATCTACATCGGTATCCCGGCCAACAAGGACCCTCGAGAGCTCCGCGGCGATATCAATCGCAACATCGATGATCTTATCAGCGAGACTGGAAGCTATGCAACCGCTACTACGGTCACCGGAGCCACAGCGCGACAAGGGCAACCGACATCGCGAAGAAAGCTGCGGCTTTCGCGAAGCAAGTATCACAAGATGACCTTTGAACTCAAAGGGATTTGCGCAGATCTTGTCGTTTTCCCGCCCGACTCAGGAGAGACGCAAAGCTCATTGGATGTTCGCGTCAAGGACTTGGAGATCTTTGACCATGTACCGACATCGACCTGGAAGAAATTTGCCACTTACATGCACGAGGTGGGTGAAAAGGAGAGCGGGACCAGTATGATACACCTGGAAATCTTGACCGTGCGGCCGGTCCCCGAGTTAGCTGCGGCTGAGATCGTTCTCAAGGTAAGCAAGCCCGAAAGCCTCGTATACGGATTATCTGACATTTTCTTATAGGCCACCATCCTTCCGCTTCGGCTACATGTTGATCAAGATGCGTTGGACTTTATATGCCGGTTCTTTGAATTCCGCGACGACTCCGCCCCAGCTCCCAGCGCCCCTGAGGACATACCCTTTTTGCAGCGGGTCGAGATCAATGCGGTCCCTGTCAGGCTCGATTTCAAACCGAAGCGGGTTGATTATGCAGGTCTTCAGTCAGGTCGCACAACCGAGTTCATGAACTTTTTTGTTCTGGACGGGGCTGACATGGTCATGCGACATGTTATCATCTACGGGGTGTCCGGATTTGATAAGCTCGGACAGACGCTCAATGATATCTGGATGCCTGATATCAAGCGGAACCAGCTGCCGGGCGTGATCGCGGGGCTGGCTCCCATCCGGTCTCTCGTGAATGTCGGCGGAGGCGTGAAGGACCTGGTGGTCGTGCCGATGCGCGAATACCGAAAGGACGGTCGAATTGTGCGTAGCATTCAGAAGGGCGCCGTGTCCTTTGCGAAAACCACCTCTAATGAATTGGTGAAGTTGGGGGCTAAACTCGCCATCGGCACGCAAACCGTCCTACAAGGCGCCGAAGATCTTCTGACCACCCCAAGAGCACCGCTGACGGCCCCCGAGGATGACATGATCGACGAAGAGGAGGCGAAGAAGATCTCGCTGTATGCCGACCAACCGGTGGGCGTGGTCCAGGGCCTCCGGGGCGCCTTCAAGGGGCTGGAGCGCGATCTGCTTCTGACCCGCGACGCTATCGTGGCTGTTCCCGGGGAAGTAGTGGAGAGTGGCAGCGCCAAGGCCGCCGCGAAGGCCGTCTGGAAACGAGCTCCTACCGTTGTGCTGCGACCTGCGATCGGAGTGTCCAAGGCTGTGGGACAGACCCTGCTGGGGGCTGGAAATACCTTGGATCCCAGCAATCGACGAAAGATGGAAGACGTGAGTTGTTCTGCTGTACCTTGTTTTTCTAGGACCCTGGTTCCATTGCATTGCTAACGTGTCGATTCGCCTTGCCAGAAATACAAACGCCATTGAGTGATTCATTCTTAGCGGTGCAGGCGTACAACTATTACTATACCATTTGGGGTTGCATTCTTTTTCCTTTCTATTGTTTTTGTTTTTCTTTTTTTGACCCTTTCATTGTTCCTGTTTCTTACATTCATGGGTTACAGGACGTAGCCCGGTATATAATCTTGCGGAACGACAAGGCAGGCAGAGAGGGAGGGAGGGACCTGGTATTTACATACGCAGGACCGCCCTGGCAATTACCTGGCTCATGATGATGATGTGAACGACCTGAAGTTATCTTTTTTCTTATATTGCTTTCTTATTAATTTCTTTTCTGACCCATATGAGCAGCTTGTTGTTTTGGACGTGGAAAGAGAGAAGGAGGAGGAATTGGGATGAGTTGATATTATTTGATTTGTTGATTGACGAAAAGGAGAGATTCTTGGAGATTCTTGGGCGATGAACTTGCAGATAGACAGAATGGAAATGAGAACGACAATGTTATAATTCACCACAAGGAAAGAAAAGAAAAGGAGGCGTGATGATGTGGGATGGCTCCAAGGATACGGACTCTTCAGCCTCGTCTTACTTAGTCCCGATACTCGTAGGGAGTAGGGAGGACAGCGTACAGGCAGGGGTCGTGGACACAGGAGGGAGGTCAGCTGACCAGGGCTATTGTACCTGTCCTCCCGATACGTCGCCCCTTCGTCTCTACTCGTCCCCGAACAACAGACTGCGTTACACCAGAACACCACAACACCAGAGCAGCAGAAGGGAGGGAGGGCCTGAGAACCTGACTGGACTGGGTGGATGGACGATGAAACACAGGTAAGGGATCTGTCTAGTCAGCTCGGACCACTCCCCAAGGCTAAGCATGGGAGGTATAGACGGGCGAAGCGTATTGCCACTGCCCGTCCAGCGCGCGTGTCGATGAAACAAGCCAAAAATGACTGAGAAATTCAAATTAAGAAATGTGTCAGACCGGATTTCTGATTGGCCAGACTGTTTCCCTGGGACAAAGCCAATCAGCAGACGCACAGCCGACTCTCAGGGACGATCGACTGTCTTCGGTGCCCAACATTGCTCTCGGTCGTCCATCTGATACTCGTCTCTCGTCCTCGTCAACCGTCCGAGACTACGAACTACCTCTGAGGATCCACCCGGCGACGTCCTTCAAGATGAACCGTGGCCGTGCGACTGATTGGTTGCCAGAGATGCACGTCACCGGCCATCCAGCGTAATGTGACATATCCATCTGGTCGGTCCCTTTTTTTTTTTTTTTTTTTTTCTTTTTCGTTCGGCTTGATCTTTGACTTTTATTTTTATTTGTGTCCTTCTGGTTTTCTGGTCGCGACGGATTTTGGCTGGCTTTATTATCTTCCGGTATGAACTCGTCGTTCTCACATTGTTGTTTACGTTATTTTCTTCCGACTGACTGCGTGTCTTAGAGATAAGATGCTCTTGTAAATTGGTGGTCAAAGACACTGCGCTATTTAGAGGTCACGCAGAGTCTCCATCACCATCGGGTTCCCGCTTTGTTTGCAATCCGTCGTCGGGGTCGTCTTTGATCTCGATATAGTCCTTCCTTTATTCATTCCCCATTGTTTCGCTCGTTGATTGTCTGGGTGATCCATGCATTGTCCGTCGATCTCAAACAACGGCTCTACATCACCCCCCTCATCATGGATCTCAAAGACTACGTCAGTCATGAGCCCTTCCATCTTCAACCCATGGACGCCATCTCGGCCTGTTCCCCATCTCCCATCTCCCTCCCCCTGCTCTCGCACACGCAAACGCAGTCGCAGTCGCAATTCCCCTCTCAGGACCACCCCGATCCCGCTCTGCAGCCCTCATCCCTCAACCACGTCATAAACAACCTCTACCCGGAGCCCGGCGCCTTGACACTGCACAATTATCGCAGGTACATGGCGCACGGCGGCTCGTCGACTTCTGTTGACGGACATGACTTCAAGAGGCTGCGTCGGAAAAACGCAGCCTTGAATCTGAATCAACCGTCTGATCTTCCGCATTCTGTCTCGCCCTACTCGGTGTCCTCGGCGTCGAGTCCGCCGCCGCTGTCGCCTTCGTCGTCGCCCAGTGCGGTTAGCGACTTGGGCGCGGAGAGCTTGCGCGGGTATCTCTGTAAGATTTCTTTCTCTCTTTCATACGTGGAAATGATGAGAGTATGCTAATTGGAAACTTCTCATCTAGTATCATCAACTCCAATGGACTTGGTTTCATACGAGCGTCCCGGGCACAGGTTGAATTCGTATAAGATCTTGGTATGTACCTACTCATGTATCTGACAAACATGAAGAAACCAAATAGCTAATAAGAACTTGACAGGATACCTTTCGCGACAGACTCGAAAGCTACCCCGACCCAAACCCGACACCCTCGATCCGCGGTCACAGCAAGACCTACTCCGACTCCGCGCTGCTTAACGTCGCCCGAGATGTCGACTCGACCGTCGTCAGCCACAACGGGGCCTCGTTCGAGATCCTGAACCCCCATGAATCGCTGCGCTTTGCGCGCATCGTCTCCTACATCGAAGATGTGGACACGTACTCGTCCCCTGGATCGTCCGGGCACGGTCACCAACGGGACTCGTACATATCCGACGACGCCATTCCTATAATCGATACATCATTTCTAGGCGATGACGACCGTCTCTATCCCTACCCCGTGGGAGACGACACCTACAGGGAAGACGACATCACCGCCACCACCACGACGCATGTCCACCGCGCCCATCACGACCTCGTCGGCGACTCGCCGCATCACCCAATGCCGTCTATATCCGAGCGCTTGGAAGAGAACGACGGCGAGGAGATCTCCTCGCCCGATGAACTCCACCGGACCCCTTACTACCCGCCCCCCTCTCACACTCACTCCCGCTCCTACTCGTCTCACTTCCACCGCGGTTCCCGCCTCTGGACCCCTCGATCCTTCGACTCCGATCTCGGCGAACCCGGCTCCCCTGTCTACGAACACGAGCCCGATACCTTCCACTCTTTCTGGTCGAAACACCACCTCCACCACATTCCCCAATCCACCACCCCGACTCCCCGCCTCCGCGAGGACATCCACATCCACGTCCAACCGCGTTCGTCCACCCCGAGGAAAGGGAGCCAGGACGCGGGCAAAACAGGCCCGTTGAAACGACTATGCGGCATTGCGATGGCGTTGCGCAGGAAGCGATTCTGGGGTAAAGATGGGGAGAAGTAGAGAGATATCTTCTTCTTCTTCTTTATCTACTTATTTAGTCTTTGTCTCTCTGTCCCCCGCTTCCTCCATCTAGATACTCATCCACCACCCCTCCTTTTATCTCCCTGCTTTCGTTCCTTCTTTCTTATGCATTCCATTTCATTTATTGTATTTTCTTTCCGTTTTGCATAGCTGACTGATGATTGGTTGATTGATTGATTGATTAATTCTTTGCTTGCTTACTTGCTTTCCTGCAATAGTTAGCGATAGCGATAGCGATTGATTCATTGGTTAATTCGTTGGTTGATTGGTTAATTGATTGATTGATTGATAGATCGATAATTAATCTAGATACAGGTCTGAAAAGGCATCCGATAAGTTTTGATTTTAATTGAATCTCTAGGTATTCAGTTATCCTTTCCTTGTTTGTTTTCACTCGACTTGACCGTGTGAGTATCGTTTCGAGAAACGCATGGTCGATCGAGAGTGTAGCCACCACTTTCCCTGCCCCACTTTCTTTTCAACCGTTAGGAATGTTCTGTTCTGTTTCTTTTGTTTAATAGGACTATGTATGTATGACTGGGCCTCGTGGGTTATATTATAGATGTAATGTAATGAGTATTGAGTGGCTGGAAGGAACATGTACGGATTTTCAGGTCTAAAAAGACATGGATATATAGAAGAGCGAATACCTAGGATTCTATATTGTGTAGTGTAGTGTATGTATATATATGAATAGATGAGATGAAACCAAGAAAAAGAAAGTAAACATTGTACACAATTTGGGTATCTACCTGTGAAATAAACAAAAAATAAGAACGGAAAGAAAAGAATGCAAACATAAGCAACCAAAGAAGAAAGACCGTACAAGAAGACAATATATACAATGTCCAATGAAAAGGAAAGGGGGAAATCAGATGAAATCAACCCCATAGGACAAGAACGCAGAGTAGAAACAAAATAGCTAGCTAAACCGAAAGGACAGAATTGGGAAATTTCAGTCCGAAGTACAGCAACTCTTCTCAACCATCGACGCCAACGCCGCACTGACCAAACTCTTTCGTCTCAAGCCCTGCTCGCTCTTCTTGTGCATATCTCGGCCCGAAGCGGAGTGGTAGTTCTTCTCGATGCGGTGCGACTGCACCACGCCGGAGCTGCTCTTCCGCCGGCCCCGAGACTCGACCAACGTGGGTTCTGCGAGGGTGGAAGAGGACGAGGAAGAGGTTTGCGGTCGGAAGCGGCTGCGCTGGAGCGTCAGCGCCCTCCGGCGGGGAGATTGCTGCGGCGGGAGCGAGCTGGGGTGGCAGGAGTCTGCGCTGGGCGGGTACTTGAGGTTCATGTTCAGGGCTTCGTCTTCGGAGAGGAGAGCGTGGCGGATGGCCTCGACGTCGGAGGGGTTGCACTGCAGACGGGAGATGTGCTGTCGCTGAGCGCGAACGTTCCAGCTGTCGGGGAAAGGGAGGTCGGGTACGGTGTCCTGGGCTTGGCCGATGGCGACGTCATCCAGCGGGGCGTAGGTGGGACTGAGGAAAGGGGATTGAGGCTGCGGGGACAGCGACGGAGAGGTGAGGGACGAAGAATCGAAGAATCCCTCGTCGTCATGGTCGGTGTCCGGCGGCGTCAGGACGTAGCCCGAGAACTTGCCGCCGCCGGAGACGAAGTCGGACGGGGATTGAGGGTCGGGGAGGGAGGTGGGACTCTCGAGTTGCATATCATCGCGGGACGGGTTCTGGATGGTATGCTCGTGCAGTTTTCGAGTCAGGGTTGCGATGGACAGGCGTTTGTGATTGTAGTCGAAAGGGACGGAGGTGGGGGCCTGTTGCGCGCGGAAGTGGGAGGATCGGGAGCGGGCGAGACTCCGGGGGAACCGCTGGGAGGCGGAGGACCGAGGAGACGGGCATCGCGAGGAGAGCGGAGAGATGAGGGCGCTATCACAGTCGACCATGAGTCGGTCATTCCCTTCCAGGGCCGGGCGCGACGGCCGGGTGGACGAGGGGGAAGAGAAGGAGAAGTCTTCGAACATGGTGGGGCGATTTTCGGATTTCACACCAAGAGCGATCGAGCGATCTGTCTTCCTTTTGTGATCCGCTAGAGGATAAGCACAGAGGAGGCGAATTGATTGCTGGGAGGAAATGAAAGGTAGGCAAGAGGAGTTTGTTAGACGAGTTGTTGGTGGGAAGAACGCGTTCCTGGCAGTATATAAAGGGGGGAACGAGTATTATTATTTTTTCAACCGGGTGGCCAATTTTGGTGTAAAAACTTTTTTTTTTCATCCAGTCTTGTGTTTGGCGCGTAGAGGAACCACCCAAGGCTGGGGGGCAAATCGAAGAACGGACGTGGGGAATTGGCTTCAACGGTCGGGACCGTTCAATCCGGGCACAGTGGGTTCATGGCAGTCAGGGGAAGAGAAGAGAAAAGGAGAAAGGGAAAGAAAGCAGCCATGTATCCAGACAGAAAGGAAATAATATATGATCCATCGACTGGCGCTGGGCTCATTTCCCCCTGAGTGTCTTGAGGGCAACGTAGAAGCCAGAGGGAACTCCGTGCGCGCGCTGAGTGACTCTGAGACGCTGTTGAGGGTCACCTGACGGCTCAGGGTACGAGACTTAGATGACTCAGTTCTTACGTACGCGCGGGAGGATTTCCACGTGGAGGGCTTTCGCCCTTCGCTGCTCCACCTTCTTTTCCCTTCTTTCCAGGTCCAGACTGCCTTCGACCCGGCTACCTGGGACTATCGGACTCTCCAGTATCCATCGATCGTCTCCGTATTCCGGTCTTGGTTCCCGTCTGGCAAAGACCTGACAGCCTGCCGATGGAGCCTCCTGTCCCAGCAGGGCCAGCACGACGATTGGAGAAACGCCGATCGATCCGTATATATTCAGGGGCTCCCGGGAAAGACGGGCGAGGAACGAACCGGAGAACGATCCATTCCGGATTCCAATAGTCCCTTCGCTTGCAGCTGGAGCAAAAAAGGGGGCAAGAGCAATTAATGATAACATCCCGGCCCTCAATCCTGTTTAGTCCTGGTTAGTTCATCCGTTGCGGTGGAGTGAAAACGTGGTTTCCTACTCGATTCGGTGTAGTCCTCCCTCTTGTCTCTCCACCGTCAAACAAGGATGATATTCAGCGTTGTTCCTGATTCTTCTATAGGATCTCGTACCTCTTACGGATGCAGCTGACGGAGTACATACTATGGAGTACTCCGTACATAGTGTGTTTTGTGTAAAATTGAGGCCCGCATCCAGGCAGTTCGCCCGAAATCGACTCACCCATGGGGAAACTACGCACGAAACTACGCACTTGTCCAAGGAAAATTGGTCTCAGTCTCTCAGTGATACATCACAAATGTCGACGCCGCTGGCTAGATCCATCATTATGCCTCCGCGAGTCTATTTCCAACGCGTACTGCCACCGCCCCCGAGCCTAGGATTGAGATCCGCTATTTTTAGCCCCTGAGGGTTTCACTCTAAGTACTCCGTACTCCGTATGGATGTAGGGATATAGGGATGTACGGATATAATATTCCGACTGAGTCATTTGAAATTCTTGGTCAATTTCACTGCTTCCAGTATCTTGGATTTCTACATTGTCCTTGTAGTCCTAGTCCTGGTCCTAACTTTTAGGGCTGGGATTGCAATATTCTGAGGTCTACTCCTCTATCTGATCTCCTTGCCTAGTCAACAGGCTCTAACCTGATACTTAGAGACCTTTATACCTGAGATGCTTAACTGTAGAGTCCTGATACCTGCTCTTAAAGCTGTCTCAAGATCCATATTTATCAAACCCGGGCAATGTCGACAAACTCCAATCATGAAAAGGTAGATCTTCTGCCAAGTGGTAAAGCTCATAGTTCATTGCATAACCGAGCGATATCATGCCATATTTAATAACATCGCGCAGGCTAAAAATTTACGAAGCTAAGGCTAATGCATCTACCATGGTGGTCTCAAACACAACGCCAAGGGTCACCACCGACTTCCCAAAGTTAATAATGGGGGCCAAGGAACTATAAAGCATTTCTTGGGACAAAGCGTCATCAGAGCTTTATTCGTCTGCCCTGTCTGGAGCATAAGGCCATGTCAAGCACGGCACCTTTGTGCTCACCAGCCTTATTTTCTCTTCCTCCTCTTATTTGCCGGTCTTGGCAAAAGTAATCCCATTCAATCTGTTATCGAGCAATTGGCAGTTCCATTCAAGGCTTTCGAGATTAATCCAACTTCGTCAACCATAAGCATCTGAATACCTGCTTTGTGTTGTATCTAGAATTGATCAGCAAACTGGCCTTCTCGCTTCTGGCTTGCGAGAATGCTAAAATATTGTTGCAAGCTTTATCAAATACTTACTTTCGAGTTCTCAGAGATGTTGTTCAAAGGGCCGTAAGAACCACAAATCAATCCTGATTTTTTGACATATCCCACGAGCCTTGGGCACATGATCAAAGTCTCAGAAGAAAAGACAATACCGGTCAAATCCCACCGTTTGGCAAAACGAACTGCTGCCTGTAGACTGCTGGCCCTGATCTCCATGTCTGAAATTGGTAATTTTCCGGCATTGGTAATAAACAGGACAGGGTATGTATTCTGTTTGATAGCCAAAAGAATGCAAACTTCAGGCGAAAATGAGGAGAGCATAATTCTCCTTCCGCTCTTGACACGAGAGACGTGGGCGAGTATTTCGTCGATGAAGGTGTTGATCTCAATGGAAATCGGTGCTACGCCGGCTTCGACTGCTTCATGAAGCCTGGGATACTCTTTGCCAGTGTGATGTTAGGCTGGAGCTTCACGAGGACGTGTCGTTGCGGAATAGAATCGTACTTATCTCAATGTTGAAACTTATTGACTCGGGCAACTCCACAAGTAGCTGTTCCAGGGTGGTAAAAGAATCTTGAACACAATGTCCCCTTGTATTCGGCTTTAATCCTTTCTTCATGAAGTCAACAGTGTATTTCATTCTGTCGTGAAGCTGACGAGTCTCTTGTGCATGGAATCTTGTCAGTGACCGTGAACGGGTTTTCTCCCTACCAGATTCATCCGACATGTATTGTGCGCTCGTATTTTTGAGTTCCTGTGTAGGCATGCCTCTCGGTGACTGAATTTGGTTTGCGTACATAAACTTCAAAAGTGAGAATTAAGCAGATGCTTATGTTGCGAGGTACTCACCTGCTCGGAACTCAGATCGTGGATAGGAATATCAGTTCCCGACTCACTTAACGAAAAGTCATGATAAATGACGGGCACAAGGTCTCGAGTGAGCTGCACATCTGAAGGTATCTTAGTTCATATAAAAGGGAGATATCTTGTTTGACTGGTCATTACCGAACTTTAGGTTGTTAGAGAATTCTCGCTAGACTTTCAATACTCCTTACCTCAACACATGATGCACCTTGCTTGGCGGCAGAAAGAAATGACTAATCTAATTGTTAGTATGTTAGACTTTCGCTTTAGAGGATAATATACCTCTATGGTATTCTCTCCCAGTTGAATACGGCTGTGATTGGTAGTGTTTTGACCAAGTCCTGGTTTAGTGTCAGTAGTAATATATCTGTAGCTGCGTAGTGTAGATACCTCGATGACCAACAAGTTGTAAAGCACCCTCTGTTGTATAACGATGGGCGGATGGAGGTAAATTCAAATTCATCACTGGTCTAGCGATGACGAAGGTAAAAGTCACTGTACCCATCACGTCCATTGTCTTCTTTTCCAGAATTGGAATAGTACGCTCTCTGACAAGGCTCTCGCGGTTCGCTCCAAAACAGTCTCCGCCACTTTCCAGTAGAGCTGCAGCACTTCCGACTAACTGAAGTCCTTCACAGGAGTCGTCAACACGGAAGAACTTAAATACCAGGCGGGCTTCGCTGGGTCTCAAAACTGGGAATACAAACGGTTCGTTGACCACATCACTCAGTATGGGTAGTTTTAAAAGCGTTCCGTCGCTGCCTTCCACCGATATCGACATATCCAAGGAGGCTAGCTTGCTCGTGTAATTTGTCTTTTCTGGCGAGGGGCCTTCCAAGTCCACGGCTTTCACTTTTTTTCCAATCCGCAAGCTACCAAGATTGACAATGACCTGATCAGTTTCAAATCGATGGCGGGATTTATCTGCAGGTACAGGCCTCAACAGTCTACTGGCAGGGCCGCCAGTGAGCTGACTCATATCCCATCGCTGCAGCATTTCGGCCAGAGACAGATAGCCTCTCAAAGCTGCATGCTCTTTGGCCATCCAGCCGAGATGATCATATATCTCCTGGTTCGCTCCTGCCTGCAAGAGAAGTTGGGCAACGGTCTTATGGCCTTCCACACAAGCGATAAACAACGGTGTCCAGCCTTGTAGCGTTTCGGGCATGTCTAAGTAGAGAATATTGCCATTTTCTAGCAGGACTTTCACGTAGTCCTCACGCCCAATTTGAGCGGCAACATAAAGAGCAGATTCTCCGTGAATAGAGCGGGAGCTTTGAAATTCAATCTGAGCTTTTCCAAGAAGGAACACCATGTCATCATGTTGGTATCTGATGGCAATAACCAGAAGATCATTAATTTGGTTCCACAAGTTTTGACACTGAGCTTCACGACTCGACTGATTGCCAGAAACCAATATTTCCAGGAATATCTCTGCAACGGCCACATGATTTTCAGTCACTGCGTAATGAAAGGGCGTGCAACCTCGACAATCCAAAGAGAAGATCATTCTTGAAGAGAAACCCTGACCCCAGGTTTTAGCACAATTGAGGATTGATTGGCATATGGGTGGCAAGCCGTAAATCGCGCCATAATGAAGGCAAAGCCGCCCAAAGGTGTCTTCCGCGAGTAAGGCATTCTTTTGATGAATGCCAAGCCGGCAAACAGCGAAAATGAACAAGTCGACTCCTCTCTCCTCACCCTGTCTACCAGTGACACACTGCCACTCGTTGCTCAATCCATCGCTCATCTTTGAACCATACTCTCGACTGCAAATGGTAATGACATGGTTTAAAAGATTGTGATCCAGCACAACGTCATTTGCAGGGAACGCTTCTGAGAGCAAATACCGAACGGAAAGTTGAGAATGAGAGATTACAGAAAGCTCCGCTAGAGCATAAAGAAGTTTTTTGAAGTGCGATTGTGGCGCACCATTACGCTTTAACTTCTTGATCAGATTAGCTAAGGTTGAAGGCTCATCGTTCCTGATAGCGCAATGTAAAGCATGACGCTCGGCTGGGGATGATAGACTTTGATCACACATGCTTTCGTAGCACGATTGCATAATCTTTGAGGGGGCTTCTCTATCAGAGGGGGCCCCAATGACGCTAGTTGTCAGGTCGTCCAATGTCCGCATGAAGTTCAAACATGTGTGGTGGCCAATCTTCGATTTGACCCAGCTGGCTTTGTGTCTTTGATGAAATTGCTCAACGAAACCGGTGGATTTTTCGATTTTGACGTATATTCTGTGGATAGCTTCTTCATTCACTCGAAAATAATCTTGCAGCTTCTCAAAATCATCGCGAATTTCCGCAACTGCTTGAAGCAGGTACTCTTCTTCGTGGCAATTCTCATCCTTCTTTCTCAAAAAGATGCTTTCTCCATGCACAGATGCATATTTCATGCAAAGATGTCTTTGTCTTTCTCTAAGGAGGTTGCAATTTTTGTTATGAAAGTTGTTAAAGGAATCAATGCTCTCGGTCAGCAGTGTGTACACGTCTAAACTATTCGTGAGAAACAATTCATATGGCGCAAAACAGTCAACAAACCTGAAAAGTCAGAGTGCACAGTTTCACCGATCGAATTTCCGGCAGCCTTCTTGAATAACTTTTTCAGCAAGGGGTAGGGAACATAGAACGGTGCCCATTCTGGCACCAAGAATTGGTGGAAGTTCTGTCCAAACCGCATTGTGAATCCGGGGACAAAATCTAATGTCGATGGATGGGAAGAACGTGAAGATAGACATAAATTGAACGTAGCCGTTGGGTACTAAGATCGTCGCCCAGCTTGGGCATCGGCACACTCAGTGTCCCGAGTTAACTAATAAATAACACATGACTAATGACAAGTTTGAAGAGGGGTCAAAGTGGGGGCTAAGGAATAACTGATAAAGAGCGGGAAGGGGGCATTATAATCTTATTTTCCTGTGTTTATTTATCTTCCAATAATTTATTTATAATATATTTAGATAATGGTGGGGTTGTGTAGTTGCGATGCGCACAACTTCCTTTGTCGATTGGATCAGCTTGACTTATTTCGCATGGCAAACTGAACTGAACCAAAAAGCGGGATCTGCGTTATGATGTTGCGTCGACGATCGTCTTAGTTAAATGAAGCTAGTGATGCTTTGATTGTTTCAATGAAATAAAAACCTCAACTTCGGTCACACGGATAATTTATACGGAGTGGACAGGATCCTGTAACTGCAACATGATTCGGCATCATGATATATACTTACGGCAAAGCCAAATCTTACGCACTAGCCGTGCTTTTTCGAGGTAGCTGCATACATATTCTTCGCGGAGGGTATAAGCGGGAGATCTCTGTTGAGATTCAGGCTACATTGTTTGATCTCTCAGGTACGAATCCCCTTATCAGTACTGGAACTGCCAACATGGTCTACACAGTGAGTGGAATCTCCATGAAGGAGGTCCACTATGAGTCTCGGTGTGAATGCATTGACCAAGCCCCTTAAACAGGGGACCTCTCAGTTGGATAAGAGATCAGACCTAAACAACCTCCATGGCATTGAATATAGTCCTCTAAGGCACATCGTAACTCTTGGCAATCTCTGAGTAGGAACATTATTCCATAGTAACAGAATCATCTGTAATCAGTGGGAGACTCTCAAGAGCATCACGGAAGCTTCCATCAGCACTACAAGCACTTTCGGGATCTTTTTGCGAATCTGTCAATTCCGAATTGACTCGAGATATGCAGCAAGAAAAACTGCCGCGATCCACAAAGCTCTGGAACCTCTCCCTTCTTAGTTCAGGTACTTGATTGATAACTCTCAATAGGTCATCGAACGACAGGGCTAAGTCATCGGTCAAATCAGGTCTTTGTCGCAAGCGATTCCCAAAATCTCCAAGAGTATACTGATTGTCGTATTTCATTCTGAAATGATCCGTTGCAGCCAAAATCCGCAACGTTTGAGTATCGGCGTACAGTGCCGCTATTTGGAGCAGATTTGGACCCTTAAGGCGCGGACAAACAGAGTATTCGTGCCATCGATCGAGAATTAACCGGAGGACATTGTGACTATTATAAGTGATTGCGGTAGTCAAAGGAGTCGATCCATCAGCCGATATAGCATTAATTTCAGCACCGTATTCCAAGAGCAACATGGCGAAACTAGCATTATCGGTCCTTGCTGCATGTGCGAGTGCTGTTTTCCCATCATTTCCACTTGCATCTACATCTGCGCCAAAGTCGAGCAGACTTTTTAGAAGCAAAATATCAGTGGCGTTGCGGGTAGCGCAGTTGAGTGGGCTGCCCTTTTTCTCGCCACTAGGGTGGTATAAATCTGTTTGTGCTCCAGCCTCAAGAAGTAGACGAACAGCAACGGTATGGCCCTGAGAAGCAGCATTTGACAGAGGGCCAGATAATTGGACATCAATGATGTTTGGATCGGCACCATGACTGAGAAGCGTGACAATGGCTCGCGTATCTCCTCGGGCGGCTGCCCAGGCTAAGGGAGTGCGACCCATTGCGTCAACAGCATTGATATCCTCTGGACTTTGGTATATTTCGTCTTCGAGATTCAGCTTTGACAAATCCAGAACAATTTTATGGATCCTTGTGAACCTTGCTTCTTCTATGAAGTCTTCCAGAAAACCGCCTTTGGTGATGAATCTGAGAGCACCAACAGCATTACCGGAAAGCCCACCTTCCAAAAGGAAATGACATGCTTTGTTCCTTGGACTATTATCACTGCTAGCAATCGGTCTGTAGTCGGCGTCTGCTCCAGCATGGATCAGGAATTCGCATGTTTCATACTGTTTTCCATAAAGTGCCCACCGAAGCACCGAATACCCTCGCGTAGTACTAACATCACGAGGAGAAGCCAAGCCGTTTTTGAAAAGATATTTTAGGCCGTCAATGTCGCCGTTCAAAGCAAAGCTAACGCACTGTGCTGTGTCTGGTACCCTTCTTAGTGTATCAAGCTGTACCAGTGTTCCGATGTTGGGCTGGTAGCCAAGTTGAAGTCGCACGATTGTAGACGATAGGAAACCCAAAGGAAACCAGTATTCCAAGCTGACTTGACTTGCTCGTGATTTCCTGCATGCCTCGAGATCACACTTTGGGCTGAAAAGGGGCAGTCCAGCATAGCCAACAAAAAGCCGACCGAACACACGATTTAAGAGGGCCGGGCTTGTTGTTTTCTGTTGCACATGACAAGAGCATGGGCAACCCGTCCGGCAGGTAACGGCAAATGGTGTAACACGAATGCCTATGCCTTCCGACCGTGTTGTGCTCGGCCGTCTCTCTTTCTTGGTTGGTGATGGACGCTGCCTCCGAGCGGTAGACATATCATAGGATGTACCGACTTGCGTGAACTGGCTTGCTTGAACTTGATGTGACTGGGTCCGTAGCATATCCTCAACCCTAGCTATACGCTGATCGACAGCAGCAAGACCACTCAAAAAGTTATCTTTGAGAGCAACTTGCTGTTGTGAGGACTCCAAGGTGACCGTCGAGATGGACTCGATGTCCATGCGAATCTTCGTCATATCCTGCCTGTTTTAACATTAGCCAATGTCAAAGGTCGACAACAATTCAATAATAGAAGTTCAAATCCGTACGAGTTCGAGGCACCTAAAATAATATTTAGATTGGCTTTGACAGTTCTGATATCTTCTTGAAGGGACTGCAGTCTGCTTTGTTCTTTTTGCCAGGCATGGGCCCTGAAAACGGGAATCCTCGAAGTGCGGCACGCAACGGTCAGCTGACAAACCAGGTCTTTGATTTCGGCCAGTTGTTTATCTGCTTGTCTTAAAAGGTGAGGTATAGCCGAAGTCTTGCTTTCAGGCAAGGAAGCTCGATCTTCAATGAGCAATGAGACCTGGAAAAGGACGAGGTTAAGATCAGCGACCTCATTGTTCACCGCGTGAAGACGTCCTGGTAAACTTTGACAAAGCGATCGTAGGTCGGAGAGGGCGGTGCAAGTTTGAGCGGCAAGTGTTGCAATTGCGATGGCACTTGCACTGACTGAAAGCGGATCCATCTCGTTTTGGTAAATTGGACCTCTGAATCGTAGTTTAGGTACCCCCGAGCAAGTTTATGAATATAACATGTTGGGGGGATTTTCCTGGCTTTATCTCACAATGATCGGACTTCGGGTTGATTTTCTTTATCATAACCCCAATTTTGGCGCCTGGACTGCGGGGGTTTTGTTTGAGGCGCCTATTGACTGGCTAGCTGTTGCTGTGCGCAGAAGGTGGACCTCTGATTTATTACCATCAATCTTCATAATACTTTCATTGGATATCCTCTTTCCACCTGAAACATCTCGACATCTTGGCAAATGCACATATTGGCACATGCACATAGCCATATTCTCATGTGATGGCGGACTCGAACACAATGTCATAGTCAGGAAAATAGATCGGCTGGATGAGAGATGATTGACAAACTCCGCATGTGTAACGTAATCCACGGCCGAGCCGTCCACACGGTCGTCCCGTCCACTTCCCCCGCAACCATCATGAATTTGAAGTTTTACGACTAACAACATCATTGAATTAGACTATATGAAATATAAAATGAATAGCTATTTACTAGCGCAGCTTCGTATTGTATGTCCAACTGTCCCACAGCCACTGCAGCGTGGTGGAGCGCGTTGGCGAGACACAGGTGTAGACTCATCAACCTGCTCATTAAGCTGCGTATCAAGCTACTGAGTGCGGTCACGGCCTTCCTGTACAGATATAAAGAGATCATTTCCTAGAGGCGTGCGTTTCCTTGCTTTTTATTTTTTATTTTTCGCTCATTTTCAGCTCGTAGAACCTTTATTTCTTGTTGAAGAAGAAGGTTCGTATTCATTGCCATTTGCGCAGCTTTTTCAAGATGTTGAATATGAGAGACTGGACTGCTAGAAAGTGTTCTTTTCTTTTGAAGACTTCTTTGTAGCCTTTGAACCTTACGATCAATCTGGCGAGAGTTCTGAGGTGTTTGAAAAGCCGATGATATTGAGCCTTCAGTAAGTAATGGTGGTGTTAGTGTGCGAAGTTAAAAGGTGATTTTCTCAAGAACTCGGTCTTGATCAAGTAGTTTAAGACCTGAGCCTGCAAAGTCACTGCATATGTTTTTTTTTGAGTAAAGATTTCTTCACGTGCAGACGGATATAGGTGTAGAAAATCCCCCTTGTCAATATAGTTATTTCCAGCCGCCATTATCTCTTCAACTAGTTTTCCGTATGCGCATTTAAGCGGTCCAAAAACACCAACATCAAGTGGCTGAAGAAGATGAGATGTATGCGGAGGCATACAAAGACAGATAATTGCATTCTCTCTGCAGATTGATGACTTGAATGACCGTCAAGAATAAGCAACCGTTTTGCACCAGTTGAATGGAGCTTAGAAAAAGGATTAAACACTTGCGTTAACCACTTTAGGCCTATTTCGTCTGTTGTCCAGCCATTGGTACTGTTGGTAAGCCTCCAATCTAGAGGAAGATTAGGCTCTTGATACCACGGAGCCTAGTGTTCTTTCTCTTTTAAGATAACCACTGGTAGTATAGCAATTCCCTTAGAACTCACACATTCAATAATTGTCACCCATTCGCGAATGCCTTGGATGACTCTTCGAGGTTTTCATTGCGCCCCACTGCAGTAATAACCTTAGAGGTTGTACAGAGTCCCATTGTAAAGCCAGTCTCATCAAAGTTCCAGATATCATCTTCATGTATGCCATGTTCTTGAATAGCTTCGCGTATAGTCTCAAACCATGGCTTTATTATCTTTGGATCCTCTTGCTTTGCCCGCTGATATGAAATTCTTCGATTGTATCTTGTACGTAGCTCAGGGCGGCGTTTAATAAATTAATAGGCCTAGTTGACTCCAAGAACTGTAGTCGGATCTTGTGTATGCTCGCGAAGTAGAGTCTGCGCCATTCCACGTAGAAATCCGGGTCGAATTGAAAAGCCTCGTTTATCTGCATCTAGCAGTCTCTTAACAGGGTTTTCTTCTTCAAGAGCTGATAATTTATAGCCACTAGCGCGTGTTTCTGATCGTGATTGAATTCCATTGAACCGATCAAGGAATGTGGTCTTTGGCACTCCAAATATTGCTGCAGCCTTTGATTTTGAACGAATTTTTTTGTTATCGTACGCAATGACTTGGACAGATAGGGGAACTGACCGGATAATATTTGACTATTTTTTCAATGGGGAAAAGCCCTTGACGGTACCATTGCACCAATTCAGGAATGAACTGTTCGTCACATCAGTATTTCACATCTGAACAAAAATTGTGCAAGGCCTCACAGTAGAGTGGTTTACGTCGCCCTCAACAGATCCAAACAATTGCTTTCCTGACTATATCAGGGTTATTATCCCCGTAGCCAAAATGGGCAGGAAAACTGACTCCTATAAGGAAATTGATATCAAGATTGAGAATTGTCCCCAGAGGTGGGACACCCAACATGCAGACTTTGCCCAATTTTCTTGTAGCCTGAATAGCCTGTTTGATAACATTCATGTTTGCGGTTGTATCCACTAACACAGAAACACCCAGGCCACTGGTAAGACTCTGCACGCTTGGTATGAGTTCGTCTGAAAGCAGTGTCGTATTCATTGTATGTGTTGCTCCAAAAGACTTTGCCAGGTCAAGTCGATTCTCAACCCGATCAATGGCAATGGTCGTTCTAATGCCCCGAATTTTGGCGGCCTTTTGTTTATCAGCATAATTATAATTTAAAATGACCACTGCTTAGACCTGCCACAACTGCTGCCAATCCAACCGGCCCGAGACCAAAAATCGCGACGGAATCATCTTCAGCCAAGTTTTGAAGCTTCATGATAGCTCCTACGACTGTTTGCAAGCCACATTCAAGAGGCGACAATAGCTTAAGCTCCTCGTTTGTGGATATATAGCCGGAAAAGTTCACGACGGAGCTTTCCGACGCAATGGCGACCTCGGAAAAGCTCGATTGACCAAAAAAAGACCCTTTTACTGGGCTCCATCTCTGTCACTGGCCACATCTCTGGGCCAGTCGCCGAGGCCCATGTTCAGCAGATTGAACATGGAACAATAGGCAGGGTGGCCCCCAATAAAATAAAAGCAGGACTTGCAAGAGTTGAAGGAGAGAAGAACCTTGTCACCAGTGTTAGCAACCGTCACCTTTGCTCCGACATCTAGAACAATTCCACAGCCTGAAGCACAGAAATGTTAACGTTCAGAAATTCTAGCGAACCGAATAATGTCAAACTGACCTTCATGTCCCAACATGCCTGGATATGCACCATATTCATTAGGTGTGCTTCCAATAGTGATATCAGTATGACAAATGCCAACAGAGAGCACCTTGATCTTAAGCTCAGTATTCTTCAGGGCCGTAGTAATATTTGCTCAATTCCCCATTGTCCTTCTAACAATGGCCCGCGCGAGACTATAGCACGCGTAGCAAAAAGTTGATCATCATTCATCGCTGCGGCAGTTGTCTTTTTTAGTATAAGGGTTCTTCGGTCGGCAACAAAAGTAGTATTTTAAAGCGGCCGATGTTTTATACGTCTGTTTCTCATTTGCCTCATCTCTTGTGCATCTCTTCGCGAAGAGCATCATTCTGCTCTGCCGTGCCTTTGAACCCCCGGTAGCGGTCATTCAAACCCCATGAATTATAGTATCCTTCTCGAGAATTCAAGTCACTGGGTTTGTCATAGAGCTTGGCTGTATCCAATGAAGAAAGTGGATTGAGATTGAAGTCCCTGGGACCATCGTGATGCTTGGCTGTATGGGTTGAAAGCAGTGGACGAAGATCGCTTTGTTGCATGCTCCCTCCGAGAGCTGATTGTTGCAAGATTTCAGTTTTATGCGGAGCTCGAGCTGGAGGAAATCCTCCCATTCCTTCTCTAATTGGATCTATGTGTCTCCTTATAAATCCATCTGTCGCGTCTGCCATTGCTGTACCCAATGTTCTTCCAAGTGCATGTCCAAACACCTCCAGGGTGAGGGACCACATTGAAGGTCCCGCTCTTTCTTGCCTTGGTATATGTGTCTCGACATTCAAGGCTTCTCTCAGTGCATCTCTTGGTGCATCTCTTTCCTCGGGTGAACCACTCCTCGACACCTGCTGATTTTGAGGAAATATCCTTCCCGCACTGGTCTTGTGCAGGAGTCGTGGTTCACAGAGCTCCCGAAGTATCTGTGGGTGTGATGTCGTCGATTCACTATGGCTGTAACGTATGACCATGCTTCTGGCTTGCTGCTTTAGCTCTTCTCTTCCAGCTGGGTCGAATAGAGAAATAGTGCTCTCCGGTGGAATGCCATTCACATAATATTTCCCAAAGGCATGATGTTGAGCACCACATGCCTGCAGTTGGGGCCATTCTATGTCAAGTCGCTGTTTGAGGTTTTTATTCTGATTCCGAAGCATGCCACCGTCCCCTGTCCAAAAGGTGGTCACAATTGTCACATTTGGGCAAAACGATTGCCCACAAAAAGCCATTAACCAGTCTACCACCTCCTTGTCAAACCCATCTTGTCTGTTCAAGTTGTTGATCAAGTACCAAATACCGAAAACGGATGTTTTTAGTTGTTGTAACATCTCCGTTATTTGACGGAATATTTCCCCCTTATAGTTAGGCTCGAAGCCAGGCGCATCAACGATGAAGTATTCATCGCCGTTAATATTTGTATCAAAAGTTTGCCAGTGATCGGTCGCTTGCAAGAATCAGTCCAGAACTTTGGTAACTTAATAAGATCAAAAACCTACATGAATGGATTCCATCACTTGACAGCCCCTCGGCTCCCGTGATAATTTCGGTCAATGTAGATTTCCCTGCGCCAAGTCTACCAACTAGAAGAATGGCTTTTGCTTTGATGCCACTTCTTTTTTTGAATTGTCTTTAGACATCTAAAACTGCGTGCTGAGTTTGGCTCCATGTAAAGAGAAGCGAGAAGGCTCTTTCTATGGTCGGTGAGGTGAAAGAAGTGTCTGGATAAAATGTCCCTTCAAAGCGATTCCTGAAGTAAGAGATGATTTAGGATGGACTCTTATATTCATCATTATCAATAGAGCCCCAAAGGCTTGCCTTCTTTTTCATTTTTCACTGGTCTGCATTGGCCTCGTTTGGTTTCGGAGACTTTAGATGGCGCCATGATGGCACGTCAGCTCTCCTCAACCGCTACGCTGCGCCCCCTCATTCTGGATGCACGTCGAGTCATGACCCCTGATTTTACCAGCCAGTAGGTGTTCTAGAAAGCGGATATGTTTGAATGCCACGTTACTTTTAGCTCTGTGATCAATCACAAGCGCACACAAAACCGTCAAGTGAGGGGCCAGCTCGTTTCCAGTCTATCAAACATTGGTCGCTACTATCTCCGCCAACACATCACGCATATATGCATAGAGAATGTTCTACGCGTTGGGCGGGGTAATGCCATGCAATATTTCGTAGACTCTAAACCGATGAGGCTTTGCGGATGGATTGGAAAGAAAAAAGATAGTGCCGGCACCCCTTTCATGGCGAATTATTCATAGTGTTATAAGCGTATCTTACTTCCAAGTCAGCTCGTCGATCGTTCCTTTTCAAGGCCCCCTGCACAATCGAAAGATCGCCTAGCAAGGATATCCCTGCATCTTGGAGCCAGTCAAACTTTCCTCCTGCCACTGTCAAGCCCTCTCAGCCTGAGCGTCACAGGACCGATCAAGGGTCACCGTATGCAGTGCGACTCGGGGCTAACCGTGAGGCTGAAGCCGTGGGATCCCACCATTACCCCCCCCTATTCAGCACATATGCTATCGCACGACAGGCAGCCGTGTGGTTTTAACTCCCTTGACCACCAGTAGGTGGGCTGGTCAGATTGTCTCGGTGACCTTTTTCTTCTGTTTTGTGTCTGCTGTGTTGCATTCCGAAGCCAATCCGCTTTGTCTTGGAACATAATACCATGGGTGCAGACAGCAATCCGACGCGTGGAGTTTTGGGTATACCGTTGACTTGGCGGGAGAAATTTCGCTATTCCAATCTTCCTAATAAATCAAAGCGCAAATATTCACTATGGAAAGACGTTTTATTACTACGCAAACTGCTTGGACTCGGAAAGACCGAGGAAGGCAGTGACTGGATTAAAGGGGTGGTCATTTGCACTTGCATCACCGGCCTGATCCTCGCCATCAACATCATCCTGGCCATCACGGCAACAGTCATCGCCTATCGGCAACAAACCAATCGAGGACAGTTCCAAATGGCTGAATTATACAATGGACAATGCTCGCGCTCCAGTCACTGGGCAACTGGACTCCACGCCGTGATTAACGTGTTGAGCACAATGCTTCTCGGAGCCAGCAACTATGTCATGCAGAGCCTGGGCGCACCTTCTCGGACCGATATCGATCAGGCCCATGCCAAGTCACGATGGCTGGACATTGGCACCTCCAGCTTTCGCAACTTTACAGTTATGGACATCCGACGGAAGATCTTATGGGCGCTGCTTCTCATTAGCTCAACTCCAATCCATTTGATTTATAACTCGGTCATTTTTTCATCACTCGGGACTTTGCAATACAGCTCTTTCGTGATTCCCGATGATTTGTCGCCCACCGAGTCCTTGATAGATGATGATGCCACTGCCCGTGAGGCTTTCCTGTCCAAGGTTGGGTCTGATGCAGCAGTAGTCCAGGCGAAAATTTTCAACGAGGGCTTCATCAACACAACTATTGCGGATTGCCTTGCCAAGTACAACGTCGAGTTCAATACAAAGTATGGCACGCTTATTTTCGTGGCGAATCGACGATACTTTGACTACAATAGTAGTCTGAAAATACGATCTTTCAACAACTATGATTCGATATACGAGCTCTTCAATCAGACCCGTCAACCCCCAGGGCTCAATTTTCCAATGAGCACTGAGTACTGGAGCTATCGCGTGTGGAACTATTCCGTATCCGACCCCATAGATTATGAAGGTGGGCGCTGGAGCGATTACTATTTCTACTCATTCAATTTTCGCGACCGCCTGCAGCTAGAGGACGTCGACAGCGCCAAACTACGTGATATTCGAACACTAGCAGATTACAACAAAGCCTACAACCCGTACCGTGATGCCCTGCGCGAGTATTTAGACACACCGTCTCACTGGGTAAACAGCTCTTGGGCGACCGATGTAACATTTGAGCTGATCGGCCATGATACCTTTTTATCATTCGGGGAGTCCATATCCATGTCGGATATCGGTACGACTCACTGCCTAATCGAAAAGGCGGAACAACGCTGTCTGTTATCTTTCAGCCCCCCAATCGCGATAGCCGTCATAATATGCAATGCCACCAAATTCGTCTGCATGTTATTGACAGCCCGGGCCAAGCGCCAGGATCTTATGTTAACAGTGGGCGACGCGCTGGCATCATTTCTCACACGACCCGATTTAACCACCCGTGGCCGATGTTTCCTCTCGGTTGCAGAAATGACCCGGGGGCCTCAAGCATGGAGTCTCCCTGCTGTCACTCTCGATCGATGGAAAGGGTACACACTGCAGCAACAAACCCCGAGCCCAACGTCGCACCCGCTAGACAACCTCTCAATGACGTCCACGTCGGCAGTCCCTGAACTTCATCCCAGCCTTCTTCCCCACCGCAAAGGATGGTATCAAGCAGCCAGCTGGAGACTTTGGACGATGGTCCTATTCTTGTATGTTTATTTGCCTTGAGCTGATTCGAATCTCACATACTGACGCTCTTCAGATTCATCTCTTGCATAGCCACAACCATATACTTCATCGCCCGCAGCATTGCTAGTACCATAAACAGCTCTGGGTACGCCATGGGCCTGGACTTCGGGCAAATCAGTGGAAACAACATGATCGATAATCTCTCAACAAACATGATTGCCCTTGTCCTTCTGGTCAACACACCGCAACTTGTTCTGTCAACGCTTTACTTTCTCACCAACAGCATCCTTACCTGCATGCTCGTCGCCGCAGAATGGGACCGCTACGCGCAACATCGCCGACCCCTCAGAGTTTCCTGGCCTCGCGGCCAGCAACGGTCGACCTATTACCTCAGTCTACCATACCGGTACAGCATCCCTCTTCTTATCCTGTCTGCCACTGTCCATTGGCTCCTCTCGCAAAGCATCTTTTTCGTCAACATCAAGGCGTACCGGGTTGACGGGGAAGAGGACGAGGGACGTTCATCCCGGGGATGTTGTTACTCTCCGATAGCGATCGTTATTACACTTTCCGTGGTGATCTTGGCTATGGGCCTGTTGTTGGGACTAGGGACACGGCAGTTCAAGTCACATATGCCGTTGGCGACGCATTGTAGTGCAGCGATTAGCGCGGCGTGTCATCCACCGGAAGAGGACGAGGGAGCTGCGCTTAAGCCTGTGATCTGGGGCGAAATCCCTCGGGAGGAGGGAGAGCAAATTACAGAGTATACGGGCGCAGGGACGGGGGATGGGTCGGAGTATGCCCACTGTTCGTTTACGTCTTTGGATGTTGTGGAGCCTATTTTGGGGCGGATGTACTGCTAGTTAGACTTCGTCTCTCTCACCCCCCCACCTCCCATCTGCTTCCTCTGGCCTATGTAATGGATCATGTAATGTGTATACGAATGAGGTAAGATAGGCGAACCAATATGGTAGATATAATCTGAAGCAATCGAGACAAAAGTAACCGCTTATCAACACATTAATTGTTATGTATCGTGCGCTAGATAGCTAGATAGCTAGTAGTAAATACATACACCTTTCGAAGGTCATTAATTTGGCTTTCATCGTACAATGAAGCATCCCATCTCTTTCCGTATCTAAGTCTGAGGTTCTTTGTCTTGACTCAACTCTCTTCTCCTTATTCATCCATTTATCATATCTCCGTCACGCACATAGGTCCAAAGGACTTCTCACGAATGAACAATCATCTGAGTATCAATCTACAGGCACAGCTGTTCAAACAAACAAATATCAGCCAAAGTCCAAGCCAACCAAGTATGCCGGCGCTGCTCGTAACCAGGCCTTCGGCAATAAGTCTCTGGATATAGTCTCGCATCCAATTCTGGCAGTTGGGTGCCTATAACACTTATCAGTATGCATGGTTGTTCCAATGGTGACACTGGCTTACCGATGGATCAAAAGGATTGGCGTTGCGTCCCGGAGGCGGCACAATTGTCGCAACTGACTCCAGTCGATCACGAGCAGTTATGTCAGCGGACTGTTGTCCGGTGCCAGCCGTATCTGTTATATACTGGGCATTGACTTGGGCAAGTGGAATGAGCTGGTGCTTTCGCTGAGTGAGACTAAAGTCGTAGTTCCGCTTGAATTCAAGGAAGAATCCCGTGGCGATGGTTCCGGTCACATGGATAAGCTTTCCCACTTTGCCTGCATCACCAGTAGGGATGAAGACAGCGTAGTGAGATCAAATGAGACGTCAACACCAGATGGTCTTGAATGAATGGCTAACAACTTCTTGGCAGCAACCGCACCGCCTGGAGGATCCAAATCCTGTGGGCGCTTATCTCCAAACCTCTTCACTAGAGTACGTAATGAAATATATATCGGCGCTTATTCTCAATGACTGACCTGATGATTGGATACGGGGAGGATGACGCACCATTCTCGAGTGCGCGCTGCAGTAGACCATCTTGAGTTGTAGCTCCAGGCAGGATCTCGTGGGCGTTAAGCTCTCACCAGATCCTTGTCTGTGTACCAAAGAATCATTCTACAACAACTGAGTTGGTACCGCAGAACCTCGTCATGGCTAGACCCACTTCCTCAGACGGTGGATAAACCCATCGTTGACAAGAATGTCCCTTCCAGAGTCTGCGGTGATGAGTTAGTGGAGCTTGTACGGCATTCTAAATCGGGTAAAGCGCCTCAACGCCGCTTAGCATCGTCTTCTGTGGTCTATAAAACCGGCTCCCTCTACTCATCAAGAACAGCTAGCAGTCGTACCATTCCTTCATCAAATTGTTCTCTAACTCGGGAGCATCCTGAGGATTGGTTTTCTGGAATTGGTCTTGTCTCTCCATGTTCTTCACTTTCCCGAGAGAGTGGACGCCTCCAGGTATTATAATTTATTATTATCAATCGAGTTTATTGTCCATATCGAGCCCTAAAGCTATGACAGACCACGAATCCGAGGAAGAATCTGGTATCGCTCAGTGAAGCTGCTTTCGAGCGCTTCAAGACCATTGGTTCTACCGGATCTAGTGAGTATTCTAGCAACTTGTCGACAAACAAATGATGTTGAATGCCTTCCACTGGGGCTGCTACTTCACCCAGGCTGGATCGAGGCACCATATGAGAAACTTAGCTTATGTATACCGGACCATGGCGTGATTTGTGAAGTGTTTAAATCCAATCTTCTTTGTACTCTTATCCAGGTCGCAAGCATTTTACTATCGAAACACAGCCAGCTTGACCAGAGCGTCAGAATTGGTATGGATCTGCTTGGAGCCGTCTAGAGTTTTCAGATTCGAGTCTGGCAGTTCCTGGATGTATTGCTTGGTATTCGAAGGAATAACGGGTAGAAAAGCGGAGAAGACCCGTCAATATTCGGAGGCAGATTTTTCTGGAGTAAAATCTGATACTATTTTGAACAAGCTTAATATCTGTTCGTTTACTTCCTAGATAGGGGCAGAAATAATTTGCAAAGAGGAGGGGAAAAGAGACAAGAAAGGTGGTGTTTACTTGTCTAGCTAACGAGTACCGCATTCTATCTTTAGCATACACCACACGTATTGTGAAAAGTGGGGACTGAGGCCACTGAGGGACGGTTCAAATTCTCTGAATAGTACGGTGCGGGGTATTCTTCCATTTGCCAATATCCGCAAAAGAGATCACAAAGAGCGTGAGCATGTCGGATTTAGAAAGGAAAGCTGTCACACTTCAAAGGATTATACAACAGACATCAATTAGATACCTCTGCCCGATATGCCTTAGAGGCTTCCCTCGCCCGGATACTTTATATGACCATTTTCGGAGAGAGAAAGATGATACCCATAAGGGCCTCAGCATGAGAAGAACCGATTTTAAAAGGTTCCTCTCGTCCTATCAAGCGGCACTTGGGGCTTCTATTCCTGCATCAGAGTTGCCATTCGATAATAAATGTTTTGATCTGCAGTATGTGCTAGAACACCGTGATCAGAACTCCGAGAAACCTGATGACACGATCGTGCCCGGCACAGACACTGCCGCTTCACACGTTTGTGAGTATTACTTTATTGGATTCAGCTTGCGTTCAATATCATGATTCTAACTGCTCCCATTAGCTAGCTCCTTACACGACCATGTCTCTGCTCTCTGTCGACCCGTATTATATGCCGCTCTGGCACATTGCGACCGCGAGCCGCGTGGTCATAAATATGAGCGCACCCCTGAGAAAGTGCTTCCTAGTATGGAACCAGCTCCTTTTAAGTGGGCTCGACCATTTGGCGAGGTAGAAAACAAAATACGCGCTCTTCTACCACAACTTGAAAACTGGTTAAATGGAACGCTTCCGTCATCTATGCCAGGCGATAGCCATTCGGACGACTCTGGCATCCTCCTACCAACTGTGGATATTGATATCCCCCTCGCCCCCATCCGGGACATGCTATACGAAGGTGTATGAGTATAACAGTATGCCCGTCGATAAAGCTCTACTAATACAGCAGGTAGTTCGGAATATACACCCTTCTGCGCACATATAAAGAAACGTTCACCCCTTTAAATTTCTGTTCGGCCCTCTACACGGTGCTTCACGTTAGTGAGCCCGCCGTAATTGGCCATAGGAAAGTTAGTCTGGGCCAGTCAGTATGGGTCAGTCGTCAGTCAGCCTTATCTGCAGGTCTCATAATCTTGGTCTGTAAATCGCCCGACACAATCGACGACCCGACAGTTTAAGGAGGGCGACCGACCGTTCTGTCTCGGCCGGTCGGAGTTTTGTATATACGTGTTCTTAATGTCTGTGTTTGTAGTTTGGACATGATATACTTAAAGACCTGAATGCACGAGCTTCGTCAAGGAGTTAAAGATGGAAATAATATTAGGAATATTATTCCAAAACTTAGTTCCGCGCCATGGATGAATGGAGAAATCTGAATAACTAACCTATTCCCATGTGATGCCCTACCTTCCCGCAATTGCAACTTTAAGGGACCTCAGTATACCGAGAAAATCTAACTACAAATGCTTCAGGGACTAATTATACTCAGAGTACGCATTATACTGGCCCCAACGGGCCTCGGTCACCGCTTCGTATTTGTCAAGTGGACCTACAAGAAACTAGAGGAGATCAAGTGAAAGCAAGCCATCCGCATATAAGTTCCAAGTGAGGAGTGCCAGTTCGATCGATTGCGTGTAGCTTAAGCCGTGGAATAGTCAAAGACGGCCGAGGATGGTGCGCGGATGACTAGCTTGCAGGTTTGCTCGATCTGGAATCCAATAACAATTATCTCATTCCAGGTTTTCCGCCTAGAATCGCGCTCGGATCGCTTCTCCCATAATACGCAGTGTGGAGAAGACTTCCCCTTTTAGGACGAGGAAGGAGGACCGGTGTTGCCAGACCCGCTCCTTCCATATTACGGTGTATTGAAAGCTACGTATTTCGGGAGGTCTCGGCTGGAGGATCTCGGGGTTTGCTGCATCTGCAACTAGTGAGTCCAAGAACAATCCTCCTCCATCCTGGCTGGGATGCGTAATCGTCATCATTAGGTGATGTCTCATATTAATCTACGCGGGCTAATGCAGGATAATAATGGCTGCAGACGGAATCCAATCCCAGCATGTGTATATTGGTATGCCGGAGGAAGGAGGATCTGTCGAGGTAAAGTGCCCTTCATATGCGTTGACAGAAACCCTCAAGGTACTTGGACTGGTCGCTAACCATTTTTCTTGACATGCAGTGAGATGTGTGAAACAGGACAAGGTCGGAATCTAAGTCTCAGAGAATAGCAATCAACCCAAGTTCGAAGCAGCTGGGAGAACTGATATATGGGGGGGAGATTGCACCATGCGCTGGCCACGAGAACAAGGTGAATTTAGGGACTTCTTCTATCATCTCCATTGCCACCGCGCCGAGTTGGAGTTTGGTGAGTCTGGTGACATTGGGCTTGCCAGTAGCTTGAACGCAAGTGAAACAATTACTTTACCGAGGAAAAACTGGAAAATTCCTAAGAGAGAGCACTTTACACAGTTCATAAGCTCCCAGGGAATGATGATAAAGGTATTAATGCAGACCATCTATTGGTATCTTGACCTCTCGGAACAAGGCCCCGAGCTTCAGTATGTTGAAATACCCTTCACTGTCCCTTGTTGTTTCAGGGTTGATGAATTTAAAGCTTCCCTGTCTTGGTCAATAAGACCAAGTACGTGATTGGTGGTAAACAATATGCCTCTAGACCGAGGGTGCAGCAATGATCGGTTTAGAAAAAAACCCTCTGCCAGTAATTTCATATATCGGTGTATGTATATGAAATGATCAAATTCTTTTCTGTGGCAATTTTCCTAACTCTTTGTTAGTGGTTTGAGGGTCAAACATGGGGTGAAGTTCTAAAAGAGATGCTTAGTATAATGCTGGGGCACCTGGCTAAGAACATCAGCGTCGATTATTAGGACCAGGAGATCTTTGTTATTCTTTTCTATGGGTCTTATATCTATATTGCCCGTGGAATCTTTACGACCAATCTAATTTCCAGGGTACAATCAAAGGGACCTTCTTTACGCAGGGCTACGACCTATGCTTGAAGGAGGATTGGCTTGAGGCTATTCGTGCTTTGGTAAGACTGCTTCGATACCTTCTGAGTGGAAGTGCAAAGGTCAGCGCCGTACGGACTCAGTTGCATACCTAGGAATATTGCTACTAGATGTAAGGGTGTCTAGATTCTTCTGATTACCCCCGTTGATAATCCATCGGGTACACTATTGGGCGCTCTCTGATGTTGCTAGTTGCTAAATGTCCCAGTTGTGTATCTCATTGAGTGTGGGACAGAATGCTGGAGGCCTAAAGGGCTTGAGTGGGCTCTATATATATTCGGATAAGAGTCGGGTTTGAGAAAGTACTGAAAGACTCGAGTCTTTCCAAGGCTACCGACAGTAATTCGAGATCCACGTGAATACAATAAAATTACATCATTTCCGGAAATATTTTCATCGAGGGAATCTTGAAAATGTGCAAAAAACATGCTGAGGGATGAAGAGTTGACATCATGCAGGCAAGGAGGTCTCTTATCGCTTATCGGCATACCTCGGGACTCAGCTATTTCCGACTCCTTTGCCCCCTCCCCGCACGGCGATCGTCCTACCTTCCTTCAACGTCTCTCTTTCAAAGTCATTTAAATTTACCTTATCCACCCTATACAGTTGATTCAAATTGAACATGGCCTCCTTATTGAAGAAGCCGTTGAAGCTCGCCTTGGTGCAGCTTGCCTCCGGTGCGTATGGCTTATGCGGAACTCGGCCAACTTCTGGATAACCGATGGATGCTAATCTGAGATGACTTCGCTCCAGGTGCCGACAAGGCCGTCAATCTCGCTCATGCGCGCAGAAAGGTGCTTGAGGCGGCGCAGGCGGGAGCCAAACTCATCGTTCTCCCCGAGTGTTTCAACTCGCCCTACGGAACCCAGTACTTCCCCAAGTACGCGGAGACCCTTATCCCCTCGCCGCCTTCGAAGGAGCAGTCCCCCTCGTACCATGCGCTCTCGTCTATCGCCGCCGAGGCCAAGGCCTACCTCGTGGGCGGAAGTATTCCCGAGTTGGAGCCGACGACCAACAAATTCTACAACACCGCCTTGGTATTCTCGCCCACCGGAGCTCTGATCGGAACCCACCGCAAGACCCATCTCTTCGACATCGACATCCCCGGCAAGATCACATTCAAGGAGAGCGAGGTGCTGTCTCCCGGTAGCCAGCTGACTATGGTCGACCTCCCGGAGTATGGAAAGATTGGCCTGGCCATCTGCTACGATATTCGCTTTCCCGAGTCGGCCATGATTGCGGCGCGCAAGGACGCTTTCATGCTCGTCTACCCGGGTGCCTTCAACCTGACCACCGGACCCATGCACTGGTCGCTGCTGGCGCGTGCCCGTGCCGTGGACAACCAGCTGTATGTGGCCCTGTGCAGCCCGGCGCGGGACATGAGTGCCACGTACCACGCGTACGGTCACAGTCTGGTCGCGAACCCCAGCGCAGAGCTTCTGGTGGAGGCGGAGGACAAGGAGGATATCATCTATGCCGACCTGGACAACGAGACGATCCAGAACACAAGAAAGGGCATTCCGGTCTACACTCAGCGACGATTTGACTTGTACCCGGACGTGAGTGTGTCTGGCGCTCCCAGCTTGCGGCGACGACAGACATGAAAAAAATAGCCAATGATTGGATATTTTTCATTAAGTCATAATCTAGTTAGTTCAAGCCTGTCACGAATGATGAGACAAGTTTTCTTCACCTCCGCAAGTAGATTCTGGCAGCCTAGATACCTTAGTGCGTTAGTGCCTGAATGCCTGAATGCCTGAATGCCTGAATGCCTGAGTGCCTGAATGCCTGAAGCTATGACGGAGCGGGATCAGCGCTGCACCACGTGACCGAGAGCGGGCCAATCAGCGGGCCCGGGGAGGATAAGCGAAGCCACACTGGAATTTCGTCCGCCGAAAAAGCGCATCGAGAGAAAACTTTCGACTTCGACCACTTCCGCCAACGACAGCCAACACCCCCTGTCCACCCCATCCAGTGAGTTCTTATTGCAGTCTCTTCATCATCTTCATCGCCATATTTCAAATCCACTGACAGTCGTTCTCCCGTCAGTAATGTCCAACGTCCAGACCACCGGCAAGAAGCAGCGTTCGGCCATCGCCGACGTTGTGTCGCGCGAGTACACCATCAACATGCACAAGAGAGTACGTTGAAACCGATCCCTTAACAAACATCACCTCGGTCAATCGCCAAAGGAACGGAATATGGAATTCTCCATCTATTCCATCCTGCGGTGAGGGAACCAACAAGCTTTTTCGAACATTTGAGGCATGGACGGAGAACATCCCAAGAGGTTTCAAACCAAAAAACCTGGGCAACAATCATCCCTGCGTGTGTGATGGGAGTGAAATCCTCAAACACAGAAAGGAAATTGTGGCAAGAGCAGGAGTGTAAAAAAACCCAATTCTCTTGGGGACGTTTTCCAAACCAACAAAAAAGGAAGAATTAGTTTTATGAAGTCCACCTCTATGGCCGCATTAGCATCTTCACAGATTCACAAGATGGCATTCGGGCGGAAGACTGATTTCTCCTTTTTTTTTTCAACTCTGTAGATGCACGGTGTTAGCTTCAAGAAGCGTGCCCCTCGCGCCATCAAGGAGATCCGCGCTTTCGCTGAGCACGCCATGGTAAGTCTTTTTTTGTCTCCCTTCACTTTCGTTCTTACGGATCATCATGGCTAATGGGTTCTGTTTTCTCCAACACCAGGGCACCAAGGATGTCCGTGTCGACCCCCAGCTCAACAAGAAGGTCTGGGAAGCCGGTATCAAGGGCGTTCCCTTCCGTCTGCGTGTCCGCATCTCTCGCAAGCGTAACGACGAGGAGAACGCCAAGGAGAAGCTCTACTCCATGGTCTACGCTGTCAACGTCAAGGAGCCCAAGGGTCTCCACACCGCCGTTGTTGACGACGAGTAAATGGTTTCTTTCCTATAGGACAATATGATGGGGGGTTTCCCTTTTTCTAATGACAAAAGCCCTTTTCCTTTCTAGATGGGCGACGTTGCTCCGGTTGGTTAAGGGATTATTCGAAGGAATCATAAAATAATGAAAAATGGGAAATTTTTTTTAAACAAAAGTCTGATATCTTGCTTGCCTGAAGATGTTTTCTCTTGATCTCTGGAAGCCTGATCAGTCTCTGTAATTGTATATCATAAACCGAGATTCTGGAATTTTCTTGAACGTATAGCAGGGCATTGACCTTCAGATAGTCCTGAGTTCATCCAGACCTTCAACACCAGCTGGAGCCTTTTGAGTCGATCAATATCTCCAAGTTATGTATCTCCCTGGATCGATTCTCTTATACCCAGTTCTATACATCCCAATCTATACACATTCCCCGACACAATGTACGGGAGAAAATACTACGGTCTTCAAGATTTGTCCAAACATGCAACAAAGATAGTGTGTCACCTTCCATCTTCCATTTTCAATCCCCCATTGTTTGATTTGGGGATGGGTCGTTGCTGGGGGGTTTTGGGCGGAAGTTTGGCAACGGAGGGCTTAGTCTTTTTTGTTCTGGTTTACATTAACTGATTTATTGTTGAGTCACTTGGGGTTGGTTAGAGGGGATGATGGATGGTGGTGTCTATCTAGGGCATGAATCTAAAATGTTCTAGGATTGTTTACCGCCACTATAATAATACTGAAAAAAAAAGAGAAAATTAAGTAAAATAAATAAATAAAACGAAAAAGAAAACGATCACAAAGAATCGATTTGGAAAAAAGTATATAGCAAAGCAAATAGTCATTCCACCGACTATTCTATAACAATCAATGGTCCCAGTAGAACATCAGAGATTTATAGTAATCATCACTGTCGGCTATCGAATCTACTTCCCCAACAACTTCAGATCGCAAGTCTTGCGCAAACTGTAAATACTCGTTGGCCTCCGTATAAATCTCCATCTCCTGGAACGCTCTGGCCAGCATATGTGCCGCTCTCGCCGCACCGATCCTGTTGAAATACTGGGAATCCTGCATCAAGAAGCAATCGAGCGACTGACGCAAATAACTGAGTGCTCGCATAGGTTCCTTCGTGGATTCGACCAGAACCTGACCAACCTTGAACAGACTCACAGCACTGACTGCATGCTGGGGCCCAAACCGTTCGATATTGACAATGCGGGCCTTATCATGAGCCCGGAAAGCCTCATCATTCTTCCCAAGAGCCAAATAGGCGCGTCCTAGAGGATTCATTGCCACCGGCTGTATAGCGTCTAGGCTCTGAGACAGAACTCTCACGGCCTCTTCGTATTTTCCTAGACGGTATAGAAGAGATCCCCAGTTCGCATGGACAAGCTTATGGACTTTCAAGTATCCCGGGAGCCTTGTCACATAATCCAACGCTTCCTGTTGTACCTTAGTCGCCAGATCAAATTGGCTAAGCTGGCTGAGTGAATTGCTGTACCCCGTGAGAATGCGAGGAAGACGGTCGTCCGCGGGGGGAAGCATGTTCTGTTTCTTGGCCATCTCCGCATACGCAAGCGACTCCTGGCTGGCCTTGATTGCCTCCGTGGGATGGTTCGTCTCGTTGAACACCCGCGCCTCAAGGCGTCTGCAGTCCGACATGAAAAGAATTTCAGGCTTTTGAGAGAGATTCACGACGTCATTCGCCATCTTGAGGGTTTCGGACGCTGCGCTGTGCAATGATCGTTCGACTTGATACAAAGCACATTGATAGACTAGAGCTGCGAGCTGATTCTGATGCCCCCCGCAGGCACCAGGACATCCCAGAAAGTGCTGCACAAGCGCCTTAATATTGGACTCATACCTCTTCGACCATTCCGAATTCCTCCTCAACGAACCCACCACCGTGTCCCCGGTTTCTGGCTGCGAGCAAATCAGCAGATGCATGGCCTGTTCGAAGACGGTTCTGCGGAGAGATTCATCCTTGCAAATTTGGCTGTAGCTTTCTCTCTGCAGGTCTTTGACAATGAAAATAGTATGAGTGCTGTAATCCACCTCAATGGTAGACTTGTAGGTCAATTCCCTCAGTGATGCGTAAAATCGCACTGGGTTCTGCAGGTATTCCAGATCCAAATGACCGCGGCGTACTGCCGTGCTGGCAACTTGTCGGAATAGCTCATAGGGAACGCCATCTGGGTTCAAGATGGACAAGATACCGAGCATCCGCTTGGAATTGTCGGAGAGTGACGTATATCGCATTTCCCATGAATTGGGAGATGGGGAATGCTCTGGAGAGACTTGCTCGTTGTACACAGGAGAACTCGAATCCATTGTGATGGATACGACGGAACACAAAGTCAAAGTATTTCGATGAGCTGTTAGGTCTCAATGAAGGTGATATATGATCAAGGAAGGAGGATGGAAAGTTGGTTGACTTTCTCTAAATGTGAGTTATAACCGGCCTTTTATAGCGTTTCACACATAGTCTTTACTCTAGTGACTACATCTTCAACAAGGCCGTCTCCTGGAACTCTACGAAACTTAAAGGGGATATTCCAGGGAGAATGATGGGGAAAGAGGATTCGAAAACTGAGATCCAGGGATTCGTTGAAGCGTTCTTTGTTTCGACAACTGTGCGCCGAGATTTGCATTTTAGACCCTTCATTTTATTGCACTATCTCTAGGCAAAAGCATGATTTTTTAACTAAACAAGGAAAGAAAAAGGATCAACTAACATATCTAACTTAACTTAGCATATAAAGATAGAGGAAGGAGGAGGAGGAGGAGGAGGAGGAGAAGGTAATATACATAGAAGTTAAGGTACTCAAGGTCACCTTTGTTGCATGGGCTTCTGAAGAGAATTGTTGCTATAACTGAGCCTCATCATTTCATCCATACTTCAACCGGATATCCCCTATTAGCTCCTGGAGTATTGATTCACAATCTGGAGGTCTATCCAAATCTGCTCGAACATCGAAAAATTCGTGTCCTTGACACCATGGAATACTGGCGCCCTCCTTGTACCTCTGCATACATCCCTCACAGAGATAGGTTTCTACACACCTTGTGCAGATATACATGACATTGTAGACGCGCTCTTCGAATATATCACATTCCCCTTCAAACAGGAAGCCATGCGCTTCAGCTTGGTATGTTCCCTTTTGAAGAGCACATCGCTTTGAAAGAGACAAGTCATTCAACTGCACGAGGCACACTTGCATAGAAAACAAAATAATATCAGTTTTGCAAATGGGCTGCTCCAGCTCCGTCAGCATCTTTCGAATACTTCCCACGTTGCTTTTTTGCTGGTCACTCTGGCTGGTTCGTTCGTGATATTTTATGCATGGAATTCGATCAAGAAACGAACTGAGCTCGTGTAAACCCAGCCAATCCAAAGTGGTCTTGCCGCACATATCATGAATGTTTTGTGATGCCCCGGATTCCATAAGAAAGGCTGACATCTCGACTTTGCAGTATTGGATGCTATAGTGCAATGGGGTGGAGCCTTGATGATTGATCATGTCAATGGTGGCTCCATGGTCCAGGAGTAATTTGACAATGTCCAGGTTCCGGCTCGTGAGAGACCGGATTTTCGGCAGTGAGGTTGCTGCTTATGTTCACTCCATTAAGCAGGAAGTGTAAATGCACGGTTATTCGGACAGTGTTTTTGTTTAGTGATGTAGTGGATCTGGTTATTTTGGTCACTCTTATTAGGTCTCCTCGCGTCTAGATGAAGCTTTTGTTTGACTGTCTCTAGGCTATGTCTATACAGCATAACCATGATGACTATAGACCCTGGTCTAAGCATAGCTAAATAAAGGTTGGAATGCTTGAGTCTGTAGGCCCAAGATTCAGGCCCATTTGTGGGCTCTGATGAAGTCTATTATAATAACTACAATACTTTATAAGCCCCACTTCAATGCACCTTCCTGCTCATTCTACCACCCCCTGTGGCATAGGGTATAGTAGTACATATGGAGTTTACATTCATGATTCGAACTTAGAAGATTGAAATAAATAATGTCAACAACAATTATAGTCTTTGCATTTGCATTCTAGTATAGGGAAACCATAGTCAACCATGACCAAAAAAAAAACCTATACCAAGACTGGGCCCTATCCTGATCTAGCACTATTACTTGTTAGTTCATGTATTCCGAAGGGGAATGCTAGATTAGAACAATAGGAATTGATATAATAACTCACATAGCAAGCCCCAACCGCGCCCATGCCGTTGATTATATTGGCGCTCTATCCAATGAAGATAATCATTATAAGCTTTATACAAGCCAGTGAAGAAAAAGCTTACCGCCGTACAACAACCACGCTAGTTTTTGTCAGCAATTGATTACATTGATAGACAAGCAAGGGAACCCCAAAAAGATATCTACCTACCTGATAACAAGCATCCACAAACATGCAAAGTCCCTGGTCTTTAAGGTTGCTGTAAACCTCTTCTGTAGTCTGCCCTTTGGCTGATACTTTTCCTTGTCGGTTTGTTTGAGGATGTTGTGGGCGACCAGAGAGCGGAGGATACGTGCTGAAGAGGATAAGACTTCTCTTCTTCAAAGAAAGAGACGAGTTAGAGAATCAAATTACCTAGTAGTTGCTTGTCCCCTTTCGTCTTCGTGTCCAGATCATCCACTGTCAACTCGGCGCCTCCAGCTGCAGCGAAGGCATCAAAGATACCCATTCCTTGGCCGACTCTGATCGAGGTGATCCCGTAGTGCTGATGCATCCTCCTTGGTGATCATCTCTCAGCACATAAATCTTAATATGTAGGTAGACTTACCCCGAAACACAATTTCATGATCGTAATAGTAGGCGGCTCCAACGCAACCCGCAGTTGATCCATAGCCCCAAGCAATTGCATGCGTTCAGTATCTTGGATATTTTCTGGCGAAGGAAGATTTCCCAAGACAGAAGTCACCGTGGAGGTGAGCTCAGAGAGAACGTTAGCCATGAGGATAGGATTCGGAGAGAAAGTAATACTAAGGTTGAAGCTGTGCGACGCAGTGGAACAGAAAACCAAATACGATGGGATACTCCCACCAATTTATAGGCGATGAACAAAGTCCCCCATTGAACACGAAGGATGCGACTCAGCCTTGTACACCACGGGGAATTCAACATCTAAAGCCGACTGTGGCTTCCAATTGCCCTTGGCAGTGTAACCCTGTGCTGTCTCTGCCTCTGACTACCATCAACATTATCCATTCGCATTTCTTTCTCTGTATCGATTTACCCCGCTGTTAGCATCTCATCACCTCATAGATCAGACAAGACAAAGACAGGGAATGCAAGCTCAGCCAGCCGCAGCAGAAGTATTGCTTGCGCCTCCGCCCTTGATCCCTCTAGTCGGTGCCGAGTTACTAGTGTTAACTATCAAGTACTGAACCAGCTAAATAACACAACAGAGCCGCCAATTGCGAATGGTTTTCAAAGAGGCCAGTGTAACTCTAAGCCAAGTCACTACCTAATACCTTAGACCATCTGCGCAAGAATATACCAGTACCCAATGCGGTCTAAATTAGCGGCTGAGTTAGGGCTTACGAACCAGAGCCGCGGGGCTCGAACAGTTAGAAAGATCGATGTTCTAGGCACCTAGTTATGTACCTATAAATACATACCAATATCGATTTAGTAGTCCTTCCGCTAGTTAGTTTGGGAGCGGTGCGCGGGTATGCGTTGGCAAGGAAATTACTCAACTAGGCACAAGACACGAACTTTCGTAATCCTTTCTCGATTGAAAAGAGCCGAAAAAAATAGACTTCTGTCCTCTCAATTATCATGTCTTTTTCTCTCAACCCTCAAGCGGTAACAAATGCAATGTAAAATGCAGACATAATTCTACAAATGCCAGAGAACTTTTCGGAACCTCCCAGATGCACTGAACCCGAAAAACAAAAAACGAAAAGCAGCTCCTCGGATGCAGTCAGCTCATATGACGAGCAGACGCTAAAGAAAAACGTGAATGAACAAATCCTCCCCTGTAAAACTTGACCCCAAACTTCCAGCTCTTGATCGATTAATAAACACCATTGCATACCGCTGTCAATCATTGTCCTCGTCTCAACTGCGCCTTTATGTGCTCTGATAATCACTTGTTTCGGCGCCGACATCAATTGGCTTTGCATAATTACTCACCTTGCGCCTTTTTCTGCCGCTACGGCGCAGCTCGCCTTCGTTGAACGATTGGCGAGGAGATCTCTTTCTAGGCGTGATCTTCGGGGCAGCCATAGTCTTCGAGGCATCGACATTAGATTTCTGTACAAGTCCTCGTTTCCCGCTGCTTGCGCCCCAGAGCTTGCTTGTGAATTCTTGCTGTTTAGACTTCTTGGCTTTCTCGGATTCTTCTGCTTCGCGCATCTTTTCCATGCTTTCTAATATTTGTGTCCTTTTGCGAGTTTGTCTTGTCTCTGGTAGACTCGTGTTATCAGCGTCTGAGCTTCTCATAGAACTGCTCGGTGTCTGGGGGGATTCTATCGCTTTCTTCAGTCCGGCTTCTTGAATCTGAAGAGATAGATCGTCAATGGCATCATCGGCCTTTCCGGTGTCAGGTTCGAGCATCGTAGGCTCGTTTGATCCTGGATACACATACTGATATACTGTAAGCATTGAAATATATTGGCACACTAGGAACCTTACGTAGTGTTTGATTTTCAGCATCGGATCGAGGATTTCCCTGTCGAGCTTTCGACGCACATCATCGGAGGCAGGAACACTGAACTTGGGTAGACCTTTTTGCAAGAACCCTTTAGCCTTGTATCCTGGTGTTGGCTGTAGGATCCCCTTTTTCTTCAAGAGATCTGTTATTTGAATGATAGTCTGCCCGTTGCAACCTACGGTTGTTAGCATTATTTTAACTTCAGGGGACTGTATTTCTTACGAAGCTTCTGTATGAAGTCCGAGGTCCTATTTGGGAATCCTTCATTTAGTATGATCCTGACTGCCCTTCTGAGAAGGACAAGGCTCCCCATATCACGAAGAACGCCGGGATCGTCCTGCTCCAGTAAACATTGGTAACAAGTATGAACATCAGGAATTCTGCGGTCCCTGATGGTTTCGAATCCATAGCATAGCGCGTGTTGGTGCTTGAGACAGAAAGTGCATTGCATCTATATTTGTGAGCCTATATTATGAACGAAAGGTCCAGAGGGCTTACCATGTCTGCTTCTTCCCCTTCCCAGCCGCATTGACACTGGACAAGACCTTGATCCAGCTCGTTCGAGTCGGTCGATAGACTGGGTTTCCCGGCAGATTGAAACTCTCGAATCCTGATGATCTTCTCTGGGGACATCGAGACGATTGGTACAATCTCTGGAGTAATC